AAAAACAGTAACATTACTTGAAAACGACATACAAATATACATTGGCCAAAAGGTAAAAAGGTATCCATGGTCAAAAACTAGAAATAAATATGTATTTCTGTATTGAATTTAATAAGTCCCATTCCACTCCTAATAACCATATCAATCTAGAAGTTTGTAAACTTACTTATTAAGATGCCCATAGGATGTACTTTATCAATGCACTGACACAATTTCACTCAGCCCTGTGAATATGCACTTCCTTGTGTCTTAACTCTCACAGAGTCTGCCTTCTGAACTAAAACTCAACATTTGAAACAATGTAACATTATCGTTACTTGCTGAAAGCAATGCATGATGGGCTATGTAGTCTTGAGAAATGGAGATTGTATCACACCAAGCAGCAAGGAAAGAGATGCAAAGTACACTGGGAATCCAGGAAGTTTTTGAAAGTGATGGGCAGACAGACGTAAGGTTTGTTTGCATTATCAAAAACAACTCTAGTGTGTCCCCCTATTACAATGCTGATGTTATAACAACTACTACAGTATATGCTGGAACTTAAGACATTTATTTTAAAGCTAAAGTTTTATCTGCTTATATGGTGCCTTTTGCGGGTTCATCTGTTTTGGGTACGTCAGTGAGTGACGTAAGTCGCCCCGCCCCTGGTTCCCCTGGCCTCTCAGCCGTGAAGGACAGGTGCGAGGGCTGCAGGAGGTGGAGCAACGGATGTGGCGGCAGTGGGGTCATTCTGGAGGCGACGGCGACCTGTTGAGGGACTCGGGAGCCGCCGTCCGGTGCACACATTTTGAAGTTGGAACCGACCGAGCGAGGAGGCGATTTCACCCTCTCTGTCTTGGTGACCCACAGTCGGACTTGAATGGGGGGGGCGCAAAATGCACCTTCGCCTGAGTTGGCGAAAATCCTTGCACCGGCCCTGATCTGTTCCTCCCTCATCATGCCAATTAAATGTTTAAATAAAAGCTTGCCATCTTATTACATATCTTATTTTAGACTCAGTGACATCATCACTGGGCCCTTATGCTTCCTTATGCAAAACAGGCAGATCATGTCTGATGGGAGGGACTGGCAGGGTGCTGTACGTAGCTTCCTGAACACTTCACAGCAGCCTCCCTTAGTACTCCTAAGGGAGGAGTTATGCATATATGAGGAGTTATGCATATATGAAAATGTCATGATGGGTGGGTTTCAGTCTGGAGGAGTATTGTCAAATTGCAGGGTTGTGAATTGAAGTACAACACTCTGTTTAATAGTCCAGATACATCTTTATTCAATATAGGGTTGAGGGGACAGTATAGATGGACCCAATGTGTTTTTGGGAGCTTTAACCATTACTATATGCAGTAAAACATTATTCTAAATGCAGCAATGGACAAAATTGGTTTTGCTCATTAAAACAGAGCGACAAATTGTACAGCCTTAAGTACCCAAGTCTCTGGGCCTTTTTCTTCCTATTTCCCCCTTGAGATCCAGAGCTTTTTCTTATTTTGATGATGACTCAGTTCTACCTTTTAAACATTTTAGCTTTTGTAGTCTACCCTAAACTTTGTTGTTCTTGGGATAGGACTTTAATTTGATAAAGGATCTGGACACATATATTTTATTTCCCAGGTTCTTATTAGGCATTCGTCATTTTCTTGTATTTCTCCCAACTCTACTTTAATGTAATTTGTGCAGCCCCAGATATCTACCCCAAAATATCACCAATAACTTTTCCTGAATAAAACGATATAACATAAGAACGATTTATATATAACATAGCAGAATGGTAAAGCTCAAAGTGAGTGTTAATTTAGGGGGACTTTGTTCCTCTTTTGACATTTAGCTGCGATGCCTAAAAAAACAATTCACCTGTTTTCATAAATTGTTAGGAAAATGTTAAGGTAAAATCAAGTGGGATTGGTGAGAACATAGATGAACATGATAGCAACATTTTTTACAGGCTTGCAATCAATGGTAATGGCATTGCTCTCATGTGAGCATTTGCCATTTAAGCAGTAAGTAAAAATTTCATGCAGAACATCTAAAGTGATTGTTGGTCATTTTATCATTTATTTTCCATATACCATACATTTGTATTTCTATGTAATTTATGTTCTTACTCTTACTTTCTTTTCCATTATGGGTGGGCGGGGCTGTGGAGACCGGATCCAGCTTTGCAGCAAGCGGTCACTTGTAATAGTAAACGATTTCAACAATAGGACAGAACAGCAGTAATCTACTGCTGCAGGACAAAGCTGCATCAGCTCTGCCTTAAGCTGGCTATACACTGTTAGTATGTCAGATGAAATTTTAACCCTTTGGACTCAATAGGAGTCGATTACTCAATTGACTTTTATTGAAAGAACTGAGCTGAAAATTGTTGGCTGAACAGCGATTGCAACCAATCAGTATTGTATGGCCACCTTTTCCCCCCAGACTGACATCATATCACCTACTATATAAACATTATGTGGAATCAGTCCAGCTCCTGGGCGTAGTGCTTGATCCTGGATGTTTTTAAAAGCCAATGGTTTCAGCGCTACAGCAGGCTGGGACCCACAGGAGCCGCAATGAAGTTTTAAAACAATACCTGGGACTCCAGTAGTAGTAAAAATTTGCAGAAGAGTGAATTGTCTTTCCAAGAAGTTTAGGAAAAGACTTAAAAGTTTGAGTATGAAAAATGTGGAAACAAGAACATTTCTTATAGCAGCCAATCAGCTTCCAACTGTCAAGTTTTGCAGCCTGAGTATAAAAATAAAACAAGGGTCCTGAATGCTTTAGAAAGCAAGAATTCTTCTTGCTAGCATACTTTTCATAAACAAGCCCCTTTTGCTCTGTCAGACTTTTATTTTGAAGTGATATACACTTTAAAAGATATGAACTGAAAGTCTGATGGTCTTATGTGTTGAAAAGCAAAGAAAATTAGGTTGTGTGTGACATAAGACCCATTTGCTCTTGAAGAATATAAGGAGGGAGCGAACAAACATTACTGCCTTAGGAGCTTGCTGCCAACAGAGCCTATGCTGATGTTAAATGCAGAATTCACTAACCAAACAAGCATTTGCATAGCTAATGCAGATATGGAGAAATACTGTTCAAAATAAAAATTGGGTCATCCTAATCCATTATTACACCAGAGCTCAGTATGAGACATGTAATGTTAAAACTATGAAGGAAAGGTTTAATGTATTCATCAACAAGAAGACTATTGTTAGCTAGTAAATCATCATCTAGGTACCCCTCTGAAAGTGTTTTTATTATGATGCAAGGGGCCTGACTTCCTAGACTACAGAACTGAGTGCCACCAATTTCCATTCCCCAGTCCAACACAAGTGTGCTTAATAACCACAGAGTTTCATTGGACTGGAGATTAGCAGAGCTTAGCTCTGAAGTCATGTCCCAACTGTCCAATTTCAAAGAGAAACACAAAGCAGGGTTTTCCAGCTATCAAAGGTATTAGCAGGCATCTTGTGGTGTCTGCTCCTAGAAGTTACAGTCATGGCCAAAACTATTGGCACCCCTGCATTTCTGTCAGATAATGCACCACCAGCAATGAGTCCAGATCTGAATCCCATAGAGCACCTGTGGAGAAATCTCAAAACAGCAGGAAAAAGAAACTCTTCCAATCTGAGGGACCTGGAGCAGTTGGTGAAAGAAGAGGGGTCCAAAATTCCTGTAGAGAAGTGTAAGAAACTAATTGATGGTTACAGGAAGCCATTGATTTCAGTTATTTTTTTCCAAGGCCTGTGCAACCAAAAATTAATTGAGGGTTTTCTCCACTTTTTTGTGTCATACCAATACAAACAAAAGAAATAAACATGAGAATGCCGAAACATTTGTAATTGCAAAAATTGTCTGCGCGAAGTGGTGCATTATCTGACAGAAATGCAGGGGTGCCAATATTTTCGGCCATGACTGTATAAGTTTAAAACAGCTGACAGATTCAAGCTAAACAAAATCAATATAACACAGTATATCCAAGTATTACAAAGTTCCATGGCCTGGTAGCTCTATCAGAAACCTCCAAGGGCATCTTACAAAGATGTTAAGATCACCTTATGTTTAAGGCCCCTTTAACACGGTCCAATCAGGAAGGGATCTGTGCATGGATCCCCTGCTGATAAGAACGTATGTCCTTGTTGTGACATCCATATGCATCCAGTTTTTTCCTTTATCTTGCAATGGAGGAAATAAACTGAAATTACCGGACCCATGTTGCTCTATAGGGAATCGGATGTTGTCCGTTTACATCAGATTGCTCCCAATCTGGCACGGTCACATATGTCCAAAAGGAACTCTGATCTGTTTGTTTTTCATGACTGGCCAGAGCTGCGGGTAACCAGATATAAATGGGCACCCATCCATTTAGATCCGGTTCCCATAGAGTAACATTGGGCTTCCAATCAGGTCCGCCGAAAAACTGACAGGCGGACCTGATCAGAAAACCTGTGTCACAGGTGCCTTACCCACAGGGTAGCTCATCCTATTACCATTACTGATAAATCTGCCAATTCCAACAAAAAAATGCAGACTACAAAATTATTTTACAATATCTATAATTGCAAGAAATGAATACAAACAAACTTTGCTTAGCAAACTGTACATACATAAATAATATTTTCTATCTCTTTACTTGACATTTCATAGATTGTTTTCTGTCGAGGTCAGGACTTCATTTCTTACATCCAGTTTCATAGCTTTAAAAAGTGCTTCTCATTTGTACATCTGCCATACTTAATACAGAGTTTATGGTTAGTTCATGCTTCCCCCACCAAATCCCCACACAGAAAGCCCATCAACCAAAAATGCCACAGAGAAAAGTAAAAAAAAAATATTGGTTGTTTAAGCTCTTTAAAATCTTATATTACAAGCATCTAAAATAGCATCATAATTGTTTCATGTCAAATACTGATAATACTCGCTTTGGGGATCAACTTCCTCATTAGAGATTTCTTTGACAAAAAAATATTCATCTTGGCTATGCATAGTTATTTTTTTAGAAGGTTACATGATTTAATCTCGGTTACTTGATGATTGGATTTTGAAGCACATCATACTGTACTCAATACTGCAGGGGCTCTAACAGAGCTTTAATTTTATAGGTTAATTAAGAAAAAAAAAGCTGCCACATTAAGTGCAATTAAAAGCTGGTAACAGCTCATATGTCTTCCAGACAAGTTTCTGCCAGAGTTTTCATATAGGGGGTGGTCCATTAGTATAACGGAGCATTGGGTGGAAGGATCTTGCAAAATTATTGGACAGAGTACAACTGTAGTCTTCTTCGGACATTGGTACAAGACAAGCAAGACCAATCAAAAGCAGCAGAAGAAGTTGAAGTGGTAATGCAGCTCGGAGGACTCGGAGGAAGAACGACTGGTGTTTTTGAGCTAAATTAGCTTCAGAAAGGTAGGAACCTGAGCCATCGTCTTTGGACCTAATAAACAAAATTGACACAAGTAAGTTTACAATCAAAATACATTTTATTGTAGTTCCCATATCTATCCTTTCTTTGTGAGAACTCACCACTTATCAATACACTGTGCCCATAAAAGAGACCTTTCCACATGGAAAGTAGGTCAATAACTGATATTTTGACTTGGAAATCAGAAAATAATTCTAACACTTAGGTCTGTGTGTAATGTTATACCTGAATTTCAAGCAATATCTTAGGATAATGATAAATGCCTCAGAACAGAGTAATATGCGTTAAATTACTGAAACAGATCATTGAATACAGTTTTATTGAGCAAAGGATCTTATACATATATAGACACACTCACATACACATTAGTTTGGGATGGTTTTCCCCCTTCTGGCTCTCCAGAGATTTTCTAACTTTTCACAAGTCACTAAACCCAGAAATACATTCAATTTCTGCTCCAACCCCATCATAGTTAGGAAAAAAAGTTGTGGATTTCGTACCCTCTACCTACTTTGTACAGAAGAAGCAGGTAGTTGGGGCCACAAGGCATCTTTTTGTATTGAGGGTAGGACCTAACCCTGGAAAGCTGATACATCATCCTGCGAACATCAATAGGATTTTCTCCTCCAAAAGAGAAAAATCGCAATTTGGTTCTGCTTCATTTGAATGCATTCCTCACTCCACGTTTCTTACTTTGTATATTTTATACATAAATTGAATAAATCAGTAAGTCCTTTTGGCCGTGTTCAAAACAAAGCAAATACATCTGTACTGCAGAGAACTACTACATTTACTTCTTTCCTAAACAGTCATTAAAGATAATACTTTCTGTACAATTCAATTGTTATGTGAACAATACTAGGCTTGGTGTTGTAGAAGATATGGCAGATTTCCATCAGGACCAGGATCCTGTGCTGTCTTTTCAATCATTATACTATTCTATCACACAAATAGAACATTTTCTTATTTGCAGAATGATGAGGGAGCTAAAAATATGACCATGATGTGGCAGTACTAATATAGTGCAATATTCCATTATAATACATGTGCATAATGGGGTTGGCCATCCAAACAATGGGTACTACCTGTAACTCCAAAAAAGACTCTGAATTATTAAATGTGTAGATGGAAGTTATAGGGTATTTGAACCATAACAATGAACATTTCTTTTTTTTGGTCTGATAAATATACCATTGAAAGCATTTTGTTATATTTATTTGATACATGCATAAAAGTACCTTTTGATCTTGCCAGCAATCTTGTAAGCTGTTAACTTCCTGTACTCTCTGTTTGTGCTGATTCTCATCAGTTACATTGTTCTAAACTATTTCTGAGGACTACAGTGCCACGCCATGTTATGGGGGAAAGGAGAGAGACAGATTCCTGTTGTCATATCATGTTTCTGTTGTCTTTGATGTGATAGAGTAAAGAGGGGTTAGAATCACTGTTAGGTAAGGATGTTCAGATACCAGTACATGGATTGGTGCAGATACTAGGCATTTTCACGAGAACTATCAGGGTCACAGCGGTTGCAGCTGCGACAGGGCCCTGGCCCTGCACCACTGTCCTGAAATCATTAGTCGTCAGTATTTTTTCAGAAAAACTGTCACATGACACTAAGGAAAAAAGGTATCAGTAATTGGTAATTGGTATCTGTGAGGACTTGGACATGTATCTGATGCTCAGGCTGAAAGTTAAAGCGTGACTATGGTCTCCCCTTTCAGCACATATATGTGCTTTCTGTTACTCCCCCTGTGTGCCTCTTCTCTGAGTTAACTGTGTGTGTAATCTGAATAGGCGATGCAGGCAGTTCACAACAGAGCAGGAGGTCAGCCTAGTTAAAAAGTGGTATTGTTGTCTTGAGTGTTTCCAAAGGATAGCTGCAGTGGCCAATATGACATCTTCAATATTTCATATGTATTTAAAACATTTTAAAGATACCTTATTCCTGAACAAAACATTAATTACTTTATTATAAGTGCATCTTGATTATGTCTTTGTGGTGGGCCTGTAATTATGTCACTGCTCTACCAAGCAAAACTACACTAGACTTCCAATATTTTCTAACATGGACAAAGCAATATTAAATCCTAATGATATACCAGTATGCAGAAATGGTCCTCGCCACTAACAGGAAAGCCACTAACCAAGCAATAATTATCTAAAAGGTCAAAAGTTATTAGATTTTTTTCTATTTGTTAGCTGAAATGATGTTGCCTACAGAGTGAAATGCTCCATAAAAAAGGCAGCTTGTACTTACTTTACAAAGCTGTAATTGATGGCCCGTAAGATTTCTTAGTATAAACTACACTTTTTATTTGATTATTCCATAATCACAAACTCAGCAAGCTTTTGCTTAGACTAATGCAGAAAAGCCCACATTCCAAATTGTTTACCAGGTGGTTACATGTCTAAAAATAGAAGACTTGGAAAAGAGCGCCCTCAGATTGGATGTTTTAGAAGTTTTTATAAACCAAGCTTTAACAGAATCTTGCTGTTAAATTGTGTCAATTTTTTGAGCTAATAGATAAACTACTGTCAAAAAGGACATGGGAAGCTGAGCACTGCTATGGGGGACATTCAACAGAGCATATATATATAAATAAATCTTTCAATCTGAATTTGAGGGTAACAAGACAAAATACCCAATATTTTAAATGATATGCTAGGGAGAAGCCTCCATATTCTGGCATCACTTTGGAAGGGAATTTTTACTTTAAAGAGGAATTTTTCATTAGCTTATTGAAAATGGTGAAAATGTGCTTTGCAAAGTGTAACCAATCATGTGCAAAGAAAATGAAAAAGAGAACCCCAGGAATTTAGCTTGCACGTGATGGGCTGATAGTAGTCAGCACAGCTTCCCCACATTCACTAGGCTAAGTGGAAATTCCCCAGCAAATTGAACATGCACTACTCCTTTGCTAAAGCAAACCCATTATGTTCCATATGTTGATGGAGGACAGGGATGACCTTCTGGACAAAATAATGGCGGCTGGGTACCTCCTTAACTGAGATATAATTTTGTTCTGACCTGTCACATTATTTATTTATTACAGGTATTTATATAGCACCGACAATTTACGCAGTGTTTCACATAGTGCATATTTATATCAGTCCCTGCCCTCAAGGAGCTTACAATCTAAGGTCACTAACTCACATAAATACATACAGAGCCAATTTAGACAGGAGCCAATTAACACATTCACATCAGTCCCTGCCCTCAATGAGCTTACAATCTAAGGTCCCTATCTCACATGCACATATACAGGGCTAATTTAGACATGAGCCAATTAACCTACCAGTACCCGAAGGAAACCTAGCAAGCAAAGGGAGAACATGCAAACTCCTTGCAGATAGTGCCCTGACTGGTATACAAACCGAGGACCCATAGTGCTGCAAAGCAAAGTGCTAACCACTACACCACTGTGCTGCCCCCAATAAGAGGATGCTATTATTTTTTTTCTCCTATAAATAAACATCAAACCACATCGACCATTACTTTCATGCTGTTATGTGTTCTGTTTGTTCATGTTGCTTTGGCTTTGTTTAAAGAAAAATGTCACCTTTGCAAAAAATCATATATTTGTGCTTCGATTCCCAGGATCTGTTTTCTGCATGTTACATTGTACTACACACCGTATATTCTCTAGTGAATATGGTAAAAATAGGATTTAAATCAAAAAAATAAATGAAAAGGGAGGATTCAACTGAAGTGAAACAGGGAAGTGAAGGAAAGGTAAGCATACATTGAATGGGGATAAGGGGTTTAAAGTAAACCTGTTCCTTTACTCTGAATGGGTAACACAGGCTGCCTTTAAATATACATTTTATAAGCGAACTGATAAAGTTCTGTAATTGGTGTACAGCATACAAAATAAAACACAGCATACAAAATAAAACAAAAAAGCTCTTCACCTGCATTAATTGCACACACAGCCCACAAACTATTTATGAAATGCTCCAGCATCATTAAAAATCCTGTAAAACTGCTTTATTTTATTTTGTTTGCCCTTAAACTGTAGTCTATCAATGTTTACTGATCCAGTGCAAGATCAAACACAAAGTACTCTGATCAGAGGCATTTAAAATAATAAGGAACACAGTGACAGCTTGTTCTGTGTTATCAGTTAGTACTGTAGCTGACATCAAACACAACCTGTCTGACTTGTGCTTTTGATTAAGCTCTCCATTCAGTTGAAACTCGTTTATATTCCATGCTTGCCTGAATGACAAATTGAATATTGTACTGTATTGCAAAAAGATGTGTTAATCAACAGTGCCAGTGGAAAGAAAGAGTGCCGCGGCTGGGATGTTATTAGGAAGTGGGCTCCACTGCAAACTGCAAAGCTGTTAGGATGCACGCTGGGCCAGATGTTTGGCAATGAAAGATGTGAGCTGGAAAGGTGATGAGAGCTTGACACTTTTATTATCACTTTAGATTAAATCCAACATGCTCATTAGATTATACGTGAACCTGCTGGTTACTAATTAAGTCTTCATAAAATACAATCTGACAGGTAGATAAAAAAAGTCCCATCTGTGAGAATCTGTACATACATTTTTATCTGTCTATTTTTCATTGTGATCTGATAACCACAGGGCTATTGATTTGACATGACCTCACATCAAACACATACAGTATATGAGGCCATTTACAAATGCGGGTATGTAGATACCCTTAAATTCAATATCTGCTCCTACAAATCTAAATTAGTATGTGTATAAGAGGTTCAGGCAACCTGATTGGCTATGGGCATTCCCATCCACATCTACTCTGGCCTTCCAAAGCAATTGCAAAATTGAACAATGGTCTGCACCTACAATTAATGCCCTTATGAAAACAGAAACAGTTATGTGAGAACCACAAGTAAGTGCAGTTCTGGTACAACTTAATCCTTTCCCCTGACTGTTCCATATACAACCAGTTATTTGTTGAATGTCAAAGTCAGGGGTGGCTTAATCAACCTTTCTTGGCCAATAAATGGTGCGAGTATGAGCAACTTAACTGTTATAAGACATATCAAAATGTCTTGTTGTTTTTAAGGGTTACTCTACTGTGTCATGTTCTCTTACTGTACACAGCAAATGTAATAATGGACAACCTTTAGAATAAGGCATGTTTTAGCACTCAGTCAAGTAAATCACTACTGAAGAATGTCTATACCCCTTTAATAGTCATCATCTGAAGTACGGATATTCAATTGCTTCAGTAGCTTAGTGATGCCTATGAACATAAGGAACATTAGATTAAAGTAACTTGTGTTGGGGGAACAACATTTTTTTACATAAATGTAGCAAAGGTTGCCCAGGTCTAATATAGATGGCTGGATCTTGTGACAATCCTCATGTCTATGAGTGCCAGAAGACACATTAAACCCTTCATGACCAAGCATAATGAAACAACAATTGGCTACGCTGGATATTTTCATCCATTTGCTATTATTCCTCTCAGTTAAACTGGTGCTGAGGGAGTGTGGCTTTGTTACCCACTTTGGCCTCCACTGAAATAAAGATAAACACTCATATAAATTCATGTTTTGGCTTGGCCATGTTAGGTTGCAGGCTGTCAATAGTCTTTATAGTAGACATTGACAACACAGTGCAACGTGCAAAGAAAAAAAGTTGTTGCATAAAACAATAATTGGACAGTAAATGTGACTTTTTTTTCTGTACTTACCTGTTTAGTATGTAGATAGAAGCATAAATGTTTAAATTATATGGATTTCCAGTGCAATTGGAAATACCCTATTTGATTCAGACCCATTTGTATACCTATACTATAGCATTGACCTCACCTCCCACATCCCACTGGTAAACCACAATAGGACTATGTCCCATTGTTGCCTTCCTAACTTGGTGTACTGGAGTCCAACCAGTAAAAAAAGTGTTCCACAAAAGAAACCATTGTTTTTTCATGGTGTGGATGCAATAACAGATTTTGCCAGCAGAAGAAAATCTGCAAATGCAGATCTCCAGAAATCTAAGAATTGCAGGAAGGGCAGAACCCCTCCTTTTTACTATATCTAGATGTCCTGTACAAGTTTAACATTGTCACTTTTCCTTGGAATGCTCTTTAGTTTTACCATATATCTGTGGTCAATTTCATTGGTGTTTGATAATTACTGACGTGGCTAAGTGACCTGTACTTTAAACATTGCTGCAAATGAGACCAGCATCTGCTGTTCAGAGGGCACAGTAAATGTCCCTAAATTCATATGCACCTTTTAGAACATTTATCTTTGATCATGGTTACATTTGGTCTTGGGTCTTTTTTGTCAATTGTCAATTAAATAAAAAGTCACCTTCATTAAAATGTACATGTTTTTAACAGAGCTGGGGTGCTGTTGACTTCATTACTACATTTTTATTATGTCTTTAAAACGCTAGTGATAGCAAGGATGCTTGGGATATTTAGGACAGATAGTGGAAAATAGACTCATGAAAAAGAAAAATGACTGAAGCACACAAAACAACAGCAACCAAAATGTGCAAGCCTTTCTTTACAGAAAGATGCAAAATGTACCCAAATAACAGAAAGAAAAGCAGAAAGCTGCATGTCTGCACTCTTGTGGTCAGAGAAATATGGGCTAAATTTGTGTGCATGTATACTGACAACGTGTTAGTAAGGGTTAGTGAGGTTAATGAATAGAGATGGCGCCACCAAATCCATGGACCAATCTGTTCTGACAATGAAGATTTCAGAGGAGGCGAACGCCCACAAAATGGACTGTAGGCAACAGAACCTCATATCCATTTTGATGGCTGGCAAGTTCCAAAAATGAATGGAGTAGAGCCTGACTTAAACTGCGGTCTAGAAAAAAAGAGGATGATGAAAGTATGTGCCATAAAGATTAAGTGCCCCTGTAAGGCTCAGCATAGTGCATTAGATAATGAGAATCCAGTACATTTTATAGAACAGGATTGACCTTCTTGCTGGACATATTCTATCATCCTCTGTGTTCTAGAGTAGAACTTGGAAACCAGGAGAATAAGGTACCTGCTAGGTGGGTTGTTGACAGAGGGTCCAGGCTGTGAGACACTACATTTGCCCCGTGGCTGTTTGCAATGAACAGGGGGTAAAGAAAGAAGAATGTTCAGTCCAGGCAAAAAAAGACAAGCTACCGATGAAAGAAAAATCAACAAAATGAAAAGTGCAGCAAAAGAAAATAAAATCACATGAGGTGACCAATACCCAGGAGGGAAGGAAAACTGGCTTTCGATTTTGTTTTGTGTAGTCTATATCAATAAACATGCAATAAATTATATACTATCACTAAATAAACTACTTTTTTTTTCATCCAGTAAATATTTTTTTTCTTTAATTGAACAACATTTTAATAATCTAGAATTGTAAATACATAACCATTGGTTGTCCCATTCTATAATTCATGCAACTGATCATTATGATTATGTATCATCATGATTATATAATATAATTGGTATCTGATGTGTCTAAACATTCGAAAAGCCAGTATTCCCATACATTATACCACTAGGACCTATAGGAGACTAGTGAATGTGGAAAAATCAATTAAGGAGATCAAACAGTTCATAGGGATAGAACTGATAGGTGTTATTCAACTAAAGTGCAAATGAAATTCACAGTTCCAAAACCACAGAAAACTGATTAAAGTATAATTAAACAGAATGATAAAAGGATAGGCCAACATAACCCCAGTTTAATTAAAAAGTATATTTTCCCAATTGTTTGTGCAAAAGTGAAATGTCAGGGAGTTAGAAAAGTGGAATATTTCAGTGTGACCAGCTAATGGGAATGTGTATGTGTTTCCGGGCCTACCTGGCAGAAGTGTATGGCAAACTCTACCTGTCTGTTTCACAAAGTTTTCTGAGCGCTCTTTAGTTTAAACCATGTGTGCTTTACCGTTCTATGCCTGCTGGGGGTGCTCCTGCCAGACACAGGACTAAGAGATCCGGAGGTGTCTAACTCATCTGCCGAAGACCATGATGATAATTCCTGTGCGTAAGGATAAAACATACACATAAATGAGAGATACTGCTCCTGCAATTAAATGCAACAAACCCTGCTCTCTCAAGCTGTGATATGTGGTATATGATATGCCTACCAATATAAGTGTTTATACATGGCAAGGGGCATCTCTCATAGCATAATTAGAAGTGAGAAAATAAAAAGCTTTAAGACTTAAAACTTTTAGAATACACAATACTGTGTTTATAGCAACAACTTCTGTTATATATCTATTCTGTTATATATCTATGGTAGATACTCTGTTGTATTGAAAAAAGGTAGAGAATATAGCTGTGGCTTCCTTCCTGTTTCCAAGCCATGTGCAGCATGCATATCTAAATGTGTGCTTGTGTTTCTCTGTGAGGCTGTGCAAGAAGTTCCAACAAAAACAAACAACAAACTTTGAGGGAGTAGCCACACCTACTGACACCCCTGTTCTTTTCTTCTTGCTGCATCAGGATTGGCAGCAGCATCAGTAGTACAACCTCTGAAGAAGTCACCCTGCATGCGTGTCACCTCCACATGTCAAGGAGCGTGGCTTTTCAATAGGGCCCTTGACTATATCCCACCTGCCTTCTCTGGCATCCTATTGGACTAGCTTAGTGCTCGGGAATCTCTCCATGGTCACAGGGTGCCATGTTCGCTCTTTGTTACAATAACTGGTGAGACTATTACACATTTTTGATAGGCTTTTGCATGCTGGACATTTGTCCTACACACGGAACTGTATTTAACTATCTCGTTCTGCTGCAGACTTAGAGCTGTATACCAAGTGCTCAGTTATTCACAGAATCCCCTACACTTCATGGACAGTTAGCTAAAAGAAGTTTTATATATTCCCACAATGTCTTTTTTCAGGGACTCTCACATTGAATTGAAAAGGATATTAGTTTCTGTGAGATATGCACTTCTGAACTTTATGCATATAGCGTGCCCAGCACTCCATGCCACTGTTTCTTACAAAGATCCTGTACAGATTTACTAAGTATGATTATGGGATGCCTGTATATGCAATGTTTTGATGCTGCCAATACCACCTGTTTGACCTCTTTTCTATATCAACAATTGCAGTGTATTTGCATGAATGAAATATTTTCCACAGATGGTTTTTCATTTTGGTTCCATATCTATCACATCGAACCTCATGCCTATCTGGCTCATTACAAGCCTCTTATAAATTATGCACAATGCCTTTGTACAACCTTTGAAGAATTGCTGCATTTATTTGCACCTGGCTACTGGGGCATGCAAGTATTTGTTTATTAGTCTCCTGAAGTGGGATGTGTTCAACAATTCACCTTGACTATTGGGAATATCTATGCTTTTATCACATTAGCACTACCTGTGTCCACCATTATCTGGATATAAAATATTTATTGAATATTTCTTGATTGTTTGGACATGCAAGCAGTCCTTTTTCCAGTTTCCTGAAACCGGATTTGATATCCAGCAATTGATGCATACCTACCTTGATTGCTGAGATTTATGACTTTATTACATTAGCATTAGTGGTGTCAGTTACTACCTGGATATACAAATATTTGTTGAGTGTGCTGTGTATATTTACATTGCACACTTCAACTGCACGGTGTCCATTAGATTTATCACTGTCGGCTATCCATCTGCATGTGGATTGCTATCATTGCTTTATGTTTAGAAATTCCTAAATGAGTTTGGCATATGGACTTTATTGAAGTTGATTCTAATTGTCTATTTTAATAATTATCGCTCTTGCAGATTTTCTTTGTATGTATGCTATTCAGAATTTAATGGTTGCCAGATATTAAGGTTAAGATGTGTATATTTATAATCAACATGCTTATTATGTCAAGACTTCTGACATTTTTTTTTAGATTTTGGTGGGGATCCAGGATATCTTACATAGTTACATGGTATTTGAGGATAAAGACACAGGTCGATCAAGTTCAACCTTTGTGTGTCTGTATGTGATTGTGCATGTGTGTGTGTGTACACGAGTCCCTGTGTGGTCTAGTTTTTAAGAGTACCTGTACCCCTGTATGTTATGGTCTCTGAGGAAGATATCTAAATGCTTTGTGAATGATTTAATACTCTCTGCTGATACCACTGCTTGTGGCAGCAAGTTCCAGATTTTAACGGATCTAACTGAAAAAAAAGCCCCTATGCTCCTTGTGGTTAAATCTTTTCTCCACCAGTGTTAGTGATCTTTTTAGTGATCTGATTGTATTTCACTAAAACATTTTAACTGATTCTTTAGAATCAGTTTAGAAGATAACTCACTGTGTTCCCACACCTCATACTCTTTTTCATTGGAATATTACATGGTATTCTACATTATACATACTGGGCATGAGAAATATGCCATTTCTCATTTATTAGCCAATGTTTTGGTTTTAATGTGATTTACCATTATTCTTTTTTTCCCCACGCAAAAACTGTTAAGCAAGTCATCAGGATTAGCAGCTTTAGAGCACAGGAGGAGCTGTGCAGGATTACACTGGCAGGTAAAACAATAAAGATAAATGTATTGAACTGTATTTATCTCTCTGTTTCAATCTGCTACAAACCTAAAAAGAACAATTCAGTTGCATTGCTGTGTTGAATATTATTGTCTGCCTGGCCAGACCACTAGAATTTACATGGCTGTTAAGGCTGTCAGGCTTACAATGTTATTACTGATTCAGTATTAGTATACAGAAAACACAATAAGGAAAGAAAACATCAAGAAGTAAGTGGTAGAAGTGTCTACCCTCACACAGTCTTAGTCTACTAGTTCATCTATGTCAATTTTGAGACTTAGAAAGAACGCAGACTAAAGGCAAAATGTGTTCATTGAATAGCAGTGTATATTAGACATTTAATACATATTTTGTCATTACTGAGTATAGGAGTACTGTTATTTTTTCCACTCTTGTCTGTTAAACAGACGTCAAGGCTTAACATTTAACTTGTGTTGCTCTAAAGCAGGGGTGCCCACAAGGTCGATCGCGATCTACAAGTCGATCGCGTAGCGATCACTGGTAGATCACCATGTCCTCTCCTCCCGCCGCTTCTCTGGATCCCCGCTGCTCTCCCCAGCGGGGATCCGAGAAGAAGTGAAGGAACCGGCGGCGGGGGAGGGCGGAGCTGCTGTCACAGAACTAATGCAGAGCGGTGAGGAGAGAGAGAGAGAGACGCTCGGCCAGGATCTGACAGCCGGCGCCTCTCTCTCCCCTCACTACTCGTCCGTTCTGTCACAGCGGCTCTAGATATATATTCTAAACAGTAGGTATGCATATTATATTTTGCTGACACTCATGGCATTATGTCCCTCTTTGCTGAAAAATGTTCTTAATATCTTAATACCTGATAGAAGCTCATTAAAAGGAAGAGAAAATGCTAAAACATTGATATAATATTTATTTTATTCAGTTCCACTCACATAGCAAGACTTACCAGCTGATTGCTTGAAATGTCTAATATTTTCTCTATTTCTTTGATGTGACGAGTGACTTCCTTCAAGAGCACTTTGAGCCTGTTCCCAATGACATGTACCTTTTCTTTGGCTTCAAGGCAATCCTTGCCCTCTGCATTGACCATCAAATGGCAGGACATGTCTTGCAGTAATGCCACCTTGAGCTGAGACTCGAGCAGTTCACGCTTGATTTGCTGTTATACAAGGATAAGATCAGTTTTGTTTATATTAATCTGTTAAAACTTTAACTTTAGTACGAATTACTTATATTATTCAAGGTAACCTATAAATTGCAAACAATAAAGACTGTGCAATGTGATATTTTGCTTAAATTAAAGTTGCCAGTATTCTAAGGTTACATAAATGGCTTTGGCAATGCAAACACCCTGTACCTACCTTTAGGTTAGTGCTCCAGTTCTGGGGAAACCTCAAAACCCTAACATAGTATCTCAAACACTTCCTGCTAGTTTTGAAAATTGGCCTGCCTCCCACTTTTTTCTACTTACCAGGAAGGCTGCCCATCATAGTTATGGGCCCACAGAAACAGGCAGTAGGGGGTAGGCCAGGAAGTGTTAGAGATACCAATCTGCAGTGGATCTGACTTTAGGGTTCAGTTGGCAATAGAACAGTCACCTAATATTATGTGTAGACAGTTACTCTATGTGCCTGCATTGTACTTTCCAATTCTGTTCAGTACCTTTACAGTACCGATGAGTTGTTTTTTAATGTAGCTATCAGCCTTAGTAATCATTCAGTAATGGGTCAGTGGGCCAAAACTGATATTTCAGATTGAATTTAGTAAACTGAATTTTGCCACACAAATACAAGTGTACCTGTGCTTTGCCCAAACAGGTTAACGCAACAGGTTCCCATAAACAGTGTCCCCATCATAGCTATATACTTATTTTCTATCCCCTCCTCCACTGTTCTGTTTGCCTACCACAAACAAAGAAAAATGCCTAGTTCTTACAGATAAGGGGAGCATGTGACTCATGCCCCTTCTTTCTAAGTCTCTATGTTGGTGCTTGTTGACTGGTAACTCAGACATCCAAGTACTGTTACATGGGGATAATGAGAGAGCTCCCATCCCTGTGTAAGCTCCAAGTAGTGACTTCAAGCTTGCACAGTAAGCCATGACTCTTAGCTTCTGGAGGCTGAATGAAGCACGGAAGCTAACAGAATGTAAATATAGGCTGCTGGTGGGGCCACCAATTCATTGGCAAACCACAGGTTTACTTTTCAGCAACTCTTATCACTTACTTACTAACATCGTGTAAAGCATCATGAAGGCTTACATAGGTACTTGACACATTAGATATTCTTTTTTACATTTCAAATGCAACTTCTTAATTATGATTTTTTTGTAAGACAGGCTAAAAAAAGGATCACAGCAGTAAGCTTGAATTAAAAGAAAAACAGGAAGTTGGCCACATTTAAAAAAGGAGCTCTTCAATAGCCATGACTGCTTTAAATTCCCAAATTTAGTACCTTCATATTCACAAACGTAAAAAGACTCAGCCCGCAAAAACACTCAAACATACACACACCATGGGGTTGATTTACTAACCTTATAAACACACCACGAACATGTATACACCTCTGTAGTGTGTTCCCTCCCAGCATGATCTATGGGTGGAATCTAAACACCTTTGTAGTGTGTACACACCCAGCAGGTGTGTTGTGCAAAGCCTTGCATGAATTGCAAGGTGATGTTGTGTAAATTAGCTCTATGTTGTGTTGCTTGCGTTGATGAATGCAGGAATGTAAATGCATGAGCTAACCATTTTTGTCTAAACTGTGAAGCAGCATTATATATGCATCATGTGCATGATTTTTCCATATATGGCATTAGTGGAAATATGCTTTTAGAGACTTTTTGGTTGATAAATACGTTTTGCTGTGTGAAAATCACACACACCTGGTGCGTGCGTGTGTTTAGGTTAGTAAATCACACCCCATGTGTTTCCATTTACAAGCAAACGTGTGTCAGTGAATTAAAGGACGATGAAATCAGTGCATTCAAAAGTAAATGACCCATAATCTAAATTGCCACCTGCAGTCCTTTACTGTCTAACATATACACTTGTAACATAACATAATAAGAAGAAAGGAACTAGCGTTTTAAAAATGAAACCATAAATTAATATTTAATTCATCTAGGATTGATAAGGGGGGTTTGGGGCAAAATTAATTGTGGATTACGTTATGCAGTAAATGTGAGCAATACAGTGCCACAGACCCAACTAATTTCCCTTTAAGTGTTCCAATGAAAAGAAAGAAGGTAAAAATAGTACCGTTAACAGCTTGAGATGATCCTGAAGAGTGTCACTATCTAGGCTGGGATTGATAGGAAGGAGTTCACCTCTTCTTCGATCAATGTTTTCAAGCCAAAGCAGTAACCCATGACTCATTTCATGGAAGTCCTATCATAAACATACCAAAAAAATATAAGTATGACAACTATGACACTTACACTTTAATCTAACGGATATCCAACCACACTCCTTGCCAGTCTGCCCAATGGAAATGGGTGCTGAAGTGGCTACGGATGGTGCCACTCAAAGTAAACAGATAAGGTATGTCACCAGCACACTGGAATGAAGTTCTTTATTGACACATGCACGACATGTCACAAAGAAGGCAATGTTTCCGGGCCACTCAGGGTCCCTATATCAGGCTCATTATGACAAGCTTGTCATAATGAAACTGATGAAGGACATTGAGTGACCCTGAAACACTCCCTACTTTGTGAGATGAGGTGCATGTGTCAATAAACACGTTTTTTTAACACTTCATTCCAGTGTGCCTGTGACATACCCTATTTATTTACACTTTAATGATACACATACCTCACCACAGGGTCACTTTAACCAACAGGTCTCAGGTAAAAGAAATGTAAATACACTTACTTTTCAGCGCCCCATGTATTTAACAGCTGCTGGATTTCCACTTCCCAGCTGTTGCAAGTATCTGACCACAGGATGACTTACATTCTGGTTGGAGGAAACACATCAACCTAAAGGAAAGCAAGTGTTCTACACGTCCACAAGTGTAGAAAATCGCAATGGCTGAGGAGCAGAGAAGCAGTGGCTTTTAAATACATGGGCCATCGAATAGGTAAGTATATTGACTTGAACAATGTATGGTGACAGAGTCACTTTAAATACTACAACCATCTGAAGCTTAACAGAACAATTATACAAAATTAAAATTACATTAATTAATTAATTAAAATTTATTAAAATAGCTTTTAAATATTTAGTATTTGATTTACTATATTAGAATATAAGAATAGGAATGTAAGATCTCAGAACCATTCAACTAGAAAATTATGTAAAAATAATGTAAGAAGGACAATATAGTTTAAGCCATAGTTATGTTTTTAAACTGGCTGCGGGCAGCTAGGAAGAGCAAGAGAGTTGCATCTGCTGAAAAAAATGTCAATGCCAAGAGTTTGAGTGAAATTAACTACAAAGGAGGTAAACCATAAATCATCATAAACTGATTCAATGCGGTGTGCTTTTATATAGTAACCCCTCAAAGAAAACACCCATACAATTGTTAATGCTTTCATTACAATTTAAGTTCTTTTTCTTTCCATTCTCATTGTAGTTTCCTGTACAAAAGTAAACCTAATAACTCTAGGGGTTATAAATTAAAGCGTGGATACTTATATTGGCATACAAAATGGTAGGGAACACACGGTTATCTACACTATACATACTGGTCATATTCCATATGCCATTTCTCATTTATTAGCCAAAGTTTTGGTTTTAATGTGCTTTACCATTATTCTTTTTTTCCCACACAAAAACTGTTAAGCAAACCTTTTGCACAGAAAAGATTCAGTGCAAATGTTAGTATTATATATTCATTTCTTTCAACCAAGGCTCATTTTAATACAAAAATAGGTTATTTAGGTGTGAAGTAGGTGAGGCAGGTGAAAAGTGATTTTGTGTCCAGAAGTATAGCCAGAATTGTGCGAGTCCAGTTCCATTCCTAATATGTTAGGATTGCCACCCTAAGCTACACCAGCCCTACACACTGCGCACATGCCTCCCTCTTTTGGGCCCTTTATCCATGCACCTTAGAAAAGAAAGAATAAACTAAAAAAGTAAGTAAAATAAAAACAAAATTCATCATGTTAAAACATACTTTGTACTGAGATGAATAACTACAGTACAATAAAAGAATTCCAGCAACAGAATAAAACTATTCCTACAGGATAGTATCAACATGGTGGGGCATACATGCTGCTGATCCTCTACCCATGGGCTTGACAGCCCACATGTCTATCCTGCTAGGATGGCTAGTTTCCAGGAATTGCTATGTATGACACAGCAGGAGCAGGGCAGTCTGCAAGTGCCATTGAGTAATACAGTATTGTTACACTGTTACATGTATCGTTACACTAGAGTTAGTATTTCATTCATATGGAGATCAAAGGTGTGAACTTTGATCTGCATATGAAATCAGAAAAAACAACTGTTAAAGAAAGCTTACAAGTAATTAGGCGCATTACAAGGTGAATCTTCGTGCTGCATGTGTTTTAACCACTTCAGCTCTTAAACCGTTAATTAGGGCAAGAACAGGTGCATGATGACTATTTCATGTAAAAAAAATACATGTAATAAATCTTGAACTTAGTAATACTGTTTCTACAATACATGATCAGCACATTGGACAGCTCATAAGATATTGCTACAGCTCATAAGGTATTGCTTAAAATTTCAATTCACTAACACAGTGGACAGGAATATCCCGTTGGCCACGCTGCAGCCAAGCAAAATGAATGATTAATCTTAAAAATAATTATACTAATGGACAGAGAGTAATATTACACAAGCTAATCGTGACCAATATTTCCAAGTTAGATGGTGAACAATTAAACCTGTTAAATCTCTCAGGGATTCTATTAGCAAAACTCTCTGGTTGGCAAGCCCAGAGGCAGGAGTATCTTGCTCTTTGTGCATCCAAAATCTATAAAAAGACAAAGGGTGACTTATCCCACAACCCCCACTAAAATGTCACTTATGTGTTTACCAACGCTGTAACATGCCTACTAGATCTATAGCTGTGTTATGGACAACTTGGAAATCATGCATATTTATAAAACAGTGAATGTGACTTTCACAAAACATTCAATGGTAGTGAATTAATCGATTTTCAATGTAGGAGGTGCATCCTAAAATGTCAACAAAGTTTCCAGGAATTGCTATGTATGACACAGCAGGAGCAGGACAGTCTGCAAGTGCCATTGAGTAATACAGTATTGTTACACTGTTACATGTATCGTTACACTAGAGTTAGTATTTCATTCATATGGAGATCAAAGGTGTGAACTTTGATCTGCATATGAAAGCAGAAAAAACAACTGTTAAAGAAAGCTTACAAGTAAACAAAAATGTTTTTCTTAAATAAAATGTTTTCATATTTAATTTAATAACCTCTTAATGACCTTTAGTTAACCCTAATTAGCCCTAATTAACGGTTTAAGAGCTGAAGTGGTTAAAACACATGCAGCACGAAGATTCACCTTGTAATGCGCCTAATTGCTCTGTCAGGATCTCAACTGCAGAGTCGGGTTGCATCAACTGGAGCTCGTCTCCCAGCTGATTGAGTTGTATTATGGATGAAATCAGTCGGAGCTTCAGTGCCACTCTCAATCATAAAACGGAGAGTTTTGAAGCTACCAGCATCATGTATCACCTGTTTGAACTTAAACTGTAATTGGTATGGAAGTGTTCCTTGAGATCATAAAAGTGTAAAGTGGTAACGGTAGTAATGCAGCACACATCACATGAAGTAGTACATGGGATACAAGTATGTTGTTGATAGCAGTATATGAGATTAGCTACTACAGCAGGTATTGGTATATCCGTATTATGAGCACAGTATAAACAGCAGTTGATGGCACAGCAGTCTATCCCTAATAGTAGTAATCTGGTATACAATATATGCGGCTGGTAAACTATGGCAGTAGTCTCTATGTGTCAGAGTACACTGACTAAGGGTACTTGCGGTATTGAAGCAAATTAACCCTCCACGGGTAGTCCAGAGATCTCGGCTGTAGGGGAGAGGTTCCCTCCGTCTGCTGACAGTTTGTAAGTTCGTCCCAGGGGAGCTAGCAGGGCGCACACTCGTTTAGTGGAACGCCGCTGCTATGCTCTTCCCCTGTATAAATAGGGCCGCCTTGATTGGACAGGTCTGCCGGCGTCTGACGGCCGTTGCGTTCCACTGTGGAACGCAAGCCGCGCGTCTCGCTATGGAACACGTCGGCGCTGCGTTCCAGGGTGGAACGCAACACGCCGAATCCATTACACACCTGCAGCGAATGTTAAGTGAACGCTGCTTTATAAATTTACCCCCCAGTGTCAGCTTCCTAATATTCATGAAATGACAAAATGGTAGTTTATGGATACGATGTAATTGCATAAATAAAATGAAAATGTACATCTTTGTATTTTACAAACAGCATTTTTTGAACACCAAATAAACTAGTGATATTAATGTAGTCCAGATTTTGTAGGAGCCAGTGAGCAGACCTGCTTTACACACAAAAAGAAAAACACAACACTTGACGAGTTTGTAAATAATGAAGTCTGTTACAAACCTGGCACTGCATTAAAGCATCCTGTAGTGAACAGCGCCAGTCTTCTAATGTGCTGCCCACACGGTCCCATCTCAGGTTCATTTGGCTCAGGCTCTCTTGAAGCTCCTTGCTCTCTTGAGTATCTGCCTGAGTGAACTCGGAGCTGCAAAGATTAATGGACAGCACAATAGCTTTCCGACTATCCACAGCCTTCTGAAGTTCCTGAAATAAGCAAGTGGAAGAAGAAAAAAAGGCATTTGTTTTTTATCATTTGCAGACATGCCAAATTCTAGAAGTGCATGAAAAAAAAAATCTGAATAGTGCCACTTTAGTTCCTACATCGGTTACATATAGATTTAAAGTAGGCCAAAAAGTGCTTTCTGATTTCTTCTAGTAACACTTTTCCTTTTATTTTCACACTGATTTAAGCATACAGATTGGCTTTCTGATATGAACAGGATTTCAGGTTTTTTTTTAATCTTCTTTTGATAACGCAAATTATCTAGTAATTCATGAAAAATATATCCGTACCAATTAACCCTAAAAGGATTATGTGCAGATAGTTATTTGATATTATGTGGTATGGCATATAGAACCATTATTTCAGAGATTTTTTTTAGGTGTCAATATAGTAAATACATATACTGTAAGCATAACAATGAACATACTGGTATATATAAACAATGTTTTATTTATACAGATCTCTAAAACCACATTGTCATAAAACATATAAAATATACAAGGTCCCCGTATGCACAGGTGATACTACTGAATATATATTCTACCCATACAGATCCTTGTACCATCCACTATACTGTATAGGTTTATGTACTCTGTAGTTGGCAGAATCTGTTTTTTCTTTCAGCATGAACCAATAACTGGATGGTGGCACCATGTTACTCGTTTCTCAAACACAATCTGATCCCTCAGATAGTATGGGAGAGTGTTTACAATAGAAATATACAGTGTTATAGAATGTAATTGATTACATTAGTGGTAAACAGATTCTACCAACAACAGAATGTATAAGTAGTGGATGGCAGGCATAAGTATGGGTAGAATACATATTCATTAATGCCACCTGAGTAGGGACCTTGAATATTAAATATGTTTTATGGTCATGTGACTTTAGAGACAACTGTAAGTAAAAAAGTGTTTTTATAAACTGGTATTTTCACGGTTATGTCTATATGTGTTTACCATATTGACACCTAAAAGGCCCCTAAATAATGGTTTTGTATGTTGTAGCTCAAAGATGGGATGTGATGTCCTGATTTCCTGACCAAAGGGATATCCATGATCATACTTGATACAACAAACAACCCAACTGATAGAAGTATATAGAGTTATTGATAGTGATTGGGCAGGAGGGGTAAACAATGACTTAACAATGCTTGTAACATCTCTTTTTTGTCTTTCACACTACTCTTCATTTTCTGTTTATTCAGGAAGTGACGATATGCAAGTCTGGACTTTATTCTATACCGCTTTTTTTAAATTTAGCTTTGGACAGCATGGAAAAGGGATATAACCTCTGAACTTTATGAGTTCTGTGTCCCTATTAGAGGCATTCCCCTTCACTCCCTATGGAGACAGGAAGTAATGGCAATCTGCCTAGTAAGGACATATGCAACAAAACATTTTAATCAGTAAATTGGAAAAGATGGCCAGGTTATTATTATTGTATGTATCTTCCTATTCCAGGGACAACTGTTCCCCTAATTTCTTGTCCTGTTTTCACAGACACAGGAAATAAGGTAACATTTCCTCAACATATTAAAAAAAAAAAAGATTAAAAAGTAAAAAAATATATAAAAATGAAAAAAAAGGGATAAAAAAGTAAAAAAAGAAAATATAAAACAATTAAAATCAACCCTGCCGCTCCTGCCGCTTGTTGCCATTCTCAATTAGGGGGGATGGGGTTGGTGAGGAGGGGGGCGCATTGAGGAAACTGGTCTTGGGGCAGCAGAGAGAGTAAATCCGGCCCTGGTTGTCACAGTGACAAGAAAGCGCAAAATCATAAGAAACAATGTCAATGTTCACATAAAAAAAATTTCAAACCCTTCACTAAAATGTGTTTTAATCTTTTTCCCTGCTGAAGAAATTCCCTTAACTTCCTGTTCTGGCAGGAAATGAAGGGAAATCCTCCCAATAGGGACACAAATGGAAATTAACCCTGACAGAGGCTCTTTCCCTTTCTGATATATTGAAAAAAATGCCTGTAGTTAACAGGCTGTATTGTTATACACCAACTGATGGGAACTTTTGCTGAAGATGTTGTTGCTATTAGTGCTTTGATCAATCATATTTTAAGCAAACTTGGGGACTTATGTGGACATAACAATGCAGAAATGCACATCACACCCCTTTATCCCCACTCTTCTCCTAATTACTACATCCATTTACCAAAAACAAACAGCGAAAAAATGAATGATGCATAAAACTAAAACATTTTGTAAATTTGAATACCTGTTTAACTTAATAACCTTTTTCATGATTTTATTTGCCCCAGCATGTGCATCAAAATATACTGCTGGAAAAATAGCTTACTTTTAGTTTTTTGATTCTTTGTTCTATAGTTTGGATATCTGTACTGATATCAAGACGGCGAAGCTGTTCAAGCTCCTCCTCTGTTTCTGTCAACCAATCCATGATGTTGTTCAGATCTGACATGAACTGTTGCCACTGCTGGAGCTTTTGTTTCATTCGTAGTTCCTTGTTTAAAGCCTGTGCATGAATTAATTCCCATCGTTCGATAACACCTGAGACAGAGATCATATCAAGACAACAAATAAAGTAAAACTGAAGATTCTAATGAAGAGCTGAAAATATTTAAGAGATCTGTCCACCTTTTTTTCACCTTATACCAATAAACCACCACACACTCCACCTCACCCTCAACACTTCCTATGCCAATACCCCCAGCAATAGGCTGAAGAGCAGCTTACACTAATTTCCTTAACTTTACACTGCCTGCAATTTTACTGTACTACTTTAGTAAATTTTATGTCATTGTATATTTTTAATGTACAACCACGGATTGGAAAAAGGAAACTATTACATGATGGTTCCATTTTGCCTATTATATACTTTATACGGAAATAAATAAAGTAAATACAATAATTAAACAGACCCCCTAAGTCTTCATGTGTTGGACTACTCCATTGTCTCTTCCTGCACAATAGTTACAATTTTTTTTTCACTTTAGAACAAATATATTTATATCAAAAACAATTTTGAGTTTCAATTGGTAAGTTTAAATCTGATAATATTACTCACCAGCGGACTGTGTTTCTGTGCTATTAAGGTTAATGAAACCTGAGAGTTTCTCTTCTTCTTCTTTGAGTTTTCCACTTACTCTTCTCACAGTGTCTATGCTGCCTCGACACTCTCCAAGAAGCTTCATCTGAAGAACGGCATAGAAAATATTAAACAGATTAAGCAAATTGAAGCAATGTGCTTACAGAGTTTCCTTGCTTTTTTGTTATATGTTTGACAAGTGGCTGGTACAAAGACATAAAAATGTGATAAAGGAATGTTAAACTGTCAAATCTACTGCAAAAAGTGTAATTTTTATTTTATTTTAGGCTAACAAAGACCCAAACTTCTTGGAGACACCAACAGTCTCCCCCTGGGAGATGTTGGTGCCTCCACCTACCTTTGATTGTTCCAGTTCCTTCTGTTGTGTTTTATATACTATATAATTATAACGTAAGAATCCCTGCACAGCAAGAGTGCAAATCAAGGAATGCAAGAACAGATATCTCACCAATAGAGTCCATGAGATTAAGGAACTGTTGCAAGCATTATTGTGGTACAAGTTGATCAAAAACAGAAAGGTAAAACAAATAAAAATGGTGTATATATATACATACATATTTTATTTTTTATTTATTTTCCTGTGAGTTGTGACCAGTAGATAAAAGAAGCAGTTTCCTGCCTTATGGGCAACTGCATGGTTAACACGTGACAAATTCACGGCATGCGCATCTACGACGTATCGTGGCGCCAAATGGGCTATTTAAGCTCAGCCTCCCCAAGCCTCCAGTGCTGAGTACTCTTCAGCTGTGTGCCTTTTATCCCGAACCTGTTTCCTGTTGTGTTGCCTTCCCATTCTGAACCCAGCTTGTGACTCAATCCTGCTGATCTCCTGGTATTTTGACCCTGGCTAGTTTGACTACTCTTCTGCTTCCTGCCTGATCCTGCACTGCCTGCATCTTGCTGATCCTGGCTTGCCACTTGACTACGATTTCCTCTCCTGCTTCTGTACCTACCTGCTTGCACGTTGCTGACCCAGTCTGTCTGACTTCGGCTCTTCTCTGCATGCCTCTTTGCTGTGCGTTTATATACCATTGCCAAGCAGAGCAGCTACCGAACTTATTTCGAGCATCTAAGTCATTATCTGGCACTCGTGCCCTGCTGTGCATCAGAGTACCTGTATTAATATTCAGGCCACCTGGAACCAGAGTTACAAGAGAGGCTTCCCTTGTCATCTCAAGCACCATAAGGTACGTGACAGCATTGTAGTACAGCTGGCTACTGAATACCACACCATTTATTGGTTATGCACCATGTAGCCAAAAGAATGTGAACAGATTTCTAAATTTTAGCATTAAGGTGCACAAAACCAGGTTCATAAAGACATAGGTTAGAAGTAGAAAGGATTACTCTGCTCGATCGAGCAGAGTAAACCTTTCCCTGTTTTCTTTTTTTTTTATTCTGACATGGAGCCGTTGGCTGCCGTCAGAATAAAAAAAATTAAAAATTCACCATAGGAATGCATAGCTAGATTCCTATTGGCTATTTCAATTTGCAATAGCCAATAGCAAACTAGCTATTGCCCCCACCCACTGCTGCTGTCAATCAGCAGAGGGGACTTGCAGTTCTCCATCAGGTCCCCTCTAGTGATTGACAGCAGCAGAGGGCAGGTGCAATAGCTAGTTTGCTATTGGCTAGCAGAACCGCCTGGCCAATAGAAATAAGTTGGGCGGAGCTAGCTGTCACTGCTCAGCATGTTCGGCCGACCCAAAGCCACACGAAGCCACCCGATGTACGGCTGATTTCAGCGTTCGGCTCACTTCACTTCAGGTTGGTTGTTCACTCGGCTGCCTATGGCAGCTTAGTGAATAGACCCCATAGTGTGATGAATTTGGTGTGGAGGAACTAAAGTGAACTGCACAGTGTTCTGACCTCAACCCTACTGAACAGCTTTGGGATTAAATAAAAACATCAATTGTGAGGCAGGCCTTCTCATTCAACATCGGAGCTCACAAATGATTTGGCAAAATGTGCACTCTAAGAGTGGAGGGCTAGAGGCTATTATAGTTGCAAAGGAAGGGGGACTCCATTAAACTGCCAGTTTTGGATTGGGATGCCCAACAATCTTATAGAGCTGTGATTGTCAGCTGACCACAAACCTTTGGCCATATAATGTACATTCTGACCAGGAACACCATGGAAATGAGTTGTAACAAACAGATGTAACAAAAGTTGAACAGGTATCCATAATGTCCAATTAAATTGTCCAATTGCTTGGTTTAAGGATGAACCAGGTGCTTTGGAAAACAGCTTAATTTTTACCTGGGTTTTAAGCTCCAGTTTTTGTAAATCACTAGTATTGCCAGACACATAAAGTTAGATCAATCAACATATGCAGCAGCACTCCTGGCATGGTTCATCTCAGTTACTAGTTACTATGATTGGTTGATGGGAAATAGGAGTAGTGAACCTCTGATCTGATTTTATAAATGTCCCCCACTTTGTATTGGGACTTTATTACATTATAAACAAGACTAAATACATAGCCATAGCTTAAAGAGACAATGTCCCTAGATGGAACCCATTATAGCAGAATAACCCTGTAAAAGAAGAGGAATACTCACTTTTCTGGCATGCAGGAAAGGAAATTGTCACTTTTGCCAGTAGCTCTAGTCAGTACTGCTATCCAACATGTATTTGGATAGTGTGTCCTCTGTTGCGCACTGTGGTTTTTTGGACTGACCCCTACAAAACTACATGACACAGTTGCAGTGCAGCAGCACCCAGAGCTCACGAAAAAAGCAAAGATTTCCCTTGCTTCCTGCTGGAAAGGTGAGTATTCCCTTTCTTCTCTTTCAGGGTTATTCTGCTGTAACGTCTTCCAGCTAGTGACAGGGTCACCTTTAAGTAATGATTTTGCAACAGAATTGTAACTTTACTGCTTGACATGGAAGTTATTAATGATGCAGACACACAGCTCTGATATTTCAGATGCATCCATATAGATTAAACAGTTTGATTCCCCATTTTCAGTACTTACATATCCTGTGTAACTTGAGTCTAGTTCAGGTCCAGTGGGGGTTCTGCTGCGAATGACATTCTCTGTCTGCTGTAAATGGAAGCGGCTGGTATCCAGTGCTTTGTCTAGCTGACGGATCTGTGATTCTAACAAACCAGACCCTCCTGATATAGAATAAAGAACATTATTAATCCTGAGCTGGGCATTCGCAAAATCTGTACATGGGATAAGTATTTAGAATAACTAGTGTAGCAAGCATGCAGAAAGTAGCAGTATGGTTAACTGTTGGGTGTGCTAGTAAGTGACTTTGATGGCAAGGAAAGTATTGTATGTACTTTATAAAAATGAATAAACAGCACAATTAAAGAATGGAAAACAATGATTTGAGCCCCTTATTGTTACTAAATGAAAGAAGCTCATATGAGTTTATTGTTTGCGAACTGTGACTACATGCCTACAAATTGCTCATATGTAGCATTATTCTGTACCTGTTACAACTTTACGTACTTGAATAGCATTATTTAATGTTCAGTTTGATTGGTGGTGCTTTGTATTGTATTATTTCCTAAAGTCATAAACAGGCAATAGCAGGAGGCAATTGCCATTTGTAGGGGAAGCCATTTTTGTTCTAAAAGATCTGTAAGCCATTAAGAAGATTAAAGTCTCTGATGGTTAAAGTTAGCTAAACGTTACAGTAATGGGTGAACCAAATTGCTGACACCTGTAAAGTGCCCAATGGCACTAAAGAACCATCCTATTCAATCTTGTCAAGGCTATGGTCCATGAAATGCATATAGTAATAGAAGAGGTGTATCTCTACAACCTTATGTGCCATTTGTTAATGTTTACATTGACTTTTGTCAGATCAGCTGGTCACAGGTAAAGGTAAAGATGGTACCCAAGGCTATCATGTTTTCACTATAACGTTGTGCTGCTTGCTACCAATGCACCTTCATTTTTATTTTTTGCAGTTACAAAAAAAATAAACCTCAATGACCCTGATGTACGTTTCTTTAGTGATGATTCACATATTTCCTTCTTGCTTTTCCTACTGATGGCATATATATTATTTGAAATGTCTGTTAGATATTTTACTAATGTCTTTAATTGGTTTGGTAAATACAGTGAATTATCTTTGATTATTAGTAATTGTTCATATTCATTGCTAATAAAAGATTCCTAGAATTTGGTGACTCACAACTGACTCATATTTGCAGATGACTGTCCTTACAACAAAGATTTGGGCCCTTAAGGTATTTTTAAAGTGTATCTAAACCCAGTAACAAAAATTTAATATATTGAAGCTTTCCAAACCTTACATTCGGTGGACTTTTTTTCCTTTATTTTCACCTGATGATCCTGTCATTAACACATGTCCTGTCCTAGGGTGACTACGCTCTCTTACTGCATTGTGTCTATGAAGGAGCAGAATTGTCACTCTAGGCTGCTCTCCTGATTTGGACTAGAAATACCTCCGCTTCTCTATTATATAAGGGTAAGTTATTTTGTAGTTTACAGAAAATAGCTGGGAAAGCTGATAACATTGTTTGGGATTTCAGTTCAGTGCACAGGTGGTTACCAGAACACTGGGTTTCTGCCAGGATCAAGATATTCTTGCTGAAAATAGGGCTGCAACAACTAATCGACTAAATCGATTATAATCGATGATTGAAAATTGTCAACTTTTTTAGCTGGTGGTATTCTGTATTGCGCTGTATAGAGGACTACAAAACCCAGTTATAGTACATTATACAGCACAATACAGAATACCACCAGCTATAGAGGAGTACAACAAATGCTAGCAATAATACATTTTACAGTGGTGCAATGCCGAATACCACTAGCTATAGAGGACTACAAAACCCAGCAATAGTACATTATACAGCGCAATGCAGAATACCGCCAGCTATAATGTACTATTCCTGGGATTTGTTGTATTCCTCTATGGCTGGTGGTATTCTGCATTGTGCTGTATAATATACTATTGCTGGGATTTGTAGTTCTCTATAGCCGGTGCCATTCTGCATTCATTGCTGTATAATTTTACACTTTTCATTTCACTATATTGCACACCACACTTTTTTTCTTTTTTACTTCCACCGCTCCAAGCTTGCTCCTGTGATGGACTACAATCTCAATACAAACGAGTAGTCCCATCACTGGAGCCATTTTTAAAAATGTATTTTATTTTGTATCCGATTAACCAATTAATCGAACTTAATAATCGGCTAACTAATCGATTTTGAAAATAATCGTTAGCTGCAGCTCTATCTGAAAATGTTCCTAGCCTGATAGAAAAGAAAACTAATGCCACCATTACAGGACTAGTAAGTTTCAATAAATTATCATTTTTGATTTTGGGTTTACTGATTGTCAATGGAAACATTTTGTAAACTACTTTGTACTAAACACATTGTCAATGTCGGAACCGTTTTTTTTACAGTCGCTTAGCGGCTATGCTGACACCTTTTGAACCCCTCATATTTTGCCCTGCCAGAACCTAATGCCAGGACCCCTTTGTTGAACATGATCCAGGCTACATAGTAGTGAACTGATGATGTCTTGACAGGTAAATTTTGTCACTCACTGTTCCCACTGTTGGTGTAAACTTATGCCACGGCCAATATGCAGAAGCATTGGTCTGTATGTATCTCGTATACATGTCAGTATGTCAACTTAGTATAGCATGAGGCAAGTGTGAAATATAAATAGCACGGTTAATTGGCCATCACCTTAAATCTACAGCTGGCTTTATCAGGTCAGGCCTTCTGTATTCATTTTGATTATATAAGTGTATTTTTAAGAATACTACAGCCCTTCCAGTCCCCTCCAGCAGTCTCCCTTAAGTTCTGATATGTGTAAAAAGTAAGAAGCATGTATATTAGTACTAATATATGGTTACATAACCAAATCATGTACTCTTTTAGTGAGGCATGCATTACAGAACATTTAATGTGCACCAGCCCTGCAATGCTTTTTCAGCAATAGTTTTGATGCTACATATTATTATAAGTTAAGAAGCGACACCTGATTAACAGTGTATTAGCTTTGCTCATTCAGTGTTAAATATAAGGATTAGGTTAGGTTAATAGTCACTGTTATACATGCAGAATGGGACAGGCATATAATAGGAACTAGGTTAAATAATGTGACAGAATTTAAAGCTGTGACGTGGTGTTCAGACTAAGTGTGAAGTTATACAAAGGCTTTTTTAGTCTTGGCACTCAGCCTACCAGTGGACTCTCTCAGAATATTTTCAGTGAGTTTAATATAGGCTTCAGGGCTTTCAGGAATTTCTACATCTGTAAAGACAAAGGACAGGCTGAGTATGTTGAAGGTGCCCAGATTTGTTGGATCCTTTGGATAAACATGGCTAACACCATCTACAGATCCTGAAGCAGTTATTACACAGTCTGACCTGTCCCTAATAAATCAGTCACAATGAAGCTATCCTTGTCCAAAAAACACGAGCCTTAACATGGTTTTGCAGTGTTTTCAATTTCTGAAGGGCTAAAAGGAATTGGTCACTTAACTGCAGTCTTAAGTAGTCTAGTGTCCACAAAAAAATGAAGTCCATTATCTAATAAGGCCAATAGCTGAGGTTTGGGACACATCCACTTTTTAGTTTCAATTTTTTACCAGAATAAGATGTTGCCTGTGTCAATTGCAACCCTTTCCAGTTGAGAATAATGCATTTCAAACATCTTAGAAGCCAATCAGTGTCTAACCTCAACCAGGTTTCACATGTTTTCAACATAATTACTTTTTTCTTCTTTCCCTAGTCCCTTGCTACCTTCCCTACTCCTCCAGTACACTCTGAGAGAAATTAGCAAAATAATAGTGTTACTTTTCTGCCAGTGTGTGCAGCACTGGTGGTCACCTATCCCTATTAGTGGGCATCAATTACAGGACTACCGATTAAACAAGCAATACAAAAACATGCAAACTTGCTTTAACAAATATTAGTAATTTTAACATAATTTACAAACCTTTCAGACACCTGCATGAAGTAAAAATTACAAGTTCAGACATCCTATTTTTTTCAAGGGCTGATAGTTTTCTGGTGAATTTATAAACTAGCACTTTTGGTGTAATGTTCACCACATTAAAATGTACACATTGCAGAAAGTACATTTAAAGTATGTCTGAAGAACTAGCTAAACAGGTCTTAAAACTCAACGCAGGTACCCTCTTTTTCAGTTTTGTACCTCTGCACAGTATCCTGAGTATCTCAGTGTTAGGAACATGCCAAGTGCTCCTATCCCTGTCGCAACCACTCAGCTCCATCTGGTGGTTGCCTCTTCTAATTGCACATACCATAGTCCAGTCAGCTGCAGACTAATCAACCTGGCTACACGCCCTTATAGCCTGGATGTTGGTTAGTTGTGCTCTATTTAAGCATCACAAGCTCTGGGCTTGTGATAGTTCCAGTCTTGTCTTGATCTGTCTACACAAGCCTGTATCCTGATCCTGAATCCTAGTCCTGCCTTGATCGTGTAACCGTGGCTCTTTAAAGGAGAACTATGAGGTGAGTGCTTTTCACTCACTTCATAGTTCTAGCCGACCTGTGACAATGAGACTGTCACAGGTCGGCTCAGTAGAGAGGTGAGCGAACACATACCGGCGTTCGCTCACCTCTCAATCCTGTCACGGCTCCCTGCCGTGACTGGGGAGGGGCTGGATTCCCCCCTCCCCGCTCCGATCCGCCAGCGCTGACTGGCGGAACGGATGGGGGAGGGGGCGGGTACAGCTGGCTCTGCCTCTAGATAGGCAGAGCCAGCTGTCAGTCACGCAGCTGGGCGGATCCCGGATCCCTGCTTCAGCTGCGGCATCTCAGTATACCGCGAGCAGCAGCTCACTGTATACTGCGGCGTCTCAGTATACCGCAAGCTACAGCTCACGGTATACTGAGCCTAGGGTGAAGGGAGGACGCTAGTTTGTGTCCTCCCGTTACCCTAAGGAGAACTATGGGGAAAAGCCTTAACCCCATAGTTCTCCTTTAATCATATACCTGTCTTGTTTCCTGTATCCTGTATGTATCTTGTATTAGTTTATGTCTTGTATTTGTTTCTTTTTCCTGTCTTGAGTCTTGCACCTTGACATCAGTCAGTACTTCTCCCTTGTTCCTGGGGGCCAGCCTGTGGCATCACCTGATCAGAGCAAATCGTTTAAGTCTTGGGGGCATCCATGTACCGGTAGGCGTGCTTGCCTTATGGCAATGGCAGCTGCTAAAGGTGAAACAACTCATCACTATTGGCTCTGAAAGCGCGTGTCCACAGCTGGTCCTGACACTCAGATGTGCCAAACTCCAGAGTGCTCTAATATGCAAATCAGAACTTATGTCAACAAAGACAATGTCTTGGTTGGTTTTTCCAATGTAAGGTGCACATCAATGACAAAAAGAGTTACAGAAGGCGGTGGGCTAGTCTTAGGCTTTCTATTCAAAAACTGAGAATTGCATATCTAAAATCTCCCAGTTTTTGGGGGTTTTCAGGGCACCCCAGGAGATGGGCAATGTTACATGCCCACAGTGTTGGTTGCCTGCTTTAAAATGATGGAGTGTTTTACACAGTAACAAGTGTACATTAAATATTCTGAAGTAAACACCAACATAAAGTGTATATTCATTTAATAAAATAAATTAGTCACATGTAACTTTAGCCCTACAAATTAGAAATCAACATGTGAAGTTTAACTGATAAGCTAGTGAGAAGGAAACTGGCAAGAATTTTAGTTCTCATGTTTTTGGAGATAAATTCTCAGTAATGTTTCTGGTGATTTTTTAAAAACAGAAATAGATCCACTAATTTATCTGTCTCCCAAAACCATTACTTTCAAGGCATCCCGACTTTCAAAGTTCCCATTGTGCTTATTTCAGCTGTCAAATGAACTTTTATGTCCTCAAATGGCTGGTGTCATAGCTGATCCCATGTGCAGCACCATGACAACTGCAATCAAAATAGAGGCTAAGATGGCACCTTCCTTGGCTATAAAAGATCTACAGTAGTTCTGCTTTAACACATTTGACAGTGAATTCATATAGTAGCAGTAAAAGGCACAAAGTGCAAAGTAATCCATAGCAACCCGGTCAGGACACTATCTGGAAAGAGTTTCCATGTTTGCTCTTTGCTTGCATGGGTTTCCGCCGGGTACTCTGGTTTGCTCCCACACTTCAAAAACATGCTGGAAGGTTAATTGACCTGTCTAAAATTAGCCCTGTATGTATGCATGGGAGACTTTAAATTGTAAGCTTTGAGGACAGGGACTGATGTGCATGTAAAGCGCTGCGTAAATTGTCGGCACTATATAAATACCAATAATAAATAAATAATACATTTAACATTTAGGTCATTTTATAAAAACAATGGAGGGTAAACTGTATGCCTAGAGTGTTTTGCCACTGCATAGTCAAGCAAAGCAACAGGAACAAAGCTAGGGAAACCTGTCTGCTGTCATAATGCTGTCACTCCCAACAATAGCAGTTTGTTAAGACCACTTAATTAATTGTTATGTGACTTGTTATTACATGTAAAAGGTGGAATATTTTACCAGTTAAACCAGTTGCTCCTTGAAGGAAGTAATTTTTGTCATCTTCATCATCTGAGTGCAATGCTTGAGATACTGCTGTTTCTAAATCCCGGCTGAGGTCATAGTCATGATCCCACTCCAATGGTATAGAATCCACACTAGCTGGTGTATCCCGCCCTGATCTTTCACTCCTCATTGGAACAATTAGAGACAGTGAGTGGTTTGAAGAAGGCAGAGGTGACAGGATGCCACCTGAATTCTTTGTGTGCCACTGCAGATCAGACAGGTCCATTGATTCATCTATATCCACCTCTCGGTCAGAGAAGTCATGCTCATCGTCTGTCAACTAGAAATAATCAGCAGAAAGAATAGAAACGGTCAATGTAAAATTCTAGGTTGGGAAACGACCACAGCAAGTTTACAGATAGAAATTATGTATAAAAATATGTTTTTTGTGGTACTATACAGTAGGTAATGCATTTTATTTTATTCTTTTTGTTTTCTTTTATGTACCTAAGTTTATTAACTCACTTAACTTAATTCACTCTTGAAGGACCAAGGGGCTGATGGATTTTACAACATAAAAAAATGAAACTTAATTGGTTAGATTCGCCAACAAATCTAATTTTATGCTAATTTTCTTTTCTTTGGGTTTAATGTATCAGTGGTAAAAAAAGGAAAGTAGACTTTCAAAAGTTGCTTTCAATATCTGCAGCAAACCACAATTCGATAATGCCTTTTACAGTATAACATTGAATGTTCTCCATTTTTCCATACCTTTTTCATCTAAAAGATGGACATTTTTAATGTGCCTATTATATAATTTTATAGTTACCTATTTTCTACACTGAAAGGTTAGGCATTTTTATCCACATCATAAATAGTCTTGAAACATTTAAAGCCTTAATGTCTGAAGTAGCAGGTGGCCACAAAACGGGTTCTATGGTATTGAATAAAATTGACCTCCTGAGATTCATCTTTCCTGTGACCGGTGTGCCTCCGATACCTGACGTTTTTTTTTTTCAGTTTTCCGCCACATATTGCTTTACCATCTCGAAGTTCCACATAGATTATTTAGACTTGGGCTAGCCCAGGGCATCCGAGTGTGACCACCTCTTTCCAAGAACTGCATGGAAACAGATGCATTCTCCACATGCAATGTAATACGTTTGTGCATACCACTTCCTGTGATCTCCTTCGACCTCTCTAGATGTAAGTTATATTACATCTCTACAACTTTACTACACAAGAAAGGCTCTTCTGCTTTCTCTATCTTGTTGTTTTTTGTTTTTCCTCTCAGAGTGTCTGTTTTGAGAGAAAAACAGCGCCACAGGATCCTATATCTTTCCCTACTTAATTTGTGGCTGAATACTAAACAAGTAGATACTGTTAAGGGAGAACTTGCACTTATTTAACTGGACGTACAATAAATCTGCTGCTAAAACTGATCTCTAATTTGGATGAAAAAGTAATTGCAGACATAAATAATATACATACCGGAAGACGGATGAGCTTTTTGTGATATCGTTCAACACGACCAAAGACCTCCATGCAATACCTCCTCAGTTCATCCAGTTCTTCTTCAATAACAGCAGCATCAAGAGGTTCACTCTTTTCTAAGAGTTGTTCTCCCTGAGTAATAATTTGATCAATCTTGGAATTGTTTAGGGCTATCTCTTGCTGAAAGGCCTTAGGGAAAAATAATACTTTGGTCATATGAGGTTTTATTAACCAGTTCAGCTATCACTCTTGAGTACCAGAGCATTTTTTTCTGCTTGTAAGGCAAATAACTTTGTCATTACTTAATAAAACAAAGTAATATATATATATATATATTGTGTTTTTATATTGTGTGTAGGAAAAACAAAGCTTTATTTTGGTTATATTGTATTGCAACATTGATTTTAATTTGAATGCAATACGTAGACAAAAATGGAACAAAACAAAAAAACTTGCTTTTTCTACTTTGATCAGTGTTAGATAAAAAAATATTGCAATTACAGATAAAAAAAGGATATATTTTATTCTATATTGTCTAGTTTAAAATGACACTAAAATTATGATTCTGGTACAAGGCTTTCCAAAGTCATTTACTAATAAATAAAGGTTATTTTTCCAATTTGTTTTCAATTCTGCTTTTTTTATTTTTTCCAACTAAAAAAAATAGTAAACAAATTGAATAAAAGACTTTACAGTAAATAATAAGAGTCTGAAAAATACAAATAAGCAAATAAAGTTAGGAAAATAATTATTAAGGGGAGAAGGGGAAGACTGAGTTATTTAGGGATGATTAACGTGTACCTCTTTTCTGAACAGTGTTTATCAATACTATTTTTTGAGAGCAAAAGCTTCTAGAGCTCCTGACTTTACACAGCTACTCGTGACTTTCAAAATTAATGAATTGTGGGCAGGTGTGAGGAAGGGGAGCAGCAGCAGGGTGGGAAATCAGGGCATTCCACACACACCTGTGTGCTTTGATTAAGCTTTTGTTGTGCATGTGTAGCATGTCCAGGGACCACAGCTGGTTATTATATAAAAGTAGGGCTGGTAATGATTAAAATTTTCCTGTTCGATTAATCAAAATAAATTTTAATCGATTAATCGACCAATTTCGATTAATTATATCGCACATACAGATCTCGCAAACTCTAGAGCCATCTCTGCCCACCGGTGACCCTTAGCGCTGCACATTCACTCACCAGCCTGTTGAGACCCCTCAGAGCTCTGGTTAAAGTAGGGTTCAGTGGGGCCTCACTAGTCCTGGTTAAACCCCACAGAGCCCTGGTGAGACCCTACAAAGCCCTGCTTTAACCATGGCTCTGTAGGGTCTCACCAAAGCTCTGTAGGGTCTCGCCAGCCTGGTTAGACCCCTCAAAGCCCTGGTGAGATCCCACACTGCCCTGGTTAAACCCGGGCTCCGTAGGGTCTCACCAGCACCAGGGCTCCGTAGGGTCTCACCAGGGCTCTATGGGGTCCCACCAGGGCTATGTGCGATTTCACCAGCCTGGTGAGACCCCTCAGGGCCCTGGTGAGACCCCACAGAGCCCTGGTTAAACCCTGGTTAAACCAGGGCTCTGTGGGGTCTCACAAGAGCTTTGATGGGGCCTCACCAGGGTAGCAGGGCTCTGTGGGGTCTAACCAGCCTTGTTAGACCCCACAGAGCCCTGGCAAGACCCCACAGAGCCCTGGCAAGATCCCACAGAGCCCTGGTCTCACCAGGGCTCCATGGGGTCTCACCATGGCTTTGTGGGGTCTCTCCAAGGCTTTCTGGGGACTCACCAGGGCTCTGAGGGGGTCTCACCAGGGTAGCAGATTTCTAACAGGGTAGTAGATTTTACATGACACATATTTAATTTTTATTTTAGCTGCCTTGTAGTATGTACATATTGTCCACACATGAACATGTGTACATATTGTGCACTAATGAAGCAGGAGACTCACCGGCCCAAGGGATCCTGTCAGGTAACGAAGGGAAGGGGGAGGAGTCCGGTGACGTCACGGACATCGACGTCAAGAGACTCCTCCCTCCTTCCCTTCGTTACCCATCACGGACAACTACATCACCCGACTCCTCCCCCCTTCCCTTCATTAGCCGACAGAGCCACTCGGGGAGGGGGGGAGGAGTCACGGACATCGACGTCACCGGATCGCCGACGGAAGACCCGGAAGAGGTGAGTACGGATCAAAAGAACTTTGATCGATCAAAATAATTTTGATCCATCAAAGAAATTAACGATTAATCGACGGATTAATCGTTAATTTCCGCACCCCTATATAAAAGTATTTATTTTCATCACTAATTCTGCTGAAAGTTTATGCCTAACTCTGTGTGTCCCCTCCCCTCTCCTTTCCTTTTTGAGCCCAGGCCCCCAGCAGCACAAATAGACCTTTTGTTTGCTCCCTGTCTACTGTGTTTGGTCACAGGGAGTGAAGAATATACCTGATAACTGTTACTCTTTCTGTATGGAAGACCATGTAATTCACTCCATGTGACAGTGCTGGTGCTGATGATTGGCTCAGCCCTGTCACATGGGTATGGGGAGAAAGTAAGCCTTATGTCAGCTTTAAATGAAGATCTGACTAGGGCTTATACAGAGCTGCCTTTCTTAACTCCCTAGGGCTGAATGGAGAGGTAGAACTGCATGAATAGGCAAAGTACAGGTTTGCTTTAAATGCCTTAAAATACTAAGTGTGCATATTATAATAGTATGCTTACTTTTTAAGACTGCATTTCTTATTTAGGTCAGTTCATATCCCCTTCAAAGCCTACCTATTCAAGACAGAGTCCCTTAAGCTGGTAATTATTGTATAAAGAAGTTTCTAATTAAGCAGAATTTCCATCCTGTCTTTCACTCGGGGAAACAGGCTCACCTTAAGCTGTTTGATTTTTGCCTGAACATCACACTCAGAGAAATGTTCAATGTTTGTCAACTGAAGGTCCATTTCTGTGAGCCACACCAAGATGCTGTCTCGTGCAGTCTCAAATTCTTCTCGCTGGCCAATAAAATGCTGCAATTAAGTAAAAAAAAAATTAAAAAAAAATGAAAGAGGTGGCTAACCAATGTTATTTATAATTCAAAAAAGTGCCTCTTAGCATTTTAAACATTTTAAATCACTAAGATGTATAATGCATGATACATCAAAATAAAAGCGCATTTTATTTATATTGATTTGCAGTCCTGAGCTGGGTTTCACATTAACCTACCAGGAATTGCAGAGCTTAGGATGCTAAAACAGCCTGGCATTCAGGTAAAGTAGGGGGTACTGGTTACAGTGACGTGCAGTGCCTTCTGTGCTGGGTGAGGCATCCCCCAGCCTGCCAAAGCTCCACCGCTGTCCTGCCGAAGCTCTGCCCCATCCCGCTGAAGCTCCGACCCATTCTGCCAAAGCCCCGCCCCCCAGCTCGGTAACCAAGCTTGGGAGTCACTGCTAAGGCATTGAGATCGATGTCCTCACTGTTTTCTTTTTCTTTTCTTTTTTTTTTATTGGACAGCTTGGACCAATCGCGCTTTGCCATTGGTCCAAGCCATCCACAGAGCTCATGCCTCTAGAGTAGATGCTGTGACAGCTCTTGCCTCACCAAGTTAGGGTACACAAGCAGTGGGGAAGCCCGCTGCTGTGTAACCTAACCACCTGTCAAAAGCTGGATGCAGCATTGCCTGTCATTAACAGGCAGCGCTCCGTCCATGACAGGTTACACAGTGGTGAGGCTTTCCCTGATCTGAATGGAGAAAAAACTGTCAGCTTCAGCTTTTTCCTGCATAATACTAGGTGAGGCTCTGCCTCACCTGCCTCCCCTGACCACACATTCCTGGTACTGGAAGCATCCCAGAATACCTGCTTTCCATACATGTTAGCACCTTTTTGTTTTCTTAAAGTGACAATGTTTCCTTACCCTACATTAACCCAAAGAGAACATTTCATAAAACAAACCTTCAGCCTCTTGAGAATAGATGTGACTCTCTTCTGTAGGTTGTCCCACCTTTGGTTGCCTTCATGGACCATTTGTTTTAGCTTACATGCTGAATCAGTGCGGTTCTCCCGAGCCAGGCGGCGATACTGTTTATTTATGAGCTCCAGCTGAGTAAGACTCTCATGAACTTGTCTTTGGAAAGCCTAAAATATAGATACATTTAAATTAAAAACCGAGACACTAATATGCAACATTTATTTCTTCCCTGTATTGTGAAAAAAGATAGGACATGATGTGTTAGGGTTTTTTTGGGGTTTAGAGGAGAAAATGATGTTCTTGATCTCAGCATTAATAAAAAAGAATGAATAAACGGGGGGCAATCTTAGTGCTATTTGGCACAAGAAGATAAAGCATCAAATCCAAATTAAAGTCAAGGAAATAAGATTGACCAAAGATAACATCTTGTTCTATGGGAAACTAAGGAGTTGGCCAAAGCAAATGTATTCTCTTTCCTGTCATAAAATAAGCTTTGTTGCTAATAATAAATGCACTTTTTAACCAAAACATTTAATTGGTCTCAAAAATAAACTACACTATAAAATCTGGAGACATGCTGCTCTATATATGTAAAAAATAAAGTCCGTGAAACAAAGGTTGTTGTAAGTCTAACCAAAATCACTTGGTAATGGTATATGGTAGCAGCTAAAATGTTTGTGTTTTTTTTTTACATTGTAATTAATGTAAATCACTTTAAAGAGATCCGTTTTTACTTAAGGATGAAGGAGTCTATTTCTGTTGGTCAGTGGCAAAAAAATGAATTAAATCTACTGTGATTCACTGTTCTACGACAATGTACATTGAAAACCTCCAAGAGAGTGAATACTTTCCAGAGACACAGCACTTACTCATCCCAATTGATGAAGTTGCTTTGTAAATAATCAGCGTAAGTAAAAAACTGGTGCACCCGCTGACAAACAAATCTATTATTTGCCAAAGGTAAATATCATGCATGTCATTATTATGGATTGAAATACTCTAAGGAGCTGATTTAGTAAACAGTGAAATTGAGTGGAGTGATGTGAACCTGGACCTGAAATACTAATAGAGTGAGGTGAATCTGTATACACTTCAAACATCCAGGATGTGACAACAATAATCTATCCTTTTTTAAATGTATTTGTACTTGTTTGACTATCTGATGTGAACTGTATCACCTTTAGCAAACAGCTAAATATACTGCGGAAAGTTGTATGTACAAAAGGATTTGTTTAACCCACCAGCTATCAGATATACACAGCCCTATTACACATCGGAACCAGGTTGGTGACCTCCACTGCAGTTAAAAAATAACTCTGGGAAAATGTCTTATTAACCTTTGCAGTGGGGCTCCCCCCGCACTGCAAGGGTTAACTGCTCGCTTTTTTTTTCTAGGGTAAAAAAAACCCGTTATACTAACCTAAACCTCCAAGCCAGTTGGCTCTTAGACTAGTCCCCCGCTCCTCTGCAGCGGTCTAGGAATCATTGAGTCATTACATCCACATACAGACATACTATCGTTGCAGCAGAGGAGGAGAGAGGCTGGAGGGAGCGGTGCTGGCTCGAACGGATTCCGTGAGTACAACTTTTTTTTTTTATTGGACCCTACGCAAAAATGAGCAGTTAACCCTTGCAGTGTGTTGGTAGCCCCACTGCAAGGGTTAATAAAATATCTGCATGGACTTCTTTATGCAATACACCCAAGTCACTTCCAAGTCCAAACCTGTACTTGGACAGAAGAAGCATAGTGAATAGTCATTTCTCAGTTTACTCTACTCTGCCTTCTTATGACAATGTTCCTTGCCCCCTCATATGCACTGCAACACTCCTAACTGGTCCCTAGTGCTGTCCCTTTCTCTTCCAGTCTGAGTGCGATTGTGCATAAGGATTACAGGAGGTTCAAATCAAAATCCGATAGACTCATTGTATTTAAATACATGTGATATGTTTATTTATTGAAGAAGGGAAAGGATCCTTGCTGCACACCTTATTGTGATTCCCAAGTGGATGTACCAGCGGGTGCTCAAAATGACTGCGGATGGCGCCACCACATGTGGATAGTGGAAGAACGTCACCAGCACACCAAGCAATAGTTGCAGCAATTGAGCGTTCATTTATTGAAGGATAATATGAGGGGCAGCATTCTTCAATAAATGAACGCTTAATTGCTGTAACTATCGCTTGGTGTGCTGGTGACATTCTTCGACTATATTTATTGAACACATACCTGCATAATTTGTGTTTCTATATCAGCTTGGAGCTCAGCTTTAAAGTGCATTTCCACTAGGGATGCACCGATATATTGGCCGAAACATATTGGCCTGAAAATGGCACTTTTTGGCTAAATGCCGAAACTGCCTTTTTTTGTGCCGATATATTGGCGCATCCCTGCTTTCTTTCATCCCTGCTGGGCGCTGCTCTGTGTCCCAGCGGGGAGGAGAGAAAGTGTGACAGCTGGCCGAGCACTGCGGGAGGAGAGTGTTGTGAGCGGCCGGCATCTCTCCTCCCACACCGCTCAGCCTCCTATCACAGTCCGGCAGAGCGGTGTGTGCTGTCACAGGAGGCTGAGCTCTCCTCCCCGCACCGCTCGCTCAGCCTCCTGTGACAGCTGTCAGAGAGGAGAGCGATCGCTGAATGTTTGTACATAATTGAGGACAGAGCATGGTTACTATATCCTCAATTATGAATGAATGGGAGTGATCTACATCGCCTCCTGTTCATTCATAGTTGTAGTTATAGTAAACACACAATGTTCTCAAGTTATGAATGAACAGGAACACTCAGTATAGAGGATTCCTGTTCATTTATAACAGGGGATACAGAAAAAGAGATAGAGGACTTTTTCTTTTCTTTTTCTATTTTAAAAGGGATATAGCATACCAAAATATATATATTTTTAAATTAAAATTTACCTTTTAGATGTTTCAGTGTAGCCAGTCTTTGCAAGCTTCTCTGACAATTCCCAAGAGACAAAACACTCTGTCTGTCCCCATAGAAAGACAAGGGACAGGCTTACCAGACAGGGTTACAATGAATCCAAGACTTTAACCCTTTGTTAGGACAGAGAATGTTCAAATCTAGTTTACAAGTGATAATGAGATCTGCCAGCACAGTACAGACAGGGTAATTATGGTAACATTAACCTGCCCAGCCACTGCTGAGTTTACGGAGAGCATGTACTGTGCAAGCAGAATAAAAATGAAAAATAACACATTATAAAAATTGATGTTATGTGAAGGAGAAACATGTAAGAAATATAAAAAAGGTGTTATCCTAATTTGGCTGCAAAAGTGGAAATACACTTTAAAAACTTTGTGCAAAACTTTTAATAACCCTAGCAGCGGGGCTACCCCTGCACGGCAATGGTTAACTGCTTGTTTTTGTTTAGGTGCTAAAATTAAAAAAAGTTGTACTCACCTGATCCTCAGACCTGGCTTGCTCTTAGACCGGTCCTTCTCGCCTCGCTCCCTAAGCATCCTCGAGTCATCATGTCCAATACACTGGGTATAGGATGTGGGGACACTGAGGGACATACCATTACTGAAGTGTATGAGGAATCAGGCTGGATGGAGCATTGTGACAGCATTGTGACATTCAAGGACCTAGATGAAAACGAGCAGTTAACCCTTGCAGCGCGGGGGTAGCCCCATTGCAAGGGTTAATACAAGTTTTGGCCAGAGTTCTTCTTTAAGCAGGCTCACATTTACTCTAAGCAGAGTAGGAATAAGCAATAAAAGGCAGAACTAGTCTTGTATCAGCTTGGTGGTATTTAAAATATGCTCTCAAGACTTGTGCTTAATCATTAAATCCCAGAGATTGTGAGCCAGATAAACTATAAAAGGTGCGTCAAATATTTGGCACACCGAACACTCATTTTATCAATGCACCAAAAATGCTTCAAGTCTTTGAACAGTAAGATTAGACTAGTGCACCTGATGTTAAAAAACAAAACACACGTGAAACAAGTCACACAAAAAGCCGCACAATCTGCGACAAATAAATCATGTTTTAGAAAATGAACTGGTCAATATATGGTGCAGTGGAGGTGTGCAGTATTTCGCCAAGAGAATGATGGCACAAGACAGTCAAAAATCATGGTTTCTGCTCCTAATAATCTATATAATAGTCTATGTGAATTGCAATTTGTCTCAATCAGATGTTCCATGCAACAATTCAAATTCCTCTGCAACCGCCAATCATAGTTTGGCCAATCATCAACCACCAATCACCATCGGGCCCTTTGTGCTTTTTTGCTATTCGAATTACAGGATCGTCGTTTCAGAAAATATCTGTGTCAATGACAGAGATTTTCAGATCTTTACATTCTGAATGGCTATTTATTAGTATCTAATAAAAAGTCATGTATTGACTTATCTGACCCACCGTGTACCACACAGTGAAATCAGCATATATGTGTAATATCAGAAAAGTTATATTACCAAATGACATCTGAGGTGACTTTGTGTGAAAACAAACTTTTCCTCTTTATCTCAGCTGTTATTGCAGCATGGAGGAAGTATGAGAAACAGGTGCATGTGTAGAGGACAGCTGGGGACCCTACTGACAGCTGTGATACAGATATGTGCTACATATTCAAGTGACTCATATCACAGAGACTGATGGGCATTAGACAGTCACACATATACGCGTGCTTTCTTTCTTTCTGCTAGAGACTGGCACATCTTTGTTCTGTTCAGCTCTCTGTGCAACAATGTTGGCTTACCTATATGATTAAAAACAAATTTACACATTTGCATCAGAAATTGAATTTATTTCACAGCCAATAGAAAAAACAAATATTTACAGTTTATCTGGAAATCAGTCATAACACTATTGTATCTGGCCATAATTCAAGTGTATCAGCAGGCAAAGTGGGTTTATATAGCTGTTATCTGTGAATTTCTAGAAAGCTGTGACATCAGAGAGGCAACAATAAAGAGCTTTCAAGAGCCTCAATGCACCCAGATGTTAACTTGTAAAAGTAGTGATGATGTGAAAGGATTAGTGTGCCTGTGCAGAGAAGAGAGCTGTGGGAAGGACCCAGCAGGCCCCACCCACTGCAGGCTGCCCGCAGAAAACTACATGAAGGGGCGGATAGATGACCGGTCACCCTGCGCAGGAGAGAGGGAGCAGTAGAGACTGATCTTTATTATAGGAAGTTCCTGCAAAGAGGCAAAATTTATCTCTAAACTACTGCACAGACCTAGAAGAAATACACCAAGCATACCAAGATTCAAGTAATACATAGATCTTGTATTTAGACAATATTTGCGTATCTTGGAACCGGGCTTTATCTCCCCACTCAGCAGTATGTATGAGAATGCAAAGTGAGGGGCTGATGGGACCTTTGTTCGATGCTTATCATTTTTACTCCACATATGTACAGTACATGCAGATTGCTACAGTGCCATCTGGCCATTCTGTTTCCATCAGGAACTCACAGTACAGCTTCAACCTGTTGTAACAGCAAGCATACATGCCCATTTTGTCTCTGTTCCTGTGTCTTTAGCCAAATGTTGTTTTTGGTTTTTTTGGGGGGGATAGAGTGGGGAAGGATTAGAGCCCTTGACAGACACTTCCTGCTGTCTAGGGCTCTGTTTGAAAGATTTCTTCTTACCCTCTTATGGACAACCTTTTCAGACCAGACAGGAAGTAAAGGAAGGAATCAGCAACACAGAGAGAAATAAAATGCTTTTTTGTAAGTTAAGTAGGTGGCAATAAGAACCTCTGCCAGCGTTTGTTGTTGTTGTCTGTTTCCTTGTTGGAGAGTTTATTCCTATCTGGTAAAATGGTTGTCCTTGGAACAGTGAGTAAGGGAAAATCTCTACAACAGAGCCCTGGATAACAGTAAGCCTGACAGAGGTTCTAATCTTTCTCCTTTCTATCGAAAATTAAGAAATAATTTTTTGGCTATAGATACATTTTAAACATATATGCAATATGGACACTAGATGGAGGTGAGGAGCATAAGAAATAAATGTCTTTCCTATGCTCCACAGGCCCATCTAGTGGCCATAATATGGTATTTTCATGATAATACATTTGACCAGGAAAGAAAATATACCAATAACATACATTTTTGCCTCAATAAACACAAAACAAATCAACATCCAGTGTCACAGGATGAATAGCTCTGATTTTTTTTTTTATAAATACACCACTTTGTCATAAGATATGCAGGCACATTGACAATGGAAGTGGAGGTATGGTGTATGAGGGCTGTGTTTCCCATGCACATAAAGTAGTGCACTTTACTGAGATGGGAACTGGCTATTAAGACCTATGCTGGCAGAGATTTTACAGTTTCCTCATTGCATCTTGAAAAAAGTTTGTTTTGAAAAATGATGGCAAAAAAAAAAATGAGTATATGAATTAAAGGAGAACTATGAGATGAGTGATTTCCACTCACCTCATAGTTCTAGCCGACCTGTGACAATGAGACTGTCACAGGTCGGCTCAGTAGATCGGGAAGTGAGCGAACACATACCGGCGTTCGCTCACCTCTCGATCCTGTCACGGCTCTCTGCGGTGACAGGGGTGGGGCTGGATTCCCCTCTCCCCGCTCCGATCCACCGGCGCTGCCGGGCGGAACGGACGGGGGAGGGACAGCTGGCTCTGCCTCTAGATAGGCAGAGCCAGCTGTCACTCACGCAGCTGGGCGGATCCAGACATCGATGTCGGGATCCGCTCCGGCTGCGGCGTCTCAGTATACCGCGAGCTGTAGCTCGCGGTATACTGAGCTTAGGGTGACGGGAGGACGCTAGTTTGTGTCCTCCCGTTACCCTAAGGAGAACTATGGGGAAAAACACTGACCTCATAGTTCTCCTTTAACATTTGTTTTGCTTAATATGGTTATTTCACCTAGATCCTATTTTTCTAGTTATTGCCTTTTTTACTCAAACACCCGCATCTCATATAAAAGTTTTCCAATGACCTCAAATTTCTTCAGTTCTTCCTTCGCCACTGTATAAAGGACACCAGAAGAACTGGGGAGGGCAGCTGTCTGTTCTGAAATTTTCAGCCAGTCTTCAAAGCGAGAAAAGTCCTCCAGGAATTTCTGCCAAAGCCGCCATGTCTCTTCGATCCTAGAAGTAGAGGAAAAACTATTTTATAACAATCACACACTAGAAGCTAATACCTGGCCATTGCCTAGTGATAGCCAGTCTCTGCTACTAAATGATTTACAAGCAACAGCTGTGGTATTAAGAAAAAAAAAACTGTGGCGGCTAGCCAGGTCATGACATTTACACTTGATCGATGTGCAACTGCTTCTGCTGGTTCAAACCAGTTGCTTTCTAGTTGAACCTCTGCAGTCAGGATTGAACAAAGGAACAGTGTAAACATGCTGGTTGAACATACTGAATGAATGAGCCAGGTATGTATGTGTGTGCCCAAACTAAGACACAAATATAGTAATGAATAAATGGACAGCAGGCTTACCTTGTAGCCTTACAAAAAAGTGCAGCCACACAAACAGTGTTATTCACAAAAGGGTGAAGAGTTTGGAGAAGGCAGGAGAAGTGAGCAATCTAGGACAACATAGCTGAACTGGAAAGTGAGTTGAATTGGAGAATTTTTCCAGTTCAGCTATATTGTCCTAGATTGTTCACTTCTCCTGTCTTCTCCAAACTCTTCACACTTTTGTGAATAGCCCTGTTGAATTCTGTACTAGTTAAAGACACCTGAAGTCACCCAGTGTGTGTCTGCACCAACAAACAAACAAACATTGATCATATATAGGATTAATATAGCCCAACAGTTTGCACAGCGCTATACAAAATAAAGGGAGAGAGTACAGTTACAATGATGATTAGGAGAGCCTTGTTTGTGAGAGCTTACAGTCTACAAGGGAGGGGCAAGTGATACAATAGGTAGTAAAAGTGTGGGGATGAGTTGTTTAAGAAAGTAAAATTTCAGTTGTAAGGTAGAGGCAGCATGGGCTTCTCTGAAGAAAGACGTTTTCAGGGATCGCCTAAAGGCAGGCAGTGTAGAATATAGTGGTACAGGTTGGAGTAGAGAGTTTCAGAGAATGGGAGAGGCTCTGGAGAAGTCCTGCAGGTAAGCATGGGAGGAATTGAAAAAGGGGCTAGGGAGCAGGAGGTCTTGGCAGAAGCAAAGAGGGCGGTTTGGGTGATATTTTCCCCCAGTTTGGACAGTCTGATGGATGAGAGTTAGGGACCACACTTTGCAGAGGTGCCTTGATGTTGCCTCACATATATTTGCAGATGTATAAAGCATAAACCTCTCTTTTTAATCTAAAAGTTAGAATCAGGTTTTTGCTGTCTGTCTGGACTGAGTGCTAGGGATTTTGCTAACGCTATTGCTCCATCCTTTTGCACTGTTCCTATGTTAGCTAAAAGCTGATGGGAGCATTTGCAATTTTGGTTTTGGTGAAGACATACTGGGGGTCTTCAGCTGCCTTGGGAGATGTTTTTGATGACATTTATCATAGATGTGATTCTTCATAATGTTACGGTGGTATCAGTTGACTTCCTACCATGTCTTTGGAAAACTTCCCAGACCTGGGCATGGGCAGCAAACAATGTCAGAGGATGTCATAATATTTTTCTCAATACTAGGCATTCTCTGGACATGTGATGTCACCACCCCTTGCAAACTGTGGTATTACTAAAAATCCCATCATACGTCTGCCTCTAGGATTAATGCCTGTAATGGCTGTCAGAGTCTTGTAATGTCTCATGGAAGTTGTAATTCCACAACAGGTGGCATGCCAAGGGTTGCCTACCCATAATATATTGGCAAAGAAGAGGAGCTTGATTTTTGTTTAAATTACATCATGAGTTCCTACCCTGTTTTACCCTGGACCCACATGTTTGAAAACTTACTTGAGTCTCCTCTCCATAGACATGGCACAGATGTTCCTCCACCTGCGGTCTAGACTGCGGGTGGCCTGCTGGATGGAATCACATTCGCTGTCATTGGCACAAGCATCGCAGTCATGTAGAAGTACTTCACAGAGATTTAGAACTGATGCGACTCCCGTACTGTGCTTCTCTATGTCTCTCTGGAGCTCCTGAAATAGATGCCTCAAAAATGACACAATAGCACATTTTGTGTTCTTCCAATACATTTACAATATATTTTTTATTTAGTACTAAATCTGTTCACATCCAGATATAAATCTACATTATGCTAGATTGTAAACTAGATTCAGTTTATTTAATGCCTTTAAGCTGTAAGCATAGCTTAGGTACAACGGGGTTGATTTGTCCTATTTGTTATATGGACATGGCCCTTACAATACATAATTCAACTGATGGATGTCTGCAGTACTTAATAGCTACATCTAGTGGAATCAGTTTTTCTTTCATTCATTTTCCAAAGTCAAACCTTTACTAATAACTGGTAAAAAGTATACTTTGGTAATTCTGAAACAATTTCCTGAACAGTGCCATACCCTGCAATGCTTAGTCATAAATCATTTCAAAAAAAGAAATACATATCATAAACACATTAGGGGGGATTTATCAAAACTGGAGCATACAGAATCTGGAGCAGTTGCCAATGGCAACCAATCAGCATCTCTCTTCAGTTTGCTCAGGTACGATTTGAAAATGAGACAGAGAAGCTGATTGGTTGCACTGCAAATCTGCTCCAGAATTTGTCTGCTCCAGTTCTGATAAATTCCCTCCATTATATTTGTAAGCCCCCATTCACACCTAGGCGTATTGTAATATGCGCGTCTGTCGCGCGACCGTCACGCGTTTTTTTAACCGCGATTCGCGGTAAAAAAGTCGCGCGACCGTCGCGCGATTACAAAGGCTACTTGGCAGTATCCCAATGGAAAACGCCCTACAAAACGGCCCAAAGTAGTCCCGGGACCTTTTCAGGCGTGGGCCGTTTTGTAGCGCGTTCGGGACGGGCGGAAATACGGCAAGGTGGGAACGAGTCCATTGACTCCAATGCAATTTATATTTTTGAGCGTTTTGTAGAGCGTTCTTCGAGCGTAGAACGCGCTACAAAACGTTCAGGTGTGAACGAGGGGTAAAACTTAAACAGTCAGTCAATGAGCAACAATAACAGCATTCACTGTTATTAGGTGTGATTCCTAATAACCGGACTATACATGCCATTAGTGCGTATGAACTAGATATATAAGCCACACAAATATCATGCATTCCTTTTATGTCATTATACACCTCACTAACATCTGTAAAGTAGTATGTTTCTAATGCAATGAAACTCAATAAACCAAAATATAGTTCAACTTTATATACAGTTCATTCATTTTGAAATAAAGTGCACAAAATGTCACTAAAGGTCAATACAGCCAGCTGGCTATAGTTAGTGCATTAGTTATTGGCAAATAACATATGACCAATTTCTGTTAAGCATAGTAAACACTACACTTTGGATTAAATTGTTAAAAACTACTTTGAAAATTAGACTATTCTTCAGCAAGGATAAGTATCTTTTGTATGTGTTTACAAAATGGCACAACATTTGGCGTTACTGAAAAGAAAAAGGGCACATGTATTACCCTTCCTGAAACTCAAGAGGTAAAATCAAATGTCCAAACCAAAATAGTAAGCGGTGTTATTATTGTGCAGTTATTATTAAGCCCTACAAGTTATGCTAATACATACTGTATGTTGTAATGGCTGGATTGAAGAATATAAGCTTACATTGGACTCTGAGCATGTCTATTCCTTGCCAAATGTTTAATGACGTGCTACAGTTCATCAGGCTCTGTTCAACAGTGTCTCTGTAATGCTACATAGATTTACAACACATCATCAGCAGTAGCTCCAATAGATAACGCTGTAGGTTTCTTTTGCACCACAAATGTAGATCTGTTGGTTGTCATACATAGTTCTCATATTTATAAAAGATATTGGTGACTCCATTATGAGCAGGTTCACTTGATCACAAAAGAAACATACAGTGCACCTTCCCCCAACTTTTCCTTGAGACTGATAACACAACTATCCAACCCTCCCCCCATGCCAAGGTGCTAGGTTTCATCCTATACTCGGTCCTCACCTTTCTTCCCCACATCCAATCACTATCCAAATCCTGCCACCTTCACCTTTGCAACATCTCCAAAATACGTCCCTTCCTCACCAATGAAACCGCTAAATTACTCATCCACTCACTTGTTATCTCTCGTCTTGACTATTGCAACTCCCTCCCCATTGGCCTACCTCTACACAGGCTATCCCCCTTCAGTCTATGAATGCAGCTGCTAGACTCATTCACCTAACCAACCGCTCAGTGTCTGCAACCCCCCTCTGCCAATCCCTCCACTGGCTTCCAATAGCCCAAAGGATAAAATTCAAAATATTAACAATGACTTACAAAGCCATCCACAACTCTGCTCCCGGCTATATCTCAAACCTTGTCTCAAAGTACAACCCTAACCGTCCCCTCCGCTCTTCAAATGATCTTCTGCTTTCCAGCTCCCTCGTCAACTCCTCCCATGCTCACCTCCAGGACTTCACTAGAGTCTCTCCCATCCTCTGGAACTCTTTACCCCAACCTGTCCATCTATCTCCCACTCTGACTGCCTTTAGGCGATCCCTTAAGACTCATCTCTTCAGATGACTCATCTCTTCAGAGAAGCCTATCAAACCACAACGGCTCAACCATCACGTTCTCAGACAATTCATCCCCACACAGCTACCTCCTCATGTATCATTTCCCCCTCCCTTTTAGATTGTATGCCCTCAGGGGCAGGGCCCTTCTTACCATCTTGTCCTGAATTGTATTATGATTGTAATGTCTTCCTTATATTGTAAAGCGCTGCGCAAACTGTTGGCGCTATATAAATCCTGTATAATAATAATAATACAGAGGCCTCTAAATCTGACATGTAGTGTTCTCAAAGCAGATTCTTTGGTGACACCATGGTCAGTAGAATGATAGCGTATGTTTGTGCCTCATTAAAGGTTTTCATTTTAAAATATTTTAATAATTCAATTTCCTGATCGACAAATATCAATCATCTATCTGTCAATAGATGTCAGCAGATGACTGGAGTTTGCCCTGAAGGACAGCTGGTAAAAAAAAAGTTACCTTATCAAAACTGTAAACATGAACAGCATTTAGTCCATCCTTAGTGTCTCTAAAAAGCTCAGAAAAAAACTTTACTGTTTCAGCAGCCTCAGGCACCATGCATTTTAAAACATCAGCGTTGCACAGCGTCTGCCTTATTCATTTCAGCAGCGTAACTATAGTAACATACCTGATAAAATGAAGACCATTGAGCTGCTTTTCATAGTTCCATCGCTGGTGCATTGACAGCCAAGTGTGATTGCGCACTTGGACTTCCCACGATGTGGTGCCAATGCTATTAAAGCTTTTACTCCTGTTACCGACAGGAGTGGGGTACCATACTTATTTAGGGTTTACCTGCTGCTCATTTAGTTTCCTTTGTATCTCTTCAGAATCGCTGGTTTCATACACGATAGGTTTGGACAGCTCTGATTCTATGTGACCCAGCCATGATCTTAGGCTGCTCATGTTCTTATCCAGCTGCTGCACTGCAACCAAGGTCTCCTTCAGTTTCTTCACTCTGCCAGGTAATGATAAAATAAATCACTTTATTATGGCTGTCAGTATAACATTGTTAGACCAGTATTTAAGCTCATCAGCTGCAAAAAAACATGTAGCTATAGCAATAGTAAAACCATATGACTGCTGTGGGGCCCAAAAACATAGGAGGCTCAGCGCAGATGGAATTCATAATTCACAAGACCTCTCTTGGCAGAAACTTAGCATGAAAAATAAAGACAGACACACAGCTTAAGCACTTTTTGGTGTTGTTACTTACCTTGCTACAGCTCTGTGTAGGAGACTAGAGGCTGTTATTTTTCCCAGCATTGTTGATGGCCAGACAGTGGTTCAGCAAGTGTGGTGTTTGTTGTGCAGGGTGCTGGACAAGTACAGTCTGCCAGGGCAATCTTATGGCAGATTTATGAATATTAGCTGAACCTATGATGAGGCTCTATGGAAGCTGAAGTAATATGCCACAGGACCAAACTACCTGACACTTATTGCGCTATGTTATGCTGCCCTAAAGTTTATCCAGTGCTGGAAAAATCCTTCATTTTGTTTGGATGTGATCATTCCACTACCATTATGAACTACAGTCTTTTTTTATTAGTTGAGTATTAAAACAGACAACAAGCCCTGGAATGTAAAAAAGAGTATTATAGACACAGAAATCTGTCTCTTGTCCGTGCAACAAATGGCACAACTTGCAACAGATTCATGATTTGGAACACATTTGGTGCCCAATTCTGCAGCAGATTCATATGGTGTATATGAATATGCTGCAGAATAAAGTGCAGAATAAAGTGTATATGAATCTGCTGCAGAATAAAGTGCAGAATAAAGTGTATATGAATCTGCTGCAGAATAAAGTTTATCCAGTGCTGGAAAAATCCTTCATTTTGTTTGGATGTGATCATTCCACTACCATTATGAACTACAGTCTTTTTTTATTAGTTGAGTATTAAAACAGACAACAAGCCCAGGAATGTAAAAAAGAGTATTATATATAGGGTTGCACAGATACTTTTCGAGTACCAGTGCAGATACTTGGCATTTTCATGAGAACTACCAGGGTTGCAGTGGTTGCAGTTGGGACCTAGCTCTGGTGCTCCACCACTGTCATGAAATCATTAGTCTGTATTGTTTTAGAAAAACTGTCACATGACAATAAACAAAAATGTATCAGTACTCGTACTTGTAAGTACTCGGCAAGTACCAGTACTCGTACTCGCAAAACTGGTATCTGTGCATCCCTTTATTTATATTTATAAAAACAAAATCGTACATTAAAACAGAGATGTACAAATCCCGGGAGTTCCGTGTGCTCCTTACACATGACAGCTGCGTCCTAATTTTTTAATTTTTCTCTAGTGTAGTCTTGGAGCTAAAAAGTATTGGTACATGTACTCGTACTTGTACCGAGTACTGTACTTGGTATCTGTGCAACCCTAATTATATACACAGAAATCTGTCTCTTGTCCGTGCAACAAATGGCACAACTTGCAACAGATTCATGAATGAATATGAATCTGCTGCAGAATTGCCCCAGACACAATTTTGTCTGCTACCGAGTACATGTGACACAATTGACTGCATTATAGGAGAGGTCTTATTTACCTCTACTCTTCTTATCCTGATATGGCTGTATTTCGTAATTAATTTGTTGCAGCCATAGTGCTAGAAGGTAAAAGTTTTGCACAGATCAGAAAAACGGAAATAGCAAGAAAACGTTTGCATGGTTTTGTGAATTTGGCGCAGGACTTTTCGATACAGCCATAGGGCCAGAAAAGTATTGCAAACGCTTTACTGCATCTCTCCCCATGTTTCCATTGTGTAACCTAAAAATGGTAGCAAGAACATGGTTGCTTTAACTCCAATAAAACCTATAGAATGCAATAAGTCACCAAAATATGAGAGACCGTAAAGAACGCATTACATATACACAATATATCAAGATGATAAGGCAAATTAGTTTAATTAGCTGTGGATGCTAAAGCTTCTCTTACACCATAGCTGTCCACTCAGATTATTTAAAGCTATATCAACAATTTGTGGTCCACACATGCAAATGTCAGCTTTAGCCTCATGCGCAATTAGAATTCAAACATGAAAATGCAATGTTACTTACACAATTTCATTTCTGCCATAACAAATATATAAAGCAGTAGTATACTGTATGTGCACTACTGCAGAAGTGGAAAGAATTCCCTGAGGACACAGTACTGCTATAAAAAGCATCATTATCAGTTTAGTACAAAGTATGGAACAATACATATTTCACATCTCTAACGTTCCAGTTTATATTTAGATCCCTTCAGACAAAGCTTACATCACCCTGAGCAGAGTAGGGCTGCTAAGAGCTAGCACTACACACAGTATACAAGAACTCCCATATGTCTTTGCACAATTAAAAAATCCAACACCGTTATGTACTTTCTTTCTTTCTCTGTATACCACATCAGATCAGATGCATACAATAAGGATAAGTACAAAGTAAAGCCGCAGTATAGAAAGGGCAGAGAATACTCATATACCTGTATGTTACTTTCTAGCAATTTAGAATAAAACGTATTTATTCTTATTTTAAAATACATTTGTTCCTCTGTGCAATCAGCAGAGGAAAGATTTAATGTATGTTACGCTCCGAATCGTAACAGAGACTCCATGTACCGTATAAAACAGTTCATTACTTCCAGCTCAATGCAAATAAAATTAGAGCTGTTTGATTTTTATTTCTAGCTATAGTATACTGAATAGGCACGTTCTTCCTGAGCTTGCGTGGGTTTACTTCGGGTACTCCGGTTTACTCCCACACTCCAAATACATAATGAAAGGTTAGTTGGCTCCTGTCTAAATAGGACCGTATATATTAAAGTGAGGTTGGGATTTTAGATTGTAAGCTCCTTGAAGGCAGGCACTGATGTCAATGTACTGTATGTAAAGAGCTGTGAAATTGCTGGTGCTATATAAATGCTTGTAATAAATAGATTCATACATTTTTTTTCCACTAAGGCTAAACAGGAAAAAAAAAAGTGTTTCTATGCTAGAAATACAAGTAACACTAACTGTACTAAGCAAACTGGAGGCACAACTTTTTCCACAATGTAAGTTCAGAAAAAGCAACACATATTTCAATGGAACAACAGCAAAGTTGGGGTTCCTATGCCTTTCAAGTCAAGCGCATGTAAACAAGAGAAAAAAAAAAGGAGCTGTATGTGGTCATTTCTTTCCATCAGCATATCATAGCTCAGCAGGACTAAACTAGAAAAATGGCTAAGATACAGTGCTAGAGGCTTGCTTTGCCTGTTGAGTTCTATGTAAGCTTTGCTATAATACAATATAAAGTGGGTATGGGGGCACAAACATGACATTTTCCAGACACTGGGTTGCATTTTAGTTGCTCTTTCACTGCACAATAATTGGATGGAATATTGGTAACTGGCTATATCTAATAATTTCATTAGCTACTGTATTCAACACCATTCTTCTGCTTTTCGATTGGATTGTAGTTCTTTAGGGCGCTTTTCTAAAGGAGTAAATGATTTTCAAAGATAATGCATACTTAGCTTAGTAAATACGAATTTAGTACGAATTTCAACAGTAAATGTAGTTTTTGTTTGGAAAACGCCATTTATTCCAAAATAGAATGTTAAATGAAATGTAAATACGGACGACAATACGCACGTTTCTGATCTCAGTATCAAGCGTTCCAACAGGATTTTTTTTACGAACGTTCGTGAAAAAATCTACCCTTGTATACCCTACTTAACTTGCAGCACTACCTAAAGGACCCTTCCACCAACATTATCTTAATGGGAGTTGTAATCTCTATACTATGTAAACAGTATTCTCTACCCCTTTACTAAAGCATCCTCCTTCCGTTAAAATATCTATACATATCCTTAGACTGATGTTGATGATTAAAATAAATCACATTAAACTTGCATTTGCCAAGTAGATTAAAGTTACATTCCCCACTTGTGACCAAAGTAAAGAACAGAAGATATTCTGCCATAACCTGACATAGAAATGAAGAAATATTTATATGGTTGATGGCTAAAAAAATGACATGACATCGATATTAATTTCATTCCAAATGCATACATGTGTGCAAGTGGCTGTGTGTGAATGGGGTTATTGTTATCTGGTCCCAAGAAGATCAATTTTACTACACACAGTTGGAATCCTGTCTGGTACCATAACTGACACACACTGCAAGCAACTTCTGTGAAATATTTAAAGTTAGAAGCTTGCACATGCGTATTCGTTAATGATATTCGAATATTTCTTTACATAAAGGTAATTTAAGCTTCAGTCTGATATGCCATGTTAAATCTATAGCATGCAAAACATCATAAGTCTGTTTCTTGCCTTGAGACATCGCAGTCACAGTCGGGAAGTTCAGAATCCTCTATGCTGTCCTCTGCCATCTTATGCACGCCTAAATCAGCAATGGCTGACGCAAGGACCATAAACGTACTCATCAGTAGAAGCAAAACCATGAGCAATTAATGCTCACAGAAAGATTAAAAAACCCTTTTCACTTCTGTGGGGAACACAGAAATGAGGGGAGCACACAGGCACAAAAAACTCTTGTGAGTGCTGGGCGTGCAATCTGAGACCGAGTGTTTGGACAACTGCTCACGCTTCTATAAAAAGACCCCTCTCAGAAGAATGTAAGAGATATGTGTCCGTGAATGAGGTCTGCAAACAGAATATGTCCTTGTAGTGTTGTGCAAGTCTGCAGGACAGTCACTACATAGAGAGCCTGCATATGACAAATGCCTATGATATCCAACTTTATAAGAAGAAATGTTGGACACAAGTTTATTTGAGGCTAGATTTGCTTTTTGCTTGATGCATTTTCTATTAGAAACAATAAGAACACATCAGTGAAGCACATCAGTACATGTACAATGTGACGCACAGCAATGCATCATAATGCACATTAATGTGCATTATGATGTGAACTTACATTTAATACAAAGTCCGTTGCAACGTGCATTAAAGATATGTGACAAACCCGTTTTACTCATAGCATGACACCTACATACTATGGTTCTGTGGGTGCGGAATTGGTACCCTGGCACATTTCCTGAGTTGCATGTGTCCTCCATCTAATATTGAGGCATTTGATTCACACACAAATGTCTGCTGTTTCTTTTTGGAATTGCTGTACCTTATTGTCTTTTTTTGTATTCAATTGTAAAACTTAAAATAAAGAATTTATTTAAAAAAATGTAAAATGTGTGACACTGTGTTGTGTTGCACTTCTGTTGATTTCAATGGAGAACACATCAGAAGAAAAAACACATTCATATGAATACATCCGTGCATTTACGCCTATGCCCATACATTACCATGCATTTTCTCACCTTCTACAGTGGGGCTAACTGCTGTAATGGAAGCTCCCATATATTGCAACTATAAGGCCTGTTTACACTATAAGCATTGGGTTGTGCTAGGAAGCCTTGCCCAATGCAGTCCCTATACACAGAACAGGTAAACTGCTTTATGTCCTATTAGTTCAGTGTGCTGAAAAAAGTAGGACAAGCAGTAGTTTGCATGTTGCAATACACTACATCTTATTTTAAAATGCTGCAGTGAATAGACAGGAATAAAATGTAGTTTCATTTAATTTGCGGTACAATATGGCCACTAGTGTGAATGAGCCCTATGTTTTGCACATATGCAGAGAAAAGGCCATTCTACTTTACTTTGGTAAAAGGTATGAATGCAAATCATTGCAAGTGATTTTGATTCATTGCGGTACAGCTAATAAACCTCAGCAGTTGTTGCTGGCTATGTGAAAAAAAAAACAGCTTGTGAATTATGGTTACAGAGCAGTTCAATATAATTCACAAAACTTACTAATTGTCACATACACTGTTCTACTGCCATTAGCAAATTCTTTTTTTTAAATTCTTTTATGGAATTGAACAAATGTTTTCACTTTCTGACTCACATTTGAGTTATAGAATAATAATAATTCAATAGCAGCTTCCCCTCTGCACATTGAGCCCCGGCAGTCGGCACTGCCACCATTCAGAGAATGTCTTGCATTTTTTTCAATCAATACAAGGCTTTCTCTGATTGGACTAAGTGCAGATTGTGACATTATCCACCCCTCCTCTCCACCATGTCCAATCAGAGAACTTCTTATATTTATTTTTAAAAAAATAGGTGTTTTGTGAATGTCTGAGGTGCTGAGCATGCGACTCCCTGTGCCCAGTGTGCAGAGAGAAAGCTGCTGGAGCATGAGCTGAAAGATCACAGCTATCACTGTATGTAGTATGGACTACTACAGTGATTTTCAGCATCCCCAGAGGCTCTCTGGATTTTAGATTACAATGAAGCTTACAATGAGCCAAGCTGGACCAATGTAAGTTTGCAAAAACAAACTTCTTGGAGTTCTGCTTTAATAGTGAACTTCTCAAAGTGGTAATTTCTGGCTTAGACACGGCCAGTGTCACCCTAATCCAGGAAGTATGTAACTGGTCAGATCACCAGGTGAAAATATACCGAACAAAGGAAAACAAACACAGCCACCACAATTATGAAATGGTAAGGTGCATATTTTACATTTTTGTTTTTGGGTTTAGATACACCTTAAGTGTGTTCTGGCACTGTTCAATAATTGTTAAAAAAATCAGCTTCAGTCAACCTATTGGGCCTTGGAAATAGCACATGGCTTAATTGCATAACACCATAAAACCATGCAACAGTATTGTACTAAGCCAGCATAGTCATCACTGCACACAAGGAGTTCCAAAAGCTACATGTCACACCCTAGTGGCAGTAAAGGAGTGAACTGAATAACTAGCATGCCCCTGTATCACTGAAATACTTACTGACTAAGTGCCCATGTTGTGCTTGCATTATGTTACAGGTCTAATGATTCAGCGCCATGTGGTGCGTGGGAAAAAATAGTGTACAGTTATTTACAGTACTATGCATTAGTATACATTGTTTCAGCTGTAGATTAGAAAGAAAGTGCTCAATGAATGGTGCTGTGGTATACAATATAATTAAATATGATTTCTGCACCAATCCCTGGATTATAGTTCTGAACATCAATATTACTACATAGTTTACTCAAGTAGCTTCTCTTTGGGGCAATATGATTAGAACAACTTGGAGTTACTTGGTCCAGTGGAGGAACAAGTAACTGAAGGTGTATAGTGGAGCTGCACTGGCATTTTTTTATTTACCTGTAACAACTATTACTTTCGGAAAAGGCTTTGATTAAAGTGCAACTATAGCCCAAACCTTTTTTCAGTTTTGGATCGAGTAGGGAAGGGTTAAAACATTCATATACCTTGCACCAATAAGGTCCAGAAGATGCTGCCATCTGTCATTAACTTTGCTCAGCTTGTATTCGATCTCTGATGCCTTGCTCTCGTGGCTGGCCTTGGCCAATCTCTCTCCCATTTGTTGCAGCTGGATTTTGTTTTCCCGGAAAACTGCAATTTCCTCCTGGTAGTCCTGAACAGCACAAACACAAAATCATCAGTGTCAGAAAAAGACCTGCCTGTCTACATATAAACCAGTCAGATTCTTGCTTTCATGTTCTCAATTTTCACCAAGGTATGCTAATAATACAAAATAATAATACTGTAGATCAACCTTTCTCAACCAGCAGTTCTGTGGAACCATAGGGTTTCTTCACAGATAGCTAGGGGTTCCTTGAGCAGTGAACAGTGGTTGATAGATTCCCCACCAGTCATAGTTCTGGTACTGATGTCACTTAGCAGGGAGCACTACTCTCACCATCAATGTAACCGGGCATTCTTTCCTACTGACCACCAATGTGGGGATACTTTCTTCTTTTTTACATTTTAAATGAGCTTTTTTCACCAACTTCCTTTGAAAGATAACCAGTATTCCACTGATGACCACCAATGAAATGGAAATTTCTCCTATGACCACTACAATTTTTACTCTGTGAATTTCTTCTTTAGCTATGATTATTATTTTGTTGCATAATTTTTTTTTTAAGAAGTTGTTATAGTATAGAAGAGGTGGTGTTAAAAATGATGCACTCTGAGTGTCAAAGTTATTATTCCTTTATTATTATCTCTACAAGCTACTGAACATGCTAATATACCATGAGCTGTAGATACAACAACTTTTAGTAAGGGTTACCTGAGAACTATATATTACTTCAAGGGTTCCTCCATGGTAAAAAAAAAAAAAAATGAGAAATGCTGAAAAAGGATATTTTTCATCCTGGGAATATGTTAAATCTTCACTCTCTCGCAGAGCTACAATTGGTGCTTGTAACTGACATTTACCTTAGAGGATCAAAAAGGATTTTTTTTTTGTCTGTTAGAGCAAAGTGAACCACGTTTTATAAGACTTTCTTGGCCATCCTCTGTGGGTTTAGAGTTCTGTATATTATTTATTTAATATTATTGACTATAGGTTTTTAGGATTGTGTCTTCTTTTAACCTAACTATGTAACATGTATACAAGATATATGTTCTTGGAAAGAACATGAAAGAGGAAGTCTGGAAAGAAGTAGTAAATCATCTTCCCACATTAATTTTATTTCCGTTCTTAACCCACTCCTCATAATCACCCTCATCAATAACTCCTGCACTGTTGCTGCATTCTTGTCTCTCTGTACAGTATAATATGTAACGGTCTGGAGCCATATCTCCCCCTGATAAGTGAGTAAGTAATGCAGAGATGGATGGTAGCAACACAGGATGGGCAGAGGTGGGTAGATACAGGGGGTCACCAATGCTTAGGCATGTCACTCTTTAAAGTGACCCTATCACTAACTCCATAAAATAAAATGGAAAGCAGCCTGCAAAGAAGAAGATGAATATTCAGCAGGCAGTGTGTCACCAATGCGTGGAAGGCAGGGGGTCACCCAGTGTGTCACCAATGCGTAGAAGGCATGTCACTCATTAAAGTGACCCCATCACTAACTCCATAAAATAAAATGGAAAGCAGCCTGCAAAGAAGAAGATGAATATTCAGCAGGCAGTGCGTCATATCTTCATACTCCAACAATTGCAAGTGTGTTGGATTTCTTGCTGGGCACTGTGGTTCCTTCCACCCACCACTACATGGCACAGTAGTAACAAAGGGGTCAGTGGGAACAACCACAGAGGGGGACCAGGCATCCTAACCACCTGGAAATGTCAGATACAAGTACCAATTGTAGCTCTGTGCGAGAGCGAAGATTTAACATGCTGCTAGCCAGAAAGAAGAGTATTAATTTCTTCTTTTGCTGACTGCTTCCAGTTTTAGTTTGTGGAGTTAGTGACAGGGTCACTTTAGAGTCTCTCCATAAAATAAAATGGAAGAATAACAACTTGGTGGAGCAATGAATAACAACTTGGTGGAGCCGGCCGTGATCTCACGGCTGGCTCCGGCCAGTTGCAATGACAGATCGGTCATTGCAACTGGGCAGTGCCTTCGCCTAGCTTTGTGAATAATCCTCCAAGTGTTTTTTCTCACTCAATTCTGCGGGGCTGCATGAGCTATAATCGTAACGTTTATGGTTAGCTTAAGGCAACTATAGTGATGAAGCGCAGGTGCCTTGTTGTCCATACAATTATCTGTATATGTCTACAAATGAATCCTCATAGAGCCCTTGCCTCCACAGAGGCAGGAACTGATTTAATATCACAAAGAAATTACAGGCTCATTGCATTTTAGAACTGTACATAAGCAAGGTAAGGTTCATGTTAATGTAGAGTTAGGTCTCCATATCACTGAGTAGCAATACGCAACGTAATTTGTAAGCAAATCGGCTAAATAACTTATTATACACAGTTGTGTTTCAGGTTGCACAAGGTGACATAAGTGAATGCACTTTGATTTTTAAAAAGGGCCCCCACAGGCACAACATTTTGTGCTGAAACACCTCTAGCTGAAATTAGTCAAGTCTTATTTGCCTAAATATACAGCACTGTTCATATGGAACAAATGACCATCAAATACATAAACCATACAGGGTAATAAAAGTATACTAGTTGATGCATTCACTAATTAGTGTGTACAACCCCGTGTCAGATCAAGGTAATGCTCAAGTTAAAAGAAACAGTTTTAATGTGAGCACCTTTCTTAGCTTGTCAATCATCTCTTCAATGCTGATGTCCCCATTGTGAGAGACCTTGCTTTCCATCTGTGTCAGCCACTCACACAGCTCTTTGTTCTTTTCATTGAATATTGCCCACTCATTAAGCCTTTCACTGACTTGCTGCCGACGTAAAGAGACCTGTAATTAGAAAACACAGCCAAGGTTGACCTACCAAACTTTAGCTTAATCTAAATCAGCACTTGCAAATGTGTGAACACTTCACCCTGCATTCTAAACTTACACAGGTTACATCACTAATGTGATTTAGAAAAAGCTCGGACGCTAAATAACAACATAGAATATTACAACGTATAGCGACACACATATACAACATATAAAACATACAATATTACAACATTGGAAATGATACTTACAAAATAATCTGCCTTGAACAGCAATAACGTTATTACTGGAGCAGTTATTCATACTACTAAACCTGCAGAATAAGCAGAGTCTCCGTGAAGTGCTCTGTTTAATTTTAAAACTAGAAATGGTACATTTCCTGTTGGTTTCACCTCAGAAAACGAGCAGAGGAAATAACTGTGATATGCTTTGCTAATTGTCACATCCGGGAGACTTTAGGCATCTGTAGTGTTTGTCAAAATATACATCTGTAAAACCCACAATGGCATATACACATGCAATAGAACCGTGTGCAGGAAGTCAGTATATCAGCTTTAACATGGAAAGTGTCCAGAACCTGCACTGACTGCTGTCATTGTTAGCTACATCCAAATCAGCTAAGTACTGCACTATTACTAGCACGTTGTGGTGTGTGATATCTTCCAATGCAGCTTTTCAGTCCCTAGATATGGTAGCTGCATTGGTTTCTTTTTTTAAGCTCTTTCCCATTATTTTCATACAGTGTTCCTGACGGTAATATCTCCTGATGTAGGGTGGCAATGCTCACTGACTGCACTGTATCTATGGAGAAGCGTCGTCGTTCTAGGCTGCTTTCCTGATATGTACTACAAACACCTCCTTCTCTGTTCATCTCCATTACATAGGGAGGAGGTGTTCTGTAGTTCACAGATGAGTACCGGAAAAGCTGATAACACTGTTTGAGATATCAGTTCAGCGAACAGGAAGTTAAAAGGACACTGGAATTCTGGTGAAACCAACAGGTAATGTGGCTAAAACATCCAAGACAGGGTAGGCAACTCAGCACTCCAACTCAAGTCCCATAAAAGAATTCCAAGACTGACAGCCACAGGCATGACCCCCCAGAGGCAGAGGTATGATGGGATTTATAGTTTTACCTAGGGCTGTCCTTATATAGAGGCATTCTGAGACTTTTGTCTCAGGCAGTGCCTTATTCAATCAAATGACAGGTAGCAGGCAGAGCGGCATGTTGGCAGTGCACTATGCCTGCCTCCCACGCCCAGAGCATACCCCACAAGTCTGTACTGAAGCTCACATAAAATGCATGCTGCTTGGGCTGCCCAATAGGTTGGTCCCAGGCAGCCCAATCCTTCTGTTCACAACACAAGGAGGACGACCCATCATGCCTCTTCTTCTCATAACCACCTCTACCACACTTTGCAGGGACAAAAAACTGCATATGTATGTATGTATGCATCTGAGTGTATGTAAGTGTGTGTGTGTGTGTGTGTGTATGTATATACTGCAACTATGTATGTATGTAAGTATGCATCTGAGTGTATGTAAGTGTGTGTGTGTTTGCATGTATATACTGTAACTCTGTATATATGCATCTGAGAGTATGTAAGTGTGTGTTTGTATGTGTATATACTGTAACTCTGTATGTATGTCAGTATGCATCTGAGTGTATGTAAGTGTGAGTGTGTGTGTTTGTGTATATGTATATGTACAAAAAACCCTAAAATTAAATCCTTCTGCATTTTCTACACCTGTGATTTAACCCTACACTAAAAAGAACAGCACCTTGCAGCTAAATATGAATAATTATCAAAATCTTCAGTGAAAAGAGGTTCACTCTTGTGAGTCACTGCATCACTCCCTCTTTATACTAAGAAGGGGACTAGCTCAATCAAGTCACAAAGGAATTTCCAACAAGTCAATAATAAGTGCTTTCATCACCCCCTAATGCAGCCTTCAATGGCCTGATCCTTGCCGAAAGTTGTATCAGGTTTTAAATGGAGGGCGGAATCGGGCAGTTTATAGCCATCTTTAGACACCAGAATCTCAAGCCTTGGTATTCAAATACTACCTATCCTGCAGGCTGCAGAGGCTCCCAGGGAACTCTGAAGACTAAAATAAGATATGTGCAGGTCTCTCTATGTGTATCCATACAGGGTCTCCTCTCATGTGGATAACAACGAGATAACTGGAAGGTTTACTATAAATTGTAATTTTAAAAAATGTAAACAAAAATCACCTGGGAACTTCCCCCAGAAACCAGGTATACTGTAGTTACAAGCATGACTAAACCAGATTACTGCACCAAACTGAGCTTTCATTTATGAAGAAATAAAAATGGTACAGGTAAATGTTTAATATATAATATCAGAAGATCATAAACCTTGGATCTTAACTGTGGGCCTGCCTTGACTAACCGAAACAATTATAATAGATGACTTATTTCTGGATCTCTGAGATTTGGCTAGAAAAGAATATGAACGTTAAATATTCTCTTGCCTGAAGGTTGGATTAAGAAAATGATCTTCTCGTTCTTTAAAACTTTGTATCCCAATCGCATAAAAAGAAAGGCTAATAGAAATGCATACAATCTGAACTCCTGTCAGATATAAAAGGCACAAATGAACGCTGCTCTGTACTCATAAATACATTCTTTTTTAAATGCAAGCAGTGTAAGTACCTGACCTGGTGTCAGCCCTTGACCAGTCCATGTACAGCAGCAGTAAGGCTGAGAGAGGAAAAGGCAATGCAAAAAGCCAGTCAGCTGTGGTGTAGGTCTCATGTGCTAACAAGGGACATGCTAATAGGAGGAGAGAACAGAGTGACAGAGAGATGCACTCATCAATAAACTGCTTCTCCTCCTATCCAGTCACAGGATTTGGGTAGGAAGGAACAAAACCTGAAAGTGTTATTTAACTGTAGCAAAGAAAAATCAGGTCCTTCTGTCCTACTAGACAGGGTTGTGCTGTGTGGTAGAGTTATGTAAAGATCAGAAACGGATGGATAAAAATAAAAATCCTTTACCAGGCAAAACCGCTCACATATGTTTTTCATGCGTGTATTGAGCTGTTTGCCTGAATCACCAAACATTATTTTATGGTTGCGATGATAATGGTTTGTTTTTTACAGAGCATAACAACAACGCAAACAATGAGGTAGGTAGAGTGACAAGTGGGTGTTCATTTTCATTAGGATCTCCTGATTGAATTACCTGATGACACAGTTCCTCCCACTGTCTCTGCAGAAGTTCAATGCGCTCATTAAGAATGGAAATATCATCTGCACTAATAAATGGTGAAAAGGTGTCCTTCAGTTCTGTCAGATGAACAAGATCCTCCACCCATCCTTCCACTGCATTTTCAAGTTCCTGTAAGAGCACAGCCATAGTATAAATAATTTACAAATACAGGAGATTTGTAAATGTTATTAATAAAACAGTCCTGATAAGTAATTAACATGTAGCTACATTCTAGACGCAGTTATCAGAGCTATCCTCTGCTCCTTACCTTGCATCTGATCTGTTCTGTATGCAGTTCATCATGATGGACAGGTAGAGGCTGAGAGAGTTTTTTCCGGAATGTTCTAAGCTTTTCCAAGGAATCTGCTACTCCTTTTTCACATTTCTCCCAGTCCTGAAAAGGACACATTTTCAAAGTGTTTCTAGGTATAAGTAACAAGGGCAGTAACAAAGACAAACCTCAAATTGTACTGCACAGCATGCACTGCAGAGCAATCTATGTCAGGATTAGCCTTTCAAGGAAAAGTCTGCAAAGTCAGGGATTTGTTTCAGATCTGAAAAAAGAAAGCCACACAATGCTCTGCACTACATCTCCTTACATCTATAGGAAGTGATAGTTCCTGTAATATACTGATAATGCAGAATTTGAAAAATGGTCCAGAAATTTGCATTTTTTTTTAAGTCCTTTATTTCAGCATATTCAATGTTTGGGGCAGTAGTAGAACATAAGAGAGTGTGCCAGGTCCTCAATAGAAAGCAATAGGTGAATCATTAAATTATATCATATACTGTATTTCTATGAATGGCAAATATAACAACCCAGATGTGGTCCAGCAGCAATATCAATGACTGCATTATAAATACATTGAATATTAACAAGACCTCTAATTCCCACTGAAGAATGAGATGTCCAGATATGCAGTGACTGTGGCTCAATCCAGTGAACATGCAAGCAGCGAATGTGCTTTATAGAATAAAGTTTTATTAGTCTGACAAAAGTTACAGAAAGTCATTCCACGTGCTACAACACCATCACTTGTATAGCAGCCGGGAGGCCTTGCCGACATTTCCACAATCTTGTGGTGCCATGCACCTGCTACCCATAACCATAAATGGTGCAATATACATATAGTTTGATGTAATAGACCTCCCCCAGCTGAGAGTTATATGGTGGTACATGTCATGACCAAGGGTTGCTCTAAGGCACAATAATCATGGTATAGACATGGGAGGAGAAAAAGAAAGTGAGAGAATTATAAGAGAAAAGAGTACAGGGTGGGGTGTAGGAAAGGGGGGCAAGTAACTTGATCAGGAAAATAAAAACCCTCCTCTACATACACTGCAGGTTTGCTTACTAGGAAATGGCTGGAAAGTGCAGTGAATCCAAGAAGGTAATCCAGAGCCCAACTAGTAATATAGGTGGAATACCCTTCATAGTATTGCGCCATCAGTTTCTCTAAGCATTTCAAGTGGGCCAGTTCAAAGCGCCATTCTGGAGAATGTGCTTTATAACTATGGAACAAATGGCAAAAAACCTAAGAAGCTAATATGTGGCTAATCAAGGAACTCATAATTCTTGCCTCATTCAAACTTTTGCCAACTATATCTATATATTTGAGCAATTGTTGTGTATCTTACCTATAATATATGTCAAGCAATAATAATCTATGGAGAAGTCTTTGATGCCTAAGCAAGTGCATCAGCAGGACAGAAGTTCCAGAATTCGAGTAAATCAGGTAACTGTTAACAAAAAGGTGTGTCTGACCTAGTGGGGTTAGCTTACTAAAGACAAATAGGCTGTTCACTTTGCAAGGGAATTTTCATAAATTTCTCCTTAGCTGCACATGAGTGGATGAAGGAATTTAGCAGAGCTTCACCTCATTCCCAAAGTGAAAAGTCTCGTAGACTCTGCTCCCCTGCCTAATGCACTACTATGCAGTTGTTCTTTAAAAAAAGCTCTAGATACTCTGAAACACATGGATATTACCTCACATATATAATATGAGCTAAACAACGCAGCAGTGATAACATTATTCAAGTTGCTCCAATTGTATTACTGCAGGGGACTGAGAGTGTGCTGTATATATCCTGAACATGCCTGCTGCAGGCCTTCATCATATTGTGCACTGGTAAATCTAACACAATGGCAAAGAACCTGTGACAGCATTTACTACATCTGCTTAGTGTACGACACTATCCACATACTAAAGCCAATTTCTATGGGAATAAATATAAAGAGGATGGCACATACTTTCAGTAGGAATGCAAGCTGTTTCTTCTGTTCCTCCAGTCTCACTGTGGTGGCCTTCCATCTCTCTTGAATGTCGATGAGCTCTGCCTGCAAGGAAGCCTCCGCCCCACCATCAGCAGAGAGAAGCAGCTGCTTCCCAGTCTCCACAGTCAGGATGTAGCTCCCTTGCTGTCTGTGCAGTACTCTGTCTCTCAGCTGCAACATCAAACACATTTGCATCTCGTATCAATAACATGCATGTACAAATAGGCTTCACAGGGAGAATGCAACTATGCATATCTCACCTTAGGGCTGATTTAAAAAAAGAAAAGTGTGGGTTGCCATAGCAACCAACTAAATTCACCCTTATTTAGCCACCAAAAATTAGAAGCTTTAGTCTGATTGGTTGATGTGTAACACACCTCCAGTTTTCCGTTCGCTTCAGAAATCAGTCCCAAATGTGAAAATCAATTTCAAGATGAACTACAATATTTCAGATAAGTCCAGCAAATAGAGTTCATCATATCTGTGCAAGAGCAGTAAGTAAATGGATACCTGGACTTCATCCAGAAGGTTCCTGGCTTGCTGTAGGGGTATTGGGATGCTCCCCAGGCCTGTCACTGGCTGATAGGACATCTGCGCCAGCCACTTGCGCAGCTTCTCTGCCATCTCTCTGTATCGTTGCCACTGACGTATTTGACTGTCGATTATCCCCCTTCTCTGTTGAGCCCGACGGATTACTCCTTCCCATTGGTTACTCAGCAGGGTAAGTTTAAGGTTAAACTCATCCCTAGCAAATGAAGGTGAGCTGATTAAATATAGAGATTACACGGGAACATTCACTGGCAATGATGAAAGAGTACCATTAAAATGAACGGATGGAATAGAAGTACTAAACCAACAGTTTGCATACAAAGTTTACATTTAGTTTAAACAATTCTACATAATTATGAGCAAGTATTTTTTCAAAAAAGGTGAAAAAAGAAAACTAAAAATAATAAAAAATAAGATTGTCTTTCAGCTTGTACCTATTATCAGAGCTTTGTCCAAATCTTAAAGCTTGGAAAGATATAATAAGCAGAAAATGGCTTCAGTTCCAACAACAGTCGTGCTAGCTTCTGACCCTTTCAGTGCCTGATAATTGATCATTGAGGCATGTCAAGCACAACTTCAAAAATGTGTGTTGCCATTTGATTAATCATTGAAAGTGTACAGATACTTCAAATCACCATCTGAGAAATAAGGGTGGACAATGAACCTGAAGCTGGCCATACATTATGTGCGTTTGCAAAGTGGGTGCCGCTGTCGGTACATTTTCAGCCAGCATCCCTCAATCAGCTGATTGAAGGAGCTGGTTGGGAAATCTTCAAAACAAACAGAGTCGGCTGTCAATGAGGTGCTGGCTCTGTTCAGGTATTCTGACAGCGGCCGTTTTCAGGATACAAAAGAAACAGCAGGGATTCCTCGATTAACGCTGGGTGGAGGAACCTGTTCTATTTTTTCGTTGAGCCCGCGGGTATGGCAAGCTTAAGACAGCAGGAAACATAAACAGGCATTTTATGAACCCAGACATTGAGTTCCTCAATGTCCATACACCACGTAGAATTGATCAATCCCAGGATCCCAGGATGAGATTTACCATTAATGAAAACTCACAAGACACTCACTCACAAGTGTGAACACAGCCTTATCTTTTAAAAGAGCTATAATAGATGCATTTAGTGATATATGTACCTATCATCCACTTGTCCTTGCTCAAGAAGCCTTTGTCCATCAACGATGATAGAGTGCAAAATCTGCTGGCGACTGAACATTTCCGCTTGGAATAGCTGGAGAATAACAGAAATCACGTATTGACTTGTTATATATGTATTATTTTATATGCAATGTATATGCTACATCATGCACATGCTGCTGTATCAGGTTCTCATTGAAAAAAGTAAAAACATTTGTTAAAGTGACCCTGTCATCACTGGAAAAATTTGTAAATCTGGAAAATATCTGGAAAAAATAAGATTTTTTTACCCGCAGCACCACCTACTGTTGAAGTTTCAAGGTTCAGACTTGGGCCTCACTTAAAACATGCCTGGGTTTGTTTGCAAAGGGATGTACTATGGTTGGACACTTGTATTGCAGACAGGCAATTGCTGTTACCATTAATGAGACTGCCAGCAAGAAGAGGTTAGTGTATGGCCTTATTTAGTAATAGAAGTAAAATCTGCTTTGTAACTTGCCTCATGAGCTCTCTGCTGTTCTAGTAGGCTCTGGTAGTTTCCAGGGATCTCCACTGCCAACTTCTGCTCAGTCTGAATCAAGAACTCCATCCACGTCTCACATTTTTCCAGGAAGGTCTGGTGGTGCAGCAAGAAGGACTGTAACTTACTAAAAGAAGAAAAAAGAGGTACTGTAAGTCATAATAGACAACACTGTAAGCCGAAGTGCTGTAAGCACTGTAAGCTGAGTCGAAGCTCCGACAGCTCACTTGCTCCCGTTCGCCCCTATTCTCATAGGGGCCGAATGGCAGTGAGTGAATAGCCAAATGCTGCCGAGCATTCCTACTGAAAGTATGTGCCATCCTCTTTATTTGGCTTGGCTATTCTGCTCGGACATTCCATGTTTAAGTATAAAGTAATTTGCAATAAATACTCTCTGCCTTTCTTTCAAGTGCCTACCTATGTTTTAGCCACAAGAGAAGCAAGCTTCCAAGAGACCTTACAAACTAGCTGATAGAGCCCCAAAATTCCTCTCAAAACTGAGTAATTAGCTTTGGATAGATGTACCCTTGGAGTCATCAGAAGATATAAATCTCTCTTAAAGCTTTATTACATCGTTCATACATTAGCCCTTAGATAAGAAATGTAAATTTGCTCTTTCAGTTACATGGAACACTTCCATATTTGTAGTGCAAGCTAATGCCTACTTGTAACATTACCATCTGTGCCAATGTCCTGACCAATATTTTCAATGGGATCGGAAATTTAGTTACATTAGACCTAAATGAGCTATTAGCTACAATGTGCTATGTCTCAATTGGACCCCTCAGCCTAAGGAATCCACCATCTTTTAAACCATGAATGGAAAATTAGGCTATGCAGTGGAAATCTATGTGTCCTGTCCCATGTTTGTGGTTAAACGGGAAACAGTTTAGGGAAATTTGCTACATTTCCTCGATATGAATATACTGAGCAGATCATGATCAATTTAATACCAAAGATACCTTAGTTATAATAAGGCTCTCAAAAATGCTGTCAAAACTGTTTCACATAGAGTTCAGCTTATATTCGGTAACAAAAATGTATCTCTATGTCATCAAGACATGACTGTAGCATTTAAATATAAAATGTTATACTATTAAAATATTCATATGCATGGAAGCACTGTAACAATAAAAGCTAGCCATGAAGCAAGGCAACACTGGGTAGGGTTTAGGGTTTAATAGGTTATATGGGTCATCTAAACAAGCCACCTGAATTTCAACCATATATTTAGCTGTTTGCAATCGAGGCCAAAATAGCTGATTTGGAAAAATTCTCCAATTCAGCTCACTCTCCAGTTCAGATATGTTGTCCTAGATTGTTCACTTCTCCTGCCTTCTACAATCTCTTCACCCTTTTTTTTTTTTTAATAACCCTGACAGATTACGGCTGCAGTCAGACATGTTTGGCAGTGATATAGTGCTTCATTAGACAGTTGCTGCAACTTTTTAAGAAGAAATTATAATGTTAACCTTACCTGAATCTTTCTGTTGTCTGAGATGATACCGTTGTCCAGTCTCTATTTAAACACTGCATCCTTTTGATTTCCTTGTCATTTAGTGGTAATCTGTATCCTAACTCATTGAGGCGATCCAAGCCTGGGCCCATGCTACTAAATTGCAACATTTGCCTCTGCAAAACACGAGTCAAAATCAATTCTAACAGCCATAAATTATTATAGGTTATACATCCACTCACAATTTCTGATGGGCCATGAAGTTTACAATAAGTTCAGCCCTGTCATGGCTTGAATTTCTACATAGCCAACGTTGGCTAGTGTGCCAGGAACACCAGTGATAGCACAAAAAAAACACACACCGATCATTCTTTTCATAGGAACACATCTGATTGCATAATAAAAGTTTGTGGCAAACCCATGCTTTTCAGCCCCATCCAGCTATGTTCTCTTTTCTTGTGGACATTATTTGAGGGACATCATTGATAGAGTACTTTGTATTTACTTATAAGGTTATCAGTTTGCCCTACACTGCTAGTTATCGCTTTTAGGTGCACTTAGTGTAGGGAGTCTTTTTCATTTAGTTTAGTATTTCTTGTGATTTTTTTAGTGTGATAGGATGGCTAGACAGTTGAAAAGGGTAAAAGGGGATGGTATAAGACTGGCCTGTCTTAAAACATACTCTCCCCACTGCTTAGATGCATCGTAGGCCACTGACACACATCAGCTCTAACAACAAGAGCGGACCATCTGCAACCGCTGATCGCTCATCTCTTGGTCTCTTCTTTTAATGGAAAGCGATGACAATCAGTAGGAATTTTCCTCTCCCTCTTCGCTCTTCCAGTGCTCACTGAAGCGACAGACAGGGGAGGAGGTGAACACACCTGGCTCTCAGCCATGTGCCAAGGGGCAAGCCAGTTGTCAGTAAGGCATCCGGGGTGGATCTTGACAATATGATCAGGGTCCTTCTTGGTTGCAGTACATATATGCTGACTTTGGGTCTCTGGAGTACATTAGTAAATGCATTTCTATATTATTACCCTATATTTGACAGTTCAAATGCCTTGAAAGAGGTACTAACTTTTAGTTCTTCCATCCTCTCTTGAATTATGGAAAGGTCTGATGAGCGGTTCGGGTCCTGGCCATTTAAAACCTCTCCTGCAGCGACAATCCAGGTTTCCAGGTTTTCCAGACTACTCACAAACGTTTCATAATCTAACACTCCAGCCTGAAACAAAACAGAAACAGTTCTTCCTTAGACAAGATTCTTAGATTAGACCTGCCACCAACACAAATCAACAATAACATTGTGATTGTGAACAGACAGCATGTTGCTACCCATCACATGCTATATCATTGCTAAAGTTGCTAAAATATAAGCTTTTTTCATTAAAGGTATAGTCCACCTTTAAAAACCTGAGTATAGGTGTAACATGAAAATGTTCTAAAGGGTAAGCTTAGCCTTCATGCATGAAAATGCCATCATCTATGGTTAGGAAGATAAAACAGACATAAGCATAAATTTATATATAATTATCATTATACTGACTGTTCGGCATACATTTCCCAATATGCACCGCAGATCTGTGATTCATTCTAAATGGCAAGCTTAATGTTAGTATAACAGCGCATGAAATGCTGTATTTCATATATAGGTGAGATCAGACATACTGCAGTCTATACATCTCTTTACTTAGACTGTGTACCCATAGGTGTCAAAACCTTTTGCCTTTTACTTTCTACTTCTGATTTCTTTAAAACTGCAGAATAAATTCAGAATGTAATGGGGATTTCTGCAGTATTTCAGTATGTTCTTTACGGTGACAGGTACAAGTACTAAAAAAAAGTTATACTCACCCAATCATTCGAGCCGACTTGTTCTTAGATCGGTCCCTAAAGTCTCTCTCCCCCTCCTCTACGGCAGTCTAAGAATCCTTGTGTCATCACAAGCTATACAAGTGTATAGACGTGAGGACGCTGAGAAGCAGGGAGTCAGCTCGGCACTTCAGGCGAGTATAACTTTTCTTTCTTAGCACCTAGACAAAATGAGCATTTAACCCTTCCAGTGCAGGGGTAGCACCCCTGCAAGAGTTAATAAATGTTTTCCCCCGGAGTTCTTCATTTAAGGATCAAATTATGTTACTGTCTGGTTCTTCATTTGCTATCATTGCTATTAATGACTATTTATTTTGCTAGTACTGTATTTAAGCAATTTGTTTGATTCATATTCTTAAAACATTAGTGGCCTAATTAGGGCTTTCCAAGTAAACAAAGTTGACAACCTAAATAAAGTGACGAGTAGAGTCATACCTGGAGAATGTCCTGTTGTCTTTGGAGAGCCTGCTCTAATACTGACAAGCGTTGGCTCAGTGATAAGTGATCAGATAAGATGGTTGCAGCTGCAGATGAATCCACTTGTTGTTTAAGCTGCTCTCCTATCTCACAAAGACCAGCCAATGAGATGTTTGCTGTGTCCAGATTTTTCAAAAGAACCTGTTGAATTAAGCAGAGAGATAAAACATTTTAATGTACCACCAATGTTCTAATAACTCCTTCACACCTAGTAAACAAAGAGTATAAGAGTTTAATAGGCGTTTGGGAGTTCTGAAGCTGTGTTGTGCATGGTCCCCAGTCAAGCTAGCTGGTCTCTTTGAGGTCAGCATACAAGATTATTGCCTCTGTGGGTTACTTGATCGAAAAGTAGAACTCCAATGGATTTGCTTAGTACAAGTTATTATATTAAGAAGCATATACTTCTATGCACCCTTTTAAAAGTAAAAACTTGGGTAAAGGGGACAGGTAAACTCTATGTACATAAAATGCACCCCCCTACAATCCTCCCTCTAGTGAACTAATTAATGGCTGTTGTTTGCATCAGCATATCCATGTGACAATGCTCTGTCTCCTAAGCCCCAGTATTGCATTGTGACTGAAGAAAAAACAGGTTTGGGTTCTAGAAGGGCATAGGTGAAGGTAAGTGTTGTCTTGCAGCTTATGCTGTCCGCAGTCTGATCCTGCTGTCTATTACCTATTCTCCCCCCTAATAAAGCAAACCTAACATTACAATTTAGGTCCATTTTAATTCTCAGTAATAGGATTTACTTGAAGCTGATCACATATATATATACACACACACACACACACACACACACACACACACACACACACACAAATATGTTCTCTAAAAACCGTAACATTTACAAATTAATTTAACGATAAATGATGAGCACCATTTTTCTAACTACTGTAGTATTTCCAGCGCGTTTATTTCCTGTGTCTGAATAAAGAAGATAGCTTTCAGAAAGTTTTTCTGTACATACACTGCAGTCCTGTATCCAGGTTGCAATCTCATCATCTCCTATGTCCTTGTTGGTTGCAGTCTTCAGTAACTGGTTGGTGCGATCTTCTTGCTGCTGCACAGTGGCAAAACACTGAGTACAAAAATCTTTGTACTTCTGCCACAATTGGAGCAAAGTCTTGCTTGAGTGCAGCTGTTCTGAAATGTCTTCTAATAAACTATTCCACCTATTAAAGAAATAACTCAAATAAATTATTCAAAATAGTAAAAAATATTTTAAAATTCATAGCAAAGACTTGACTATACTATCCTAGTTCCTCAGAAGTGTCACACAGCTATAACTTTTAGGACACACTGGAATTCCAGACTGGAATTTGATCTATTAGGCATATGTGTCTGGCTGTGTCTGGCAGTATCTTGCAGCCAATGAAAGTTGTATATATACAGTATATATTACAAAGATGTAAAAGATGTAACCTTAATCATAGCTGACTATACTGCTTCCCACTTACAGTATTCAAGGAAACAACACAAGAAACAATAGGATAAAAAAAGTATATATATACAAGTTATATACAAGGTACTTCCAGCATTTGACTCATGTCCTCCAAAATGACAATACTGGTGCTTAGTGACTGGCTGCTCAGGCACCCAGTGCTGTCACATGACTTGTGGGCAGAGTCTCGGCTTTGAGTAAGGTCTCATTCACACTATACAATTTGGGATTCCAGCAGCAGGAATCCCAAATCACCCATTTAGATGTGCCCGCTGTCACCCATTTAAGTTAATGACTGGAGACATTGGCCGCATTTGTAAACAGTAGTCTGCATGTAAACATATTTGATATGAATAAATGTGGTTTGGAATAGGTCACTGTCCCTGGATGCATCTATCGTACGTCCAGGGACAGTGATCTATTCCAAACTGCATGCAATTGTATAAAATACGATTACATGCAGACAGCCGTTTACTGATGAGGCCACTGTTACCAAGTCATTAACTTAGTGACAGTGGCCGCATATGCATAGGCTCCTGTGGCAGGAATCCCAAATGACATAGGGGTCTATTCACAAAGCAGCCGAAGTATCTAGCCATATCTTCGGCTGATCTTCGGCTAGCTTTGGCCCCAGGACTCTTTCGGTTCAGTAGAACGGAAGGGCTGCTGTACGGGCTATTCACTATAGCCGTACAGGTCTCCGGGAGTCTCCCGCTATTAGATAGCGGCTCCCGGCCACCCGGGAGAGAAACACTTTCTCCCAGAAAGTTTCACTCTGCTCACTCAAAGCTTTCCCTGCTTTCTTTTTTTTTTTTATTCTGACATGGAGCTGTTGGCTACATGTTCTCTAATGATTGACAGCAGCAGAGGGCGGGTGCAATAGCTAGTTTGCTATTCAAATAGCCAATAGGAATCTACCTATGCATTCCTATGGTGAAATATATATATATATATTTTTGGACAGCAGCAGAACCGCCCGGCCAATAGAAAACAGTTGGGCGGAGCTAGCTGTCACTGCTAGCTCCGCACAATTGTTTTCTATTGTTTTTTTTTCTACTTTTTAAAAACTTTTTTGCTATTCTGCTCGGTGCCACAGTATGTAATTTAGCTTTTTACCTTGAGGTAACCTCTTTTAAAGTGCTCTTCAGTGTTTCTGCCACAGTGGAGTAACATTCATTTTGCAGCTTGTTGGATACACAGGCAAACTTGTTTAAAAGTCTCTCCTGTTTTTCCAACTCTTCCTGTAGAGTCTGTAAATATGAACCATTACGTTAGTAAGGAAAAAAAAAAACAAGTCTAGATTAATTAGAAGTAGAATACAGTAAATGAGCTGATACAGCCCTAAAATAACACTATTTCCCACTTTCCTTACAATTCATTATTATTATCAACAACCACTAACAGATCAATCCACATCTCTGCCCCCAACTATATTTTCAAGCTCATCTCAAAGTATCACCCTAACCATCCTCTCCACTCCCTAGACCTCCCGCTCGCCTACAGGACTTCTCTAGAGTCTCACTCATCCTCTGGAACTCAACCTGTTCAGCTATCTCCTGTCTGCCTTTAGGAGATCCCTGAAAACTCATCTCTTCAGGGAAGCCTATCCCACCTCTACCTAACGACTTTCATTACTTTCTCAAACATCTCATCCCCACACAGCTACCACCTTTGGTATCACTTGCCCCTCCATTTTAGATTATAAGCTCTCATAGACAGGGCCCTCCTAACCATCTTGTTTTGAATTATATTGTAACTGTAATGTCTCTTTTATATTGAAAAGTGCTGCCCAAACTGTTGGTACTATATAAATCCTGTATAATAATAATAGTCAGAGAAAATATCTATATCACATCAAGCCAATCTGAAGAATCTGAACTTTTTGCGCCACAAATTGAAAATTGTACAATTTTTCAGTGTCCAACTACAAATCAAGCTCTTCCATTGAAGAGCCTTAGTTAATCGGCCTACAACTTACTGTCTGTGCAGGGTCCTGTTCATTTAGGACCTTAACTGTGAGCATACATAAAACACTGTACAGAGACTACATGACAAGGAGTTTGGTAATCAGGGAGCAGAGATAACATTCCTATATATGTGACTACTAACATTTGGAATGGCTAAAACAACAGAACAACTTTACTTTTTATTTCCTCCAGAAGTCACAACATTTTCTGTATTCATGTTTTATCCATCTTCATTACCATCACATGATCTAACATTTATATTCCTCAATAGAAAGATTAGTCAACAAAAAGAGCCAATCGTTTCCCACCTGCAGGTTGTCCACTTGGACTTTGACAGCTTCCATGGATCCTGTCAGGAGCCGGAAATGGGACAAGGAGTACCTGGCTTCCATTAAATAACTGTTCAGATCTTCATAAACCTCCTTGTAAATGCTCCACTGATCAAGTACCGACTGCAACAATATCTTTAGCTGACACACCTAAGAAAAACAATAGAAACATAAAATAAGTTTGACTTTCTCCCGCCTTCTCTTTTCTTTGTCCATGGCTTCAAATGAGAAGATTAACAAAAGGCTTTGCGTTTTTAGTAGCAGTCGTCTATTCAGACTTCAAAACCTTGTTCTGAGTTATTTACACTGCTCCTCCAACCACAAAGGAGAAATGACTGGGCAAGAAAACGATATCATACTTCTGAGGTGACTGGGTGGCAATAATCTGTCTTACGAAATGTATGTCCTTTAAGGAAAATCAGAAGCAGTATGGTTCAACAGTAGCCAAAACTCTTCTTTTTTTTTTTGGGATGAAGTATGAAAGGTTTGGAACCCCTATCAAGTTTTTATTGCTGTTATTGGGAAGATTCACTCTCTCTGTCCTGGTGACCACTGTTACCGAGACAGATAGTGTTGGAAAAAGGTGAGAGTAAATTTTCCTCTGAGGACAGTTGTTCCAATGACAACTGGGGCATTTCTCCTCATTCTGAAGAAATTTCTTCTCACTCCCAGGACAGGAAGTAAAATAAGACACAAGACGCAAAAAATAAACTCATGGACATTTTAACCCTTCCCTACCCTATTCAGAACCCCAAAAAAAGTTTTGGCTATGCGAACAAAACATTTATCACTACACCTTAACACAACCCATTTACTCAAGCATAACGTATGTAGTATTTTTTACCATTCATTATTTGCTTTTTATTTTTATCCACTAAAGGTATTATTGAGTGGGTTAGCAGATCTTACAGTTCATTACAACTATGAAATCAAGAGGGTTATTCACTAAGCTGCCGAAGGCAGCTGAATGAATAACCGACCCGAAGTGAAGTGAGCCGAACGCGGTTCGGCTATTCACTTCAGGCTTGTACTGCTGATTTCAGCCATACATCGGCTTGCTTCGGCTGGCTTCGGTTCGGCCGAACATGCTCAGCTTGTTCGGCTAAGCCGAAGTGCAGAAGGAGTTTGACTCAGCCGATCCAACATCTGGGCGGTCAGCCGATCCAATAAATAACAACTGGGCGAAGCCAGCCGCGACGTGGCCGGCTCCACCAAGTTGTCATTGTTTAATGACAGTTCAGCGTCCCCAGGCTGATCTGTAATTGCAACTGGGCGGAGCCAGGCATGAGATTACGGCTGGCTCTGCCCAGCTGGCAGTTGCAAAGTTTTCGTTTCCACTCGCCTCACTTCGGGTTTCACTTCGGCTCAGTCGAGCCGAAGCATATGCCTTCGGCTTGGCTGAGCTGCTTGGCCAGCTTCGGGAACTGTACGGGCTATAGTGAATAGCCTGTACAGCAGCCCTTCGGTTATACTGAACCGAAGGGCTCCGGCAGCCGAAACTAGCTGAAGGATCAGCCGCAGCTACGACTGATCCTTCGGCTAGCTTTGTGAATAACCCTCCAAACGTTGCTATGTTTTGCATGTGAAAGTCAATTCACGAAGATCATCAAATGTGTTTGCTTTCTTTAAAATACTGCTATCTTTTGAGTGACTATAATTATGAGGGTGTATCACATGTCTGTTGGCAAAAGAGTAGTAAAAGAAGCAACTGATGTGGCAATACAATAATGATTCAACACAAAAAAGCATTCCTAAAAAAAAAGTTACTTATTGCATGCACACAAACAAAAAACAAATCCACACCAATGGAGTATCAATCTATTTAAAATTAACATTTTGATGAGCTATAATAACAAACGGGCGTATCTGCCGCGAGGCAAACAAGGCATTTGCCTGGAGCGGCAGATTCCAGGAGGGCGGCAGGAATGCCTAATGTAAACGGGGAGGAAGCGGCGGACGGGGAGCAGGAGGATACCAGGGACGGAGCGGTAGGAGGCGGAGACAGAGGAGATCGGGGGCGGAGATGGAAGAGGCGGGGTGGATACAGAGGAGGCGGGGATTTGAAGACGGCAATGGAGGAGGCGGGGCCCAGGGCCGGCTCCGGGGGGCCCTGCAGGAGGTGCTATGGGCCCGGCGGCGCTGCGGGGAGGAGTGCGGGCGAGGGGGGTCCTATCTGGAGGAGCTGGTGCTGGAGAAGGCTGACTGCCTGCTGAGCTGCGAGAGGCTGCAGCTGGGGCAACCTTCCTTCTACCGATTGACCCAGGAGAAGATCTTACAGAGGGAGTCGCCCTACAACTACCGGCAGAAGGAATGCGATGCTCTGCTACTGGGTGGGTGCAATGGTCTGAAGGGCATGGGTGAAGTGGTCCTTAACTGGGTGCAATGGTCTGCAGGGTATAGGTGAAGTGGTCCTTAACTGGGTGCAATGGTCTGCAGGGTATAGGTGAAGTGGTCCTTAACTGGGTGCAATGGTCTGCAGGGTATGGGTGAAGTGGTCTGTAACTGGGTGCAATGGTCTGCAGGGCATGGGTAAAGTGGTCTGTAACTGGGTGCAGTGGTCTGCAGGGTATGGGTGAAGTGGTCTGTAAATGGGTGCAATGCTCTGCAAGGTATGGGTGCAGTGGTTTGTAACTGGTGCAATGCTCTGCAAAGTATAGGTACAGTGGTCTGTAACTGGGTGCTATGCTCTGCAAGGTATGGGTGCAGTGGGCTATAACATTGCAGGGTAGCAATACAGCGATCTGTAACTGGGTGTCATGTTTTCCAATGTATGAGTAAAGTGGTGTGTACATGGTGCAATGCTCTGCAGAGAAGGGGAGCAGTGGTGTTGTAACTGGGTGTATATGGTAAATAATCTGCAGGGCCTGAGTAGATGTTCCAATAGAAGTCCTCATCGAGTCCTGGGACAGCGATGGAAGAGGCGGGAGGCGCCGCCGGAGAAGATGTGACGATTGGGCACCGAGGCAGCGGTGGAGGCTGGGTTTCCCGTGCCAGGTAAGAGAACTGTGCTGGCAGGGCCCGGCATAGATTCTGCACAGCCCACCAAAGAGTCTCAGGTGGGCTGTGCAATACCCTTTGGGGGGCTCTGCAGCCTGCAAAGCCCACCACAGACCCTGCACAGCACCCCTGAGATCCTGCAGACTTCAGGGTCTCTGCAGGATCTGTGGGGGGCTCTGCAGAGTCTCAGGGGGCCGTGCAGGATCTGAGGTGGGCTCTGCCCACCGCAGACCTCGCGGAGCCCACCACAGATCCTGCAGAGCCCACCTGAGACCACAGCTTTCTTGCTAAACTAATAGCGGAACATGTCAAAAGCTGGATACAGCGTGTGCACTGTATCCAGCGACTGACAGGTTACGCAAAAAGTATTAAACAGGAAGGGTTGGGGTAAATTTAGGGGGGGGGGGGCGCCTGAGTTTTGCCTTGCCTAGGGCAGCCCCAAACCAGAATACACCACTGATAACAAACACAGTTAAAATAACTCTCACATCTAAGTGAATTCACATCGAGCCTTCTGTAACTCAATGTAAGCTAGGAACTTCAGTCACACGACTGAACAAATTTTTTTTCTCTTACAAAAGTTTAGGTGTAAGTGAGGGAACATATTATAACATTCTAGCTACAGAACAATGACACCCAGTGGCCAATTCTGATTCAAATTGAATGATTGTTTTGCCTAGTTTGGTTAACTCTGATGAACATGACAGATGCAGAAAAAAATTAGCAACCATACCATGAGCTCTTCAAATATTCACAACAAGCTGTGCTATAGCTTTGTTTGTATAGTTCATATGTGTATCATTCATAGAAGCAGTAGTGCAGAACATAACAAGGCATCATGGTCAGGTGCTTAAATGATGCCTACAATTCAGCAAAACACACACAATGAATACTTTCAATATACACAAAAAAATGCTATTTACATGATGGAGAAATTCTGCAACAATAATCTATCTCCATACAAAATTATTTTATTTGTTATGTTAGAATGAGGAAGAATTAGAACTTCTGCTGGTTTTTACAGCTGTGTCCACGTTTGAGAGATTTCCAATAACTTTTAGTCTGATGCTTGTTAAACCTTTCCAACGGGGACACAGATACCACTCCTTCAGGTTTTTATTACTATGTAGCATTGAGAAGATTTCCCTTTGCTTCCCGTGTAGATGATTGATGATGGACGGAACAGGAAGGGAGGGAAATCACCAAAATAAACACAGGCCATATTTAAATCCTATAGACCAGGGGTAGGAAAACTCCAGCCCTCCTTCTGTGGTGAAACTACAAATGCCATCAGGCATCTGCCTCTGGGAGTCATGCCTGTGGCTGTCAAAGTCTTGCAATGCCTAATGGGATTTGTAGTTGCACCACAGCTGGAGGGCAGTAGTTTGCCTACCCTACTATAGAAAATGCCATCCTGCACCTGACCCTGAACACCAGTAATAGAGAGTGCTCAACAAAACTAGTGACAAATAAAAAGCACCAAAAACATATTGCTCCTCCCAAATTTTGGACCCGCACGTCAGTAGAGGAATGTAATTTTGGCACTTTTTCTTTGCCACTTGTTTTGAGGGATCATTATGGGGTGCTGCTGGCTTTTTCCACATTTAAAACCTTTTCCCCTCGCCATTCAAAACAAAACAAAAAAATTTTTGGTTGGAGCTGAACTTTAACCTTATACATTTTTCAATACTGACCTTTCAAGGAAGCTGTCTATTTTGCATATTTATTCTTACCACACTGTGTAGAAACACACTAAGGGGCATATTTATAAAGCAGTGAATATGTCCTTCACCAAACATTCACAGAGTTATTCACACAGCTGCTGAAGGCAGCTGTATGAATAACCGACCCGAAGTGAAGTGAGCCGAAATGAAGTGAGCCGAACGAAGTGAGCCGAAATGAAGTGAGCCGAACGAAGTGAGCCGAACGAAGTGAGCCGAACGAAGTGAGCCGAACGAAGTGAGCCGAATGAAGTGAGCCTCCGGCAGCCTACTCGCTGCTGTTCGGCCTATTCTCATAGGGGCCGAACAGCAGTGAGTGAATAGCCGAATGCCGCCGAGTGGCTATTCTGCTCGGTACCTTCGTGGTACCGAGCAGAATAGAAAAACAGTAAAAAAAAGTAGAAAAAACAAAAGTAGACAGCTAGCTCAGCCCAACTGTTTCCAATTGGCCAGGACCTGCTGTCATTACAATGAGAGCTTGGCGGAGCTGCCGGTAATATCACTGCCGGCTCTGCTGAGCAATGATTGTAATGACAGTACAGTGTCCCGTGGTTACCTGGTAACCGGTGGACGCTGATCTGTCATTGCAAGTGGCCGGAGCCAGCCGTGAGATGACGGCTGGCTCCACCCAGCTGTCATTAGAAGGCTTTCGGCCGGCCAATGGCCGGTCGTTCGACCCGCTTTGGCTTTCACCTCGGCTCAGTTGAGCCAAAGAATATGCCTTCGGCTCGACCAACTTCGGGAGCTGTATGGGCTTTAGCGAATAACCCGTACAGCAGCTCTTTAGTCGAAGCAAACTGAAGGATTAGCCGGACCTACGGCTGATCCTTTGGTTAGCTTTGTGAATAACCTTCTCAGTGGTGGTCAATCAATCTCTGTCATTTAAAACCCATCCACCAGTAAGATTCACCTGCAGTGAATATCTGGTGACTGTCAGATACAGTGCTTTTTAAATATGCCGCACACACAAAACCCCACATAATAGCTAGCATAAGAAAACCACATACCTTGCAGTCCAGATTAGCCCAGCACTGGTGAAGTTCACCAAGGGTGTCCATAATGATTGCACTGACTTTTTCTTTTTTATTATGAATCAGGTAAAGTCCAGTCTGTCCGACCTTCTCCACGTCTTTTTCTTTGGCCTTGATAAGCCCCTCGAGTTCCTGATGGCACGATTTGACAAATGTTAATGAAAAGTCTTTGGAAACTGTTGCTAGTAATAGTTGTCCTGCCCTTCATTTTCCCCCTCATATGGCCAAACAATTTTTGTAATTTTACAATTTTGTTTTATCATTATGCAACAGCTTTCAGAGTTTGTAAAAAGTTTCTCAAACCATATGTTTCCTGACAGCGCAGGATCAATAGAGTGAAAAGATGGTGATACGGATTTTAAAGGCCCCATAATAATTTTTAATGCAGCACACCAGCACATTTGTTATAAATGGCTGCGGTCAGTGGCTTGCTATCTGCCGATCACAGTGATTATTGTTCAGCAGAGTTTGGAGATCCTTTACTAATGCAACCATAAGCTAATAATAGAAGAAAATGCAGATGATATAGGCCATACTGATCTGGTCCGCTGCAAGTGAATCTACTCCACTGTGAGCTTTACGTCGGTGGCAGTGAAAGGATTCAGGGTCCATTTGGACTCTTCTGCTGAACTTCAGTGTGTGAGTGCATGCAAGTTAATGTGCAGTATGTTGTACATTGTGGTAAGGCATTTAAGGTTTTAATGGACCTCAAACATTTTGTTACAGCACACCACAACACACAGATGGTTCACAATGAAATGGCACCAAAACACCGCAGTCAGAGTCTTTACCACAATATAATAGTGTGCCTACCCTACTATAGAAAATGCCATCCTGCACCTGACCCTGAACACCAGTAATAGAGAGTGCTCAACAAAACTAGTGACAAATAAAAAGCACCAAAAACATATTGCTCCTCCCAAATTTGGTAAGGCATTTAAGGTTTTAATGGACCTCAAACATTTTGTTACAGCACACCACAACACACAGATGGTTCACAATGAAATGGCTGCCTAAAGGTTGGAGCAGCCCTTGATATGTAGTCACATTTTTAGATAAATTGTGCACATCAGTTGTGGACCCAAAAAAGCTCATCTTATAATTAACAAATAATATACAGAAAGATAACACATGGTGGCTGGTGTCTTACCTGGCAATCTTTTAAGCTGTTCTGGACTGAAGCTTGGTCTCCGATGCTCTGGTATTTCTGCAGTTTATTTTCTTGTTTCTCAAACCAAGATTTTAGACTCTGCACACTGTTCCTGTATTCTGTCCAAGATTCCAGCAACCCATCTAGCAGCTGAATCTGTGGAGAAACACCATGGTGAACACTATGATCAGTAAACATAATATATGGTATTACAATTCTCTTTCATGATTTGAAGAACTTGTTAAAAGTAAATGTCGCCAAACGTACATTGTGCAGTATTTTTATTTTCATGTATGACAATATAAAATGATGATATAAAAAACACCATTTAATGTATTTGTGTATTCCCTAAATAATAATAAAATGTATTTATACATACAGCTAGAATATATACAGTGATACCTTGGTTTACGAGCATAATTCGTTCCAGAAGTATGCTTGTAATCCAAAGCGCTTGTATATCAAAGCGAATTTCCCAATAGGAAATAATGGAAATTAAGATGATTTGTTCCACAACCCAAAAATATTCATATAAAAATGATTACAATACAGTACTGTAATATAAACCTGTACAAAATATAAAGAAAATAAACCAATTACAGGTACCTTTTGTGGCCGGTGTGAGAGGGACAAGAGAGAGGAGGATTATTGTGTAGGACGACTTTCACTATCACTAACGGAATCACTGTTATCTCTTGACTCAATGGAATCTTTCTCATTTCATGAAACCATAACAAGGAATCTATCCAATGTGACATTGTGTTGTCGTTAAACAGACTCATCGCTCGCACTGCTACAGCCTTATTCGGTGGTGCTTTTCTGCAGAATTTTGCTCTTCTTGCAAGACATTGCTTGTATATCAAGGCAACATTTTTCAGAAATGTTTGCTTGTCTTGCAAAACGCTCTCAAACCAAGTTACTTGTAAACCAAGGTATTACTGTACCAGAATCTGTCTTAATTTAGTGAACGAAGAGACTAATTAATATCAGGGAACTTGCTTGATCAATAGACTGTAAGATTTGCACTTTTGGGATGTTCTCTGTGTTACCACAACGAGCACTTAACACTGCTACTGATCATCAATGCACGGGGTTATTATTGTGGTCACTGACACCAATGCAGGGGTTTATTACTGTTGTTGATGATACCAATGCATGAGGTTATAATTGTGGTCACTGACACCGGTTCTGGGGGTTATTATTGCATCCACTGACACCAATGCTGGGTGTTATTATTGCATCCAGTGGCATCAATGCAGAGGGTTATTATTGCATCCATTGACACCAATACTGAGGATTATTATTGCATCTACTGACACCAATGGTGGGAGTAACTATTACTTTCATTGCCATCAACGGTGGGGCACTCCCACTCCTACATTCTCTTCAGTGTGCATTGCAGTAAAAAATACTTTAGTAAAAAAACAGAAATGTGGGCTGCCTAACTCAATGCAATGCACTTCAAACAGGAAAACAAACAGCTATTGCGTGGCCCTCTAAAACACTGACAGGGGCCACATTGGAGGCATTTTTTAATTCTAATAATAATAATAAAAATAAGTTAACCACCTGTAAGCTATCTAGCTACTAATAGACCTCCTGGCATAAAAAAATTAAACTAAAGTTAATTATTAATATGCAATACATTATATTAATCTTACCAAAATATATCACAAACCATAAACATTTTACATTTGTGATGTATGTAGTATTACCTTTTCTGTTATCAACCCTTGAAGGATCTGCCAGCGTCTGTTCATGGCTCCCAACTTCTCAGCAAAATCCGTTTTGTCGCTCCTCTTACTTTCCACATCCTGGCTGCTGATCTGGAGCACCGACTGGTTCACAAAGTCGACTGTCAGCTGTTTACAATTGATGTCAATCTTAAATCCCTGGAAATACAAATGATATTCTAAAATGCTGAATGCAAGGAGAATGTTTTCTGATTTATTACATTATACTGCCTAAACATCTGCCCCTGACACAATGGAGATTATGTTGTCCCTACTTAAGTGTTGCAGACAAAAACATCCTAGAGCTTTTCTGTTTGGGAGTGTACTGACACATTAATAGTTGCTTTGTGGAAGAAAAGCAGAGCAACTGGTGGGAATCCACACAACATGTACCAGGTTAGCACTGGCCCAAGATCCAAAGGCAAGAGGACTACTCACCTTAAGACCTACGTATAGAATGGTTAGACTCATATTAGCAAATCAACTCATGGGTCATGGGTAGGGTTATACTAAGGTCATAGGTGCTTCATGGTCTCATTTCTTGTTTATATACTTACTGAAGTCTAATGTATAGGCTGCAACCTCTAGTAAAAGAATACATTATTTAATAAAATCCCTATTTTTAGGAAATGGAATGGGAGGATATTCTTGTTTTATATCCCATGGTCATCCCTCCGGACAAAAAACTGCTTAACACAGATCTGTATCATACCTAACTTTGGTCACAGACTGCAAAATAGGTAGACGGGAGCAAGTGTGCTCCTGAAGAAGCAGCCAAGTTGTGGTCGCTCTACACGTCAAGCGGAAATGGTCTCTCTTACATTCCTATGTACTTTATTACAATGTCCTTGGTTGCCATCCTCATGCCAAGCTGCATATTTTTTCGGATTTATGCTCACATTCTTTTCTCTGGAGTTTCTTCCACTCGCACATTCTTTTTTATTAGAGCTCGGTCACTTTGATAGATCAGGCAGCTTAACATGGCTATTTAACATCTTGTTTTACTTTTCTTTACTAATGGTATACTTACCTTAGAACTGGGTTTATTAATACTGTATTTCATGCTCTTTTACTATTATATAGCACACATCTTTAAGGGCTTGCTCACACCAGCCCACACACTAAAATGGGATGCTAACACGAAGTGAGGTATGGTACAGTGTGGAAAAATTGTGGTAGCAAATAGTGATTTCCCTGAAACAAGAAATATTGTGAAAACCATGCTATACTGATTTATCTCCGTTCAGACTTAAAGGGCTTGTCCATCCTAACTGAAAGCTGAACAACTGCTATAGAGGTAGCTGAGGGTACCCTTTCCTTTGTAATCCCATAATCTGTACCCAAACCTCATTGTTGTTAGGACAACCACGGCCAAATAACTCTGACCATTTAGGTTTAAACAGATTGCCTTTATATTTTTGGTGGTTAACCAGCACTGCAGGAGAGGTTGAACTTCTCAAGGAACACAGTATAAAAATGCAATCATTTAATGACAATATCTTCAGTCAATGAAAATGTACATATAATAATACAATACATAATAATACAACTCAATATAACAATTATTAACATAGTTCAATGGGAAAGTGATTTGATGCCCCTTCTGTGGTTCAGAACAATTCCCATTACAATTACCTTGTACTTCAGCAGATATTCCTGAATAGCTTCACATCCTACAACATTCCTGATGTTCTGTTCATCTTCCTTAATTACATTTTCCATCAGGGAAATCCAAGTCATGACTTCAGTTATGGCATGACGTGATGGAAGCTTGTCCATCTGCAGCTAAAAATAAAATAGAATTTCTAAGCCACATAACATATGATGCAGTGTGATTGTGACACTGTAAAATGTGTAGTATCTCTGTATTTATATACAATACAAAGTCTGGGAGAATGAATGAAGAAAGAAAAAAAGGGAGGCAGGAGGGAAGGTAGGAAGGAACGTAGGATTTCCAAGTATGAATGCTGTGTTAATGTAATCCTATATATCTCTTTTAGTATTGTTTATATTATTTTTTATATTTTTTCCAAAGCCACCATTTGAAACAATCTCTAAAACATGTTTAAACAGATAGAAGTCTCTATGGAGCATATTTTAATTTATGTGTATTGACATCTATGCAGCAACAAACCCACATGTTAAAAATGACCATATAAACATATATAATCAAACATAATAATGTCTTTTAAAAAAACAGCTTGATTTGCTGTTTTTCCGCCTTTCCTCTGGGCATGTAGAAATGAGAGAACAGTGACAAGTACCTTGCATGTAATAAACTGGGACTTTGCTAGGACTTTGTTTATGTGGCAGTTCCTGTCTATACTGGGTGTCTTAGGTTGATGATGGAAGGATGGCCTTTTATCTTTCCTTTTCTTTTCTGGATGAACTGGCTGAAATTCACAGCGTGGGTGCCGCTCTCAGCAGCCCTCCACCCGGCATCCCTCGATCAGGTGATCAAAGGAACAGGTCGCAAAAATTCTCAGCCAAACAGACTTAGCAGCCAATCAGCTGCAGGCTCTGTTCTGGTATTCTGACAGAGGCTGACTGCCACAGTCAGAATGCAATAGAAACAGCAGGGGATTTCTCAATCAATGCTCGTAATTGTTGATGGAGGAATCTGTTCGTTTTTTTTTCTTTCAGCCCACAGGTTGAATGAAAAAAATCGATACCCGGCTTTATTACTCTCACGGGTTTTCTTACCTTTACCCACACAAGGCAAAATAATAGAGTCACCTTTCTCTGCTCTGCTGCAGTGTTTCTTTCCTTCGCTACCCCACCCAGCCACTGGAAGCAAGGTAAAATACCCGACAGGTGTAGGCCCAGGTATCGAGGTATAGCTGAGCATGTGACTCATTCCGCTTCTTCCTTGTGAAAGAACACAAGCCTTGTGATTGATCTAGCCCTAATACATGGGGTTATGGAAGGCGTACACAGCCTTGTGTAATCTTCAGCAAATTGGTATGGAGTTTAAATAGGGCTCCCTTTTCCTGTTGCCAGCAGCCAAACAGAGCGATGCAGAAGCAAAGAAGAGTGAATATGTGCTGCTCGGGAAGTGGGGAATTTAGGTGACCCTTTGTCCTGCTTGGACACAATAAAAGTCCCTTTAAACCTGTAAAATGTATTACAGTATTATTTAGTGAATAAACTGTCCCATCTTACCTGATGAAGTTTTTCTTGTACTACAGGGATATGAGTAAGGAGCTCTGTCCACTGGTTATCTATCTGTGCCAGTTCTGAACGAAGTGCTGCTGTATCCACTTTTTTCAGTCGAAGCAGCTGGTTCCCAGTACTCAGTACTGATGATTTCAGAGAGGATTTGGCATCAACCTCTTTGGAGAATTCCTACCAGAGCAGTATAAAAAGAATGTTAATTTCAAATCACTCACTTCACTTTTATTAAATACTAATTTCTACAGGTATTTATAAAGATGTACACATTAAAGGAAACCTGGAGAGAATAGGAGACTTTCATGGTAGGCCTACATCTGAAAATTCTAGTTGTCAGGTTATCAAGCTCATCCAATTGCTTTAGTATTTACTAAGGGGGTTTTTCACAAAGCTAGCCGAAGGATCATCCGTAGCTCAGGCTGATCCTTCGGCTAGCTCCGGCCGCCTGAGCCCTTCGGTTCAGTAGAACCGAAGGGCTGCTGTACGGGCTATTCACTATAGCCCGTACAGCTCCCGAAGTTGGCCGAGCGGCTCAGTCAAGCCGAAGGCATATGCTTCGTGCTCGACTAAGCCAAGGTGAAAGCCTGCTACTGACAGCTGAGCGGAGCCAGCCACTAAACTGTCATGAGAGCTCAGCAGAGCCAGCCTTGATATCACTGCTGGCTCCGCTCAGCTCTCATGACAGTTCAGCTTGAACTGTCATTACAATGAGAACTCTGACAGCCGGCTCTTTCGCTCCTTCAGGGTATAGTTGTTGTCAGCTCCATTTTGACAGCAGTGCCGACTCCTCTCCACTTCCTCTGGCTCCTCAGGTCTGCTGTGAGGCTGCCTGTGAGCGTGGACTCCTGACGAGAATGGCATACCCATATCAGCAGCAATCTGTATACACAATCTCAGGATACGCCAGTTTCAGTGTGTAATGACAGTTCAGCGTCCCCTGGTTACGAGGTAACCAGGGGATGCTGAACTGTCATTACACTGAGAGCTCAGCGGAGCAGGCAGTGAGGTCGCGGCCAAAAGGAAACAGTTGGGGGGAGCTAGCTGTCACTGCTAGCTCCTCCCAATAGTTCTTTACTTTTTTTTCTACTTTTTTTTTTTACTGTTTTTCTATTCTGCTTTCGGCAGCTTTGTGAATAACCCTGTAAGTCAATGACCAAAGAACATGCATGCAATTCAGGAGTTCTCATTTAATTTGCCGTATGCTTATACTGGGACAGGAACTAAGGGGTCAATTCACGAAACAGCCGAAGGATCTAGCCGTAGCTTTGGCCGATCCTTTGGCTAGCTTCGGCCCCACGGGCATACGCCCCCCTACGCTCACCCTCCCTGCACATCCCTGCGGGTGCGGGTGAGTGTACTCGTACGCTGACAGGATGGATTCTGTCTGCGTCCGAGCCGGAAAACACGACCCCTACGGACCTGCATTTGAGGTGAGCGTGGGGGGGCGTAAGGCTGCATAGTCCCATAGAGAAGAATGGGGGCTGCATACTAATCACACGCAGCACCTGTCCGTCCCGGGAGCTGCTCGATACGGCCCTGCGCGCAGCACGGAGCTGTACATGTGGGTCGATTCCAGTGTGACTGAGGGCTTAAAGTGTATGCAAGGGAAATAAAAAACATGTGCCGCATCTGCACATTTCCCCAAGTTTTATCCCTCTAAAGCACAAAAAATACCAGTTGATCTTTTAAAAGTTAACTCAGCTCCTAATTTCTTGTTGGCTAACAAAACACAGGATTTTGTGGACTGAAAGCACAGGAACACGGTGTCAGCGCTACACAGTTGACTTTTGCTATACTAATGAATCTCTCCCCCTCTCCACAACATAGAGGGTAATTGTTCTGTGGTCCAACATAAAGACTAGGAGGGATTATTATGCTCCTTGAGAAAAAAACAGGAAGTGTGCCCAAGTCACACGACAGCTCTAATTTTCTCACATTAACAGGTATTTTTTTTTGCACTAACTAAACTGATATAAAAAAATGCTTTTAATGTTATAAATTTAACTGAGCAAAATCGAGCAAATAAGAGACGTTAATTGCTTGTGTTTACATACACATAAGCAAAATAAGACGTAAATGAGCTCCACAGCTAAATAGGAATAGATGTGTCTGCCTCGTCAATGACCAATTAAAAGGCAATCCTACCAGTAATTTTTATGCCACTCAAAATAGTTACAAGCACTGTAGTGTGTTAACTAGCTCCATAATTCTGTATAAGTTTGTGAACTATATAGTGTGTCTTCATCATTTTTCAAATGCAAACTGATTACTGCATTACCCAAAATGGAAATTTCTTGTTTTTTTATATTGCTTATTACACATTTTTTTTGTTAGCCATTGGAGGTTTCAATTTAATTTCAACAGCAAATTATTGGCAATTCTCAATTACAACAACTGTTACAAGCTGAAGGATAATTTCTGTGTAAATAAAGTTGATTTTACAGTGCAAATATATTTCATATATTTCATGGGTATGCAGAGACAATACTGCAATACTGATTGTTTTTTTACAATTGCATTATAATTATGTATGCCTACATTTTTATAATGGTTATATAATCATGTGTGTCAGGGATGCAAAAAATTATCTCTCCACCAACAGTAGGATAATGCTATCTGGTTCTGTCACTAATAATTATATCTGTATGAAAATTGTGGTAGACCAATCCAATATTAGGGATGAGCGAATCTGCATGAGTTCAGTTAATAAACAGTCTTGCGAATCTTGTTTGAAGTTTGTGAAAAATTGTGGCGAATCCCAATAAAGTCTATGGGGAAAATTGTGTTATACAGTATACTGTAATTATGGCAATCTGTAGGGCTAATGAGTAAACTATTGTCAAATATATGGCATGGGAATCTGGACACTGCCATTTACCAATTCTAAAACTAAAAATAAATAAAAAAATTAAAAAATCAGTATTTTTCCCTACACAGAACTGCCAGCTCTCCCTAACAGTTCCAACCCACAGTGCAGTTGAAGCCAAAACTATGCGAAAGGGAAGAATTCAATTAGTTAATCTTTCCATTTTATCCATTACAGAAAGACAGTTAACATAGTTTTAGAGCAAACCAGTGCATTGATTGCAGCTTGTATACTGGCCACAGGTTTAAACAAAGGGCAGACAAAGGGTACTTTATTTTTCCGGGCACCTGGCAACCTAGAGAGCCCAGGATAAACATGCATGCAGGCACCTTTACATCAGTTCCTTAACCATGTTAAACATATTTACCAAGAAAGCATTCAGATGATCTCTGACTGTCTCCAGCTCTTGAGGCACAGTAACAGATTGTTCAGTCCAAAAATCCAGTCTATCCATTGCAGAGCGCAACCAGTGAACAAGTTCGGCTGATTCATTTTTATATCTAGAAGCAGAAATCAAAATGTTATGGTCAATTTAGCTCTTTCATACAAGTATTTTACATTATATGGACAGCTCAGTAACAAAATTTTCCCAACTGGATTATATATGAAAAGCACTACTAAGTGGTGTATTTTGGTTTTGTGCTGCCAAGGCCCCACCTCATCCTGTTTAGGACATTTTGCACAACCTGTCAGTCACTGGATACAGCGCACACGGGGTCTCAGGAGAGCTGTGTGGGGTCTATGGTGGGCTGTGCATAGTCCCTTTCCTTGCATGCATGTGTTGTTCCTCTTACCTGCAGCTCGAAATACCATCAGTACCAAAAGGATACATTGCAGTCCCCAGACTGCTTCTGGGACATCCCACCATCAGATCACATGCTATGGCCAGCCCCAAGCCACCTGCTGCTTATCCTCCACCTCCTGTACAAAGCCAGCTGGACTACATTTCACTGGGCCCTCCCCTCCATCGGGCAGCTCTCTAATTAGGCAGCCGCTCTTAGGGCCTTGTGGCCGCCTAGTTTTCCCCATTAGGCAGCCGCTGCTGCCTGATTCTGTGCCGCCCAGCCTCGGCCCACAGGGCAAGTGCCCTGTATGCCCAAAGGTAAGTCCGGCCCTGTCTGCTTCAATGGTTTGGGGCAGCATTTTCTGCCGCCCCCTGGAAAGTGTCGCCCTAGGCAAATGCCTAGTTTACCTTGCGGTAGATACACTCGTGGATCTACTTCAACCCTTTTACTGCCATGCATGTAAGGGTTAAGTTGGAACCAAACTGCATGCAGAAGGCTGGCTTAGTAACCCTTACATTTACTGCAGTTTCAGAGGCTGTTAATTTAGGGGCACAACCAAAAATGTACAGCCATCTGGTGCCCAGGGCTGCCTGTAATTATAAATGTAATTGCCAATCTCATCCATTTATAAGATTTACAAAGCTCCCCCTTGCTGTAAACAAAACCACAGCGGCTGGCGATTGACTGTAGCAGCATTGGGGAGTGTAAAAAAACTTAATGAATGGATAATCACTTCCATTCATAATGTTAATTCGTTTTTCTGCCAGCTACTGCTGGCATTACTTTTCAGGATGTAAAGTGGGGAGATTGTGGGGGACATTACTTAAATGTTCACAGATCTTCTGCCGAGTAAAACTGATTTTGAAGTGCTCATTCTTGAGCACTTATGAGTTCAGTACAGTGCTTGGTACCGGGGGAAAAAAGGAGACCAAGGAGTTTCTCCAGCACAATGGGAGACATGAGGGGTTTGTTAGACTGTAAGTTATTGTGCATTTGTATATGTTAATATTGATTTTAGTGTATTTTTATTGAAAATATAGTTTTGTCAAACGTAAAAAAAAAGGAACACCAATTTTTAATTCTATAGGTACTATACTTTAAAAAATATACGGTTTGGGGAATATTTTACTAACTCTCAAAACTGAAACTGAAAAATACTGGAAATATGACAAAAAAAGTAAAAAATGGTCCTGACATTTGTGGTCAAAAATCTTTTTAACAAATAGAAACAAACATGCCACTAATAAACATTGAGTTTTGGGACTTGGCCTTATTGAGTGACCCTATAAGCTTGTGATACCTGGTCCAGTGTTTGAGAATATTCTCCAGTCGGTTCAGTTCTTTGGAAACCTTGCTGGTGCTGTTCAGCCATTGCTCTCCCACCTGATTCAGTGAGCTCTCTAGCTCTGAGCAATTAATTGACATCAGCAATCTCTTCCCATCATCCAAGACCTGGTAAAGTCTTGGTTGGTACTCTGCTAAGCTGGACTTGAAGCACTGCAAAGAACAATCAATGAGAACTGATTAGTTTGCCACCATGCATGCTGCATAGCTAGATAACAACAGTTATCAAAAACGAAACACATTGGCAACCAACCTCTGTCCATTTAGATACTGCTCAAGAAAGTATTAAACACAGATGACAAACAAAATGAAAAATGTTAATAGTAATTATAATAATGTTAAACACTGAGGTAAATAACATAAGATAAGTGTGCAAAGCAGCTGGTGTTAGATGACGCCTACTGAAAGGCAATTGGACTAATAGTAGAAAGCAGCGCATGCACATGGTTCTCAAGCCACCAAACTTGGGAGTGCTGGTCCTACAACAACAAGCTCTGGATAAGTGGTTAGAAGTGCCTGTAAAACCAGTTATTTCTCTTGGAAATTTGTTTATGATTTTTATTGAACAAGAACATCAGATACAGCCAAAGCTTTTTGGGGATAGGTCTCCCTCTGCTTTAGGACTTAAACAATGCTTTGAGGAAGAATCATGACTAATTAATTGTAAAGCCTGGATTAAACTGACATTTTCAGCTCAATTTTAGCCTTCTCTTGCACCATCTCCTTCTTTTACACCAGAACCAATCCTCATCCCTATTGTTCCAGCACTACAACATATCTACCAGATCCTCTGTTACTACAACAGGCAGCTAGCTTATCTAAATTTGTTCCTCAAGCTATGCTATCAGAGAAATAATGCCAACCTTGGTCAAGATATTAAAATGAATGTATTAAAAGATAGATAAAGCCCAAACAAACAGAGAGGGAGATTGTAAAAATAAACATGGACAATTAATGAAATGCAATAAATAATAAACATTTTACTTGGTGATCATCAAATATAATTCTCCGTACCTGATACAACTGAATTCTTTCTTTTAGTCTTTCCTCAGATTCTTCCACAAGTCCCACAATGGGAATGTTGCTCTCAACTGACTCCAGCTGTCTGCTCAGGTCTTGATATTTCTCATCCAATTGCATCCACGTCTAGAGATTTGTAGTTAGCAGCAATATAGAAAATATAATTTAATGCATACAGTTTAAAAAAAATAAATGAAATAATGTCACATTGTCACTAAAGGAAAATAGCACTTTAGTTCTCTTCAAATATATTGTTAAAATATAGAGCGATCTACACATTCTGAAGCATTTGTATTTCTGAAGGCAGCTTTTTTTACTTTTAGAGAAATAAATACCACGATAGAAATGATTGATTTACACATTTTATACATTATACATAATTATAAAATAATTATAATACACAATTATACATTTTAGGTAAGGAAAGAGTAACTAAGGGGCCTCTGTGTCTCAATCTTTTCACCAACTTTCACCCAAGATTTACATGTTGCTCTAAATAAATTCAATGTGAACATGTGGGCATTTGTGGTGAAAATTGGGTAAAAATGGATAAATAAACCCCTAAGAACTGAAAAATGCACCAAGATACATAAATGTGTTCCCTCAGGTAAACAAATACATGACATATGTGGAGACATGCTCATTGATCATTTGATCTATGCCTAAGGTTTTTGAGGAATAGACATTCAGTTTGAGCTGGCCAGAGAGTGGCTTAACCTGAACAGGGATTTTCTCTATCAGCAGAGAACACATGACAAGCGCCTCAGGACTGATTACATGTGCGACACCAAAGGAAGCCCAAATTCTCTACGCAAAACATACACTTTCAGCGTTCTCAGTTATCATTTCGCTGTGTGATGCAACAGCATTGTTTAAAGAAAACCTGTGCCAAAAGCATTAGCTCTGTTTTGGGGTTTTTACTGCTATCCGGGGCCCCATGATAGAGATTTTCTCTCACGTCCTCTCCCTTTCTGACAATGGTTTTAATTTTTAATTTCTAACTGTGTTGCCATTGGAGAGTTACCCTCACCTCCAGTCTGTAAAACATTGTCGGCAGGACAGAAACTTAGGGGGAATCTATCCAATTGTGCCCCAGATTGCAGTAAGAACATGATAGGGGTTTTTAACCCTTTTACACTCTTTCCAATAATTTTGTTAGACATAAACTTTTTAAGAGCGGACTCCAGAACAAAAAGCATCAATGATGGGTGTTCCTATGTACATTTGTTTTGTCTTGAGATCCCCCCTAATATGCCAACACTGCCTCTAAATAACACTATTATTTTAAGAGCAACCTGTTATGAGAGAAACGTGGAGGCTGTCATTTCTTACTGTTTGACATCCTTCTGGCTATTATGCTTACCCTCCTACTTCAATACCCTGAATCAATGACCTGGAACAAGCACTTGCTAGTGATTTAGAAGGCACCAATGTCAGTGAGGCATCATAACAGCCAGGAAAACAGAACTTTCAGTAGGACACCAGCAATGGCAAGCCTATATTTTCTGTTCACAGGTCTACTGTAAATTTTCACAGCTAAATCATGCGTTCCATTTAAATCAGCTAAACACATTCCTGTCAGTCATGTGATGAGATAGAACTAGAGCTCTACAGTCGGCAGGGAGCATGCGATTTAAAGATTGCGGAGCTATTGATCTGACTTAGCAGTGAGCATGTTGGACCTCTGCAAAGAGAGGAGCTTCCACACAGAAAACAAGGGCCCTTCTCTACAGCATGTAGGCAGGCGACAGGCATTTCTATACTGGCTATTGTTGCTTTCTACCAAAAACCAAATGTAAAACTTTGCACATGTTTTGATGCAGCTGAAATGTGTTTAGTTAATTTAAAATGAAAAAGTTTAGATGGGCTGAGGCATCATTTTGTACAGCAAATATAGCAATAGAATGAAATAAAAATAATTGCATACAAATAAATATTCATCTGCCTTCATATTTTCTCATGCTAATAAGCTATTAAGCTTAATAATGACCTTGAATTTAGTGAAATAGTCTTTAGTGAATTAGTCTTTAGTTCTTTAGTAAATTGACTGCAAAATGAGAAAACATAATCAGTGCCAAGGAGGGAAGGCAAATACAGTTTTTCTGGCACTGTCTGCAAATACCAGTTTAGCCCAGATTAACAATATAATGCATAAAATTTAAATATGAATATTTGGATATTAATATATATTTGGAATTGCTTTGGATAACGTTGCACTGTTCCTGGGCATGAAAGTAGCAGATGATAAAGAACATATTTTGGTACAATTAACAGAGTATTTAAATAGTTAATACTATTGAATTTTGCTTTTACCATCTAAAATTAGTATACTGACTGAAAAATACTGTTTTATAGAGAGATGAGAAATTAGCCTCTTGATGCTAAATATCTGCAGCAATAACTGCTCTTGTTGCCATTAACTGTTATATTATAGCAGCAGAAGAAAATCTTGGCACTTCAGCTTGTGTGGAACTGCAAGTCCCATGAGGCACTGAAAGACTGACAGCTACAGGCATGACCGCCACAGGCAGAGGCATGCTGGGATTAGTTGTTTCACCAGTGTTGGAGTGCCAAGGTTATCTACCCAGGTATTATGGGGAGGTACAGGTAAAAGGAATAATAATCTGACTGGATGATATGTAAACATTTCTTCTTCAGACACTTAGTCATGAAACTCTCCGTTAAGTTCTCTTTAGAGTTTCACAGGTGAAAATCATATTCTTTAAAGCATACAGTATCTGAACTCAAAGCAATACTTTCCAATGGATACGCAAGTTCTAATAACCCACTAGGTGGTTACAGCTTTTCTGGGCCCTGGTAGGGATACCTCCCTAATCCCCCACCATTGCACTGCTGTCACTGGATGAAGTGAGCTCTCCACATAATTTTAGAGAGAATCCTCTAACAGTGAGTGTTCCATTTCCACATATTGCAACTAGTGGACTACCCACACCAAAACATGGAGCACTCACTTCACCAAATGACACCAGAAGTTCAACTCAGACACCAGGCAGCATGGATTACAATCACATCAGGGGTCTTTACCAGGCTCCTGCAAAGTTTTAAGGCCTAGTGGTCCACTCTACCAAAAACATAAAAAACTATTTGAGCATAGATTTGCTTTAAAAATAGTACTTTTCTACTTAATACACCCATGCAACTCCATAGAACGGTACAAAAAGTAAACTTCTTATGTGCTGGACACTTATAAACCTAGATAAAGATAAAAGAAGACTAATTTGTATTGAAAATATTTTTTATGTCCAATATCCATGTCGTTTTCCGAAGTGTACATGTATATTTTACTGTTTTGTGAGGTTAGTGAAATAACATCAATAAGATCAAATGAGCAAGTATTCAGTACTAAACACATAGGAATGATTAATCAAAGGAGGGTTTAGCCTTACCTCCAGTATGTATTCCAGCTCTACTCCTCTCTTGTGAGCATGTTTCAGTACAGCAGAAGCCCTTGTCATCAAGTCTGAGTGTTGCTGGGTCTCCCAATGAGATGCATAGCTGCTGATTTTTCGGTAAAGCGTTTCTGTAAGGATCATGTGTGACTCCAAGCCTTGGAAATATTCCTGGAAAATATTTAATGCATTCATAATAAATATAAACAGTGTTTTTTCCATTTACAGAAATTTGAACCAAACTCATACATTTGACAATATGTGACCAAGCAGTGAATACGCATTTAGACAAGCCCTCATCTGTAGCTGTAGGCACTGTGGAGCAATTCATCCTCAAATTCCCAGCAGAAGCACTAAAAGCATTATAACTAGGGATGTTCAGATAACAGTATTTGTATCGTTGCTGATACTTGGTCCACTTTGGTCCACAACTGTCCTGAAATCATTAGCCTGTAGTGTTTTAGAAAAACTGTCACGTGACACTAAAGAAAAACGTATCAGTAATGGTATCTGTGAGTACTTGGACAAGTATCGGTACTTGTACTTGGTCTATAAAAATGGTATAGGTGCATCACTAATATATAGATATCTATATAGATAGATAGATAGATAGATAGATAGATAGATAGATAGATAGATAGATAGATAGATAGATAGATAGATAGATATATAGATATCTATATATAAATGACAGCTGCCTCCTAAATTTTTAGTTTTTCTCTAATCTAGTCTTGGAGCTTGAAAAGTATCAAAACCTGCACTTGTACCAATTATGGTACTTGGTATCTGTGCATCCCTAATTATAGCTATGCTTGGCAATCTACATACACTTACCTTGTGCTTCTGAAGCATATTGTGGACCTCTTCTCTTGAGGAGACAATGCATTTCTGTCCTCCAGACATCTTCTCCTCTCCTGTTTCAATCAAGTCAGCCAGGTCTTGCAGAGCTCGTTCACACTGACTCTTGAGAGCAAGGTTCTGATTTAGTCCACCCCTTCTTGAGCTGATGATCATAATCAACTCATCATAAGTGTCCTGCACAGGAGAGAGAAAATATGATCTATGAAATTAATACCATTTGTATTATTTGCCCCCCCCTTTAGATTGTAAACTCTCAAAAGGTAGGCCCTCCTAACCCTCCTGTATTGAATTGTATTGTACCTGTACTGTCTCTCTTAATTTTGTAAAGCACTACACAAAATGTTGGCACTATATAAATCACATATTACAATAAAGATTAAAAAAAAAACAAGTCATGTTGATAGCTTGGCAATTTGTGTGTTTTAAATGACCTTAACGGTGAGACAAGTTTTTTTGCATGCTGGCTGGTGAGTGTGCTGGGACACTTTTTGCTATTATTGTTATTTTAAATGAGGTACTATACGCATATGCATAAGAATAGTGCAAATATTAAAAGAAAACAAGCAACCATAATAAAACACCTCTGAAAACGTTGCATTCTTTTTACTAATACGTCACTAAAGGGATTGCATGTTAAAGGGATTGCATGCTTTAAACAGACTGTCAAGAAAAAAAGAGAGAGAGCTGCCGGCAGGTATAAAGTGCAGACTACCTGCAACATAGGGACTGGTAAGCTCCAACACTACTCAAAAGTATTGGAGATTTGACTGTTCAGAGATGCCTGGCAATAATGCATTGCAGAGGGTAATGGCAGCTGCAGCAGGCGCTTGCATTTTCTACCTACTAGCAGCTCCCTCTATTATTCTTTCGTCTTTTTGTCTGTTCTTTTGTTTAAATTGAAGCATTGTAACACCTGAATTTGACTTGCAGGGTTATTCACAAAAGGGTGAAGAGTTTGGAGAAGGCAAAAAGAAAAGTGAGCAATCTAGGACAACATAGCTGAACTGGAGAGTGAGCTGAACTAGAATTTTCCAAATCAGCTATTTTGGCCTAGATTCTTTACGTTTCCTGACTCCTCCTAAACCTTCACCCTTTTGTGAATAACCCTGTTAGCATCAGCAGTATAGCAAAGCTCAGAGAGGGGCAGGGAAAATCAGCACTGCAAATAGCGCGCTTATAGCAGAGGAGAACAGAGTGAAAGAGATGGGCTCATCAGTGTGCTGCTTCTTCTTTCTCTGCCCAGTTACAGTGAGGGGGTGAATAAGAGACCTGTAAGTGAAAGTGCAACAGCAGCAAAGAAAGATCAGGTCCCCTCACCTGCCATGCAGTACTGTGTTGTCTGGCAGAGCTGTGTAAGTCTCAGGTTTGTATGGACAGAAACACAAATCCTTTGACAGGTAAAACATCTGTCATATATGTATTTCACCTGTGTATTTAGCAGTTTGTTAGGAGTTCTGCTTTAAGTGTCATTACGTGCACATGGCCAGCAGAGCGCACATGATGATAAGGTAAAAGGGTCTGAATGAGTAATCCACATTTAAAAAAGTGTGAAACAAATAAAATATCCACTACTCCCCCGTATGCGCTTCCTACTATATTTCTACCTTCAATTTGAAATATTTGATTGTTTCCGCCTTACCTGAAGCTTTGATAGTTCTTGCACAGATTGCTGGTCCACCTGTAGTCTATCTCCACGCTTTTTCAGCTCAGTAATTTCTGTATCCAGTTCTTTTAAACTATCTTCTGCTTGTAAAATCGCCTAAACACAGAAAAAAATAGTTTAACTTATAAGAAAAATTATGAAACAGGAGTTTTGAAGGTACAGAGACAGTTCTGTCACCAGAATGTGCAATGTGTTGATATAAACAAGTAAAACATTCTGCATGGTAGCTGCAAAATCATCTCTTTAAGAGCTATGATCCTAAATAAGAGGGTAGGTAAAAGCCACAACCTTAAAACATTATTATTATTGTTATTATTATACAGAATTTATATAGCGCCAACAGTTTGCGCAGAGCTTTACAATATAAGACATTACAATCACAATACAATTCAAGACATGATGGTAAGGAGGGATTAGAACATAAAAGGGAGGGGCAAGTGATACATGAGGAGGTAGCTGTGTAGGGATGAATTGTTTGAGAATGTGATGGTTGAGTGGTTAGTTTGTGGTGGGATAGGCTTCCCTGAAGAGATGAGTCTTAAGGGATCGCCTAAAGGCAGTCAGAGTGGGAGATAGTCAGACAGTTTGGGGTAAAGAGTTCCAGGCGATAGGAGAGACTCTAGAGAAGTCCCGGAGGCGAGCATGGGAGGAGGTGATGAGGGAGCTTTAAAGCAGGAGGTCTTTGGAAGAGCGGAGGGGACGGTTAGGGTGATACTTTGAGACCAGGTTAGAGATATACCCGGGGACAGAGTTGTGGATGGCTTAGTTAGTCGTTGTTAATATTTTGAATTGTATCTTTTGGGCTATTGGAAGCCAGTGTGGGGATTGGCAGAGGGGGGTTGCAGACACTGAGCGGTTGGTTAGGTGAATGAGTCTAGCAGCTACATTCATGATAGACTGAAGGGGGGATAGCCTGTGTAGTAGAAGGCCAATGAGGAGGGAGTTGCATTAGTCAAGACGAGAGATAACAAGTGAGTAAATGAGTCATTGAGCGGTTTCATTGGTGAGGAAAGGGCAAATTTTGCAGATGTTAAAAACATGAAGACGGCAGGATTTGGATAGTAATTGGATGTGGGGAAGAAAGGTTAATAATACATTAATACCACCATAGTATCTCCTTAAAAGACGATAAAATGTAACATAACCCTCACTTGTAGGGGAAGACAAAATCTTTGTTTCTACATAGTTACTGCAAAACTACTACACATTCAGAGGCAGAGCAACCACCATAATAGCCCAAAATACAATTGAATCCATTTAAAGTGGTGTTATTAACCTTTGCTAACTTCTGTACAGTGATTGATGACCAAACTCCAGCCAATACGCTTTTTCCTTATTTTCAACAAAGTGGGTAAGAGTCAGAACCTCTGCCCAGTTTTCATGGCTGTCTGTGCCTCTTTGGGTAGTTTTGGGTACCACACTCCCTGCCCTGGTTACACATTACTAGGAAATGGAGGTAAATGTTCCCAAATGTTACACCAACACTAATAAAAACCAGAAAGATGTTTTAACCTTTACTCCTTTGTACAAATACTAATAATACCTATGCCTAATGAGACACAGTTAGAAGTTTTGGGATTATTAGCTACATCCATGCTTAGCATCTTATATGTGAGTGCATTTATTTTGGTCAGCTCAATTGAAATCTATTATTATTGAAGTATTATTACTACATACTGTATTGTTTAAAACCACTACAGAAATCTACCTGAGGCTGTGAATACTCTCATACAGTTATAAAGGGATTGTCAATGAATAACACATTATCCAATCAGCTCCAACCCTAGCTATGCTGACATAAAGCAATGATGGAGACAACTGTGCTCTAGTGCTCCTGTGGGCACATATGGAGTGTTATACTATATTTAAGATACCATGAAATTGCAATTATGAGGCTAAGAGATGGAATAGTTCTCCCTCCTGTTCATACAATTGGAGGTATTAGAACTGATGAGTAAGTCTGGAGTGTTGTATTAGGCAAAAAACAACCTAAATTATGTTTACAACTTTATTATATGATATGGGGCCATTCACAGATGAATTTCAATGTATGCATTTTTACACACAGCAATGATTGTATTCAGGCTAGCCATTGTTCTAAATAGTGCTTGTCTACATCTGTAAGATGCTTCCGTACGCATTTTCCATTTCTTTGTTACATCTACACATGTTATAGGAGTCTATTGGTGGCAATGGCAATACATTAAAATAGTGCTGCATTTTTTTTGCTATTGAACCCAAAATGGACACTGGCTCACTTTTAGAAGTTATACACAACTTACAATCCCTATCTAGGCATGTTTTTTACACAGCCATTCATATCAGATTCAGTCATTTTACACCTATTTAGTGGTGTAATAGGTGTAGGTCTACTTCCCTATGTATAGGCCAATGTTAAGTAGCCAACAGAGTGGTCTAAATTGTAGGTGCAGTCATAATATCATTGATATCAGTGTATGCCCTCTTTGTAGAACTGCTTCAATTGTTTCTAGGCAAAAAACAACCTAAATTATTACCTGTACCATTGCTTAAATGGAAGCAAACTTCCAGACACAAGAATGTCCATTTAAATAGATTTCTCAATAGCCATAAAGAATATAAATCTACTGCTAGGCTGCCTGCAGGAAACTACAAGAGTGGGCGGTTACAAGACCAGTCACCCTGCACAAGGAGAGAGAGCAGCAATGGCTGGTTTCTACAGGAAGCTCCTACACAGAGACAAAGCTTCACACTGAATGACTGCACAGATCTGGAAGAAATACAAAAAGCAGACCAGGATTCGAGGAAAAATACACATGGCTCTTGTATTTAGACAATATTTGCTTATCCTGTAGATCAGCTTTAATGGCTTATGTACGACTGTACTCCGTGAGTCTAAGCCCTGTCTGCATCAGGCTTTGTTTAGAGCTGGGCTGACATTGCTTATAGGGTTCGGTAATTCTATAATTCCATGACCAGACCAACTGCTGTGTACACAAGCTTCTTTTTTTTTTCTATTAGCATATGCTGTTAAGGTGAGTGCAACCTATTTGTGAATGTTTAAGAATGTTTTAGAAACTGAAAATAAACTGACTGAAGTATATGTTTGTGGATTAAGAGTATAATATCTACTTCCACATACTCAAGTTAATTTTTATTATACTCAGCTGTTTATTAGTGTCCTATATAATGTTCAACTCTCCTTATAAAGCTATAGGTTGTGTTTAAAATGTAAGCATTGTCTAATAATAACATATACTTGTGCATAAGAACAAATATATTTGTTACTTATAAAGCCAAATGAAGCTGCTTACAGGTAAGTAGATCCTGTAAGTGGGACCCCATTTTAAGGAAGATTTTGCAGGTGAGTCTGCTGATTATGACACATGGCCTCATGCAGACATGCTGTTTGCTTTCATAGAGAGAGTTTTGTCCTGCTTAAGGATCATTATATAAAATTGTATTTTATATAATGTTTACACTAGCCTGAAATATGATAGAAGTAACTGTCCACAGCAACTGGCTGCAGGTGACACTGGTATCTATTTAAATAGTTCAACGACATATATTGCACATATTCTTCTATTCTAGTGCAAAAACTTACCATGGCCAAAGGTCCAGTGACAAGATTTGACTTCTGACATACTGGTATATGGTATGTAGTTACACTTTAGTTTTACCATCTAAACTGGTAAAACATTGGCAAGGTGGGCAACCTAAGATTCTAAACACACCTGAACATTTTAAGTTACATGAATGTTAAAATGTGTCTTGATGCATGTTGACAGTCGCTACTATTTTACAGTCTACAATTAAACCCACCTGTCATAAACTTTATAAAAGCCATAAATATAGTGTGCCAGTGTTGCGAAATACAGCAAAGCAGTAATTAGGTAACATATATATATATATATAACATATAACAAACCTATGCAAAACAAATCTTCCATAGGGATGAATAGTGCTAGGGTAGTACACATCAGACTAAGCAACTTCTATGTGGCCCAAAAAGAAAGGGGGCCTAGAATGTTCTAGCTACATAGTTATTTATGACGTTAGCAATAGCATTTGGCAAATAAATTGGATAACTAAATTGAAATAACTGTATATATAGTTTTGGAGCAACACATTACCAGCAGCAGAATCAGTGGCTTTAACTTGCCTCACTCCTTCACTGGTTCACAAAGCTGCCAAATCTACCTTGCTAGCAAGGGAGTGACACCATTAAAATTGCTTAGTGGTGTGTTAGTAATCATGATCGTTGTCTTGTGTAAAATGACCCTTAGTGGATGGAGAAGCTGGGGGAGGTGGCTTAATGGTTTTGCTACAGGACCTCATCACACATAATTATTTCCCTAAATATCTTAAACATACCCTCCTGCTTTAGGCATTATTGTTTGTCTGTGTCACATGTATAAAAGCATCTGTAAGAAAAACTGTAGTGCCCAGAACAAACTATTAGATTCCTCCTTTTTATTTTCAAAACTTCTCAGAAAAATGGCAACCAAGTCCTAATTGGTTGCTATTGTCAAAATAAAATTTTTAGAAATATGTTTTTGACATGAGATCCAAAGTGCAAGAAATATTTCACTTGAAAACGGTCGTGAAGAAACTGGAAAATAGGATATAATTTTTATAACTTTTGAAAGGAAGAGTTGACAAAATGTTCACATCGAAATTAAGAGATGTCTTAATTAATTAAATTAAGCTATCTTAAGTCTCTAATGTTGATTTTTCATCCCTATGGCTCAAGACCTATTCGATACAGAAAGGAACTAAATGGAAACCGATACTCCTTTTTTCAGCTGAAGCCATTTATGGATTGGATGTCCTCTTTACCATAATTGGTATGCTTTTATACACTAATAAACAACAAGAGGGAAATGGTACAGGTAACACCATCTTGTGTTTTTATTTGAGCCAGTCTGGGTGAGGAGGAAAAGTGTTAAAGGAGAACAATGAGGTGAGTGATTTCCACTCATCCTCATAGTTAGAGCTGACCTGTGACAAAGGGGCTGTCACAGGTGGGCTCTATCAATCGGGAAGTGAGCAGAAACAGAGCCGATCCGCTCACTTCCTGATCGTATACCTGCAGTGAGCGGTGGCTGTCAGGGATTCCCCCCTCCCCTCTCCGATCCTCCAGCACAGAGTGGAGGAACGGACGGGGGATGGGGCGGGCACAGTTGGCTCTGCTTCTAGATAGGCAGAGCCAGCTATCACTCATGCAGCTCGGTGGATCTCGACAGTATTGCCAGGATCCGCCCCCAGCTGCGGTTAGTATATGTGCTCCCGTGACCCTAAAGAAAAACACTTACCCCATAGTTCTCTTTTAATCAGAGGACTCTACTATAAAATCCCTGACAGAAACCCAACTACAGAGAGAGGAAAAATGAGGGTGCCCTTATCTTAAGTAGGGGGATTGGCTATAACAGGAGAGGGTTCAGCTTTAAACTTTGCCCAAACTAGGTGTGCAGGGTTTCTTATAAGGCACACTGGCAAAGGATAAAAAAAGTTAAATCACTTTTGGTAAGTTCTAAATATCTTCTAAAAGGATATATTAGCTCCATTCTATTTGATCTCATTACAAGTACATTATAAATCATGATATATAGTGCATGCTGATTTTGCCCAGATAGCATATTTAAGTAGAATTACAATTATTTTTTGATTCTTCAGGCTAGCTTGGTAAATTTAGATTGCTGATGAATGCTTGCTATAACTTAGTTTAAAGTATTTAAGGTCAATACCCGCTTGTAACATTTTAAAACTTGTATAAAACTAAACCAATATGACACCTGCTGCACCATGCAGGTATGCAATAAATTGCCAGTTAATGTGCTCTGAGACTACAATATACAGGTGAAACTCGAATAATTAGAATATCGTGCAAAAGTAATTGCAGTAAGTGCTGCAAAAGGGGCCCAAACCAAGTACTGAGTACATATGCATGCTTGTACTTTTCAGAGGTCCGATATTGTTCTATGTACAATCCTTGTTTTATTGATTGCATGTAATAATCTACTTTTTTGAGGTTGTGGATTTGGGGTTCTTGGGGTTTTCATGAGCTGTAAGCCATAATCATCACAATTATGACCAATCACGACTTGAACTATCTTGCTTTGCATGTAATGAGTCTATCTCATATATTAGTTTCACCTTTTAAGTTGCATTAGTGAAATAAATGAACTTTGCACGATATTCTAATTATTCGAGTTTCACCTGTATTTTGTGTTTGTTTTTTCCCTCTGCCTTCTGTACTCTGTTCTCAACCCTGGTGTCAGCCAGTAATCTTTAGCTAATGGCGCACTAATAAACTGAGATGATATATAATCAGGAATGTTTGGATTTGTTTAATTCCATCACACAAAACAACTAATGCATATTTGGAAAAAAGACATGTACATTTTATTCTTAAGCATTTATTTAAAAAAATACATGAACAAAACTTTATTTGCAGAATTTCTGTAATGAAATCCACAGCTTTATAAAATGTCAGGAGTCTTTTGCTATGAGACATATCACATACACTATGCTTTTTTAACTTGGTACATCTTGTAGTGAGCGTTAGATCTTAGTTAATTTAATGTAAAACTAGAATTATTTGAAGTTATTAAATGAGTAAGGAAGATAGAATGGCAAAGCAGAGAAGGAGCTGTTCAGTGGGTGAGCACTTATGAATATGATGATAGACAAACACATAGGGCAACAAAATGTTTAACAACATTCCACTAAGTAAAGTTAGCGGTATCTTGGGATGCGACCCATCTGGTACAGAGTTCCTGTAGATTCAACAAAAGGAGAGAATCCCTGAAAATATGAAATGCAGAAGAAAAAGGAATTCAAGATAGATGGAAACAGGTAATGGAGGTGAAAGAAAAGTATAAATGAGAAGTAAGGCAAAGCAAACATAAACAACATTTAGCTTTGGCTGACCTTTTTTTTATAGTACTTGGACCAAAACTAAACTAGTGCAAATCACAGTTACTTGCAAAGCCCCAGTGGTGGAACAAGTATTATGCTCTCTTTCCCTTATTACCAGCGCTGTCTTTGAAGTATGCCATAGTCCTGATGGGTACTATAAAAAAATATAGTCATGCAAAAATAGCATAGGCAAAGAAGAGTAGATAACTAGAGGAATGCTAGCTTTGTGTATCTAGGGGTCGGGTTGAGGAAGTAGGTTTAACTTGCAGGCATGGTTTGCTAGTTATCTATTTTTAAAGCCTAAATAATAAAACTGGGTCAATTAAAAGTGCCATACTTGTTGAAAGAGTCAGTCTACCAAAAACAACTTAAAATTGTAGGTAAAAAACTAGAAAAGTCAGCCACAGAATTTTTTTGGGAAGCCCTGATGCAAGATCTCTTACAAACCATTGCTCTGGGACCACATGATGGCCATTCATGTGACCATATTCTGTGGTGAGGTGATCATATTCTGTGGAGTGGTGAAGTGAAACTTTCCTCAGTTTTATACTTTCTTGAACATTCAATGATGCTGTTGTCCAATCCACTTGCGGTTATTCCTCTTTATGGTAGGTAAACAAATCCTTTATAATTCCCTGTTTAGTTTGATTCTCTGTGGGTGTCTCTGAGTTTCTTTTAGCTTTGCTGGTCCACCCAAGATCTGTGTGTGCATGTGTTTAATCTTTGGGCCCTTTTCTCTCTTTTCTAGTGAGTGTGGCCTACTGCTGAGGACACCTGCTGAGGGGTTTAAACAGATAAATATCTCCATAAGCTTGCAGGATGGTTACTTTCTTCACCTGGCAGCCATGTAAGTAGATAAGTCATCCAACTAATAAAATCATATATACGTTTCTACGACCTATTATACTATATACTGTATTGTACTTATTTATTGTTTTCAATTTGAGTCTGCTTATAGGGATTAGTTTATGAAAGTCGGCAGGGATCTTATTTTGATGACTAGTCCAATTTAATAGCTACAGTATATAAAAAGGCCACTCTGTTTATGCTGTAAGACTCTCTAAAGACCAATAGCCATGTTGTGTGTATTATAGAGCAAATAGTATAAAAATGACTAGTAGGAGTGCATGAAAATATATAAATGTATTTTTTTTAAATTTAAACTGTAAGAATATGCGGCATATTTCATGGAGTATATCTCGTTAATAAAGGCAATATTATGACATTACCCTTGGGACTCTGTGCCATTACCCTCTGTCTAATGACATGTGTGACAACATTTTGGCCTGGTACAAGGTAAATATCTTCATATTATATGCCCTGGCATTGTCATAATGATTGAGTTAAGCTATTTTCATGGTTTGTTATCAATAATGCAGGATGACCATATACATTATTTACCTGCATCTGTTCTTTCGCTGGTCGCTCCACTGCTTCTGCCAGTTTGTGTAGTATGATGTATTTGTTATCAGCCAAAGAGGTAAACAGCATCTTCAAATCATTCTGAGAGCACAAAATATTTACACAAATTAAATATTACATACAAACTCCAATGCAGCACTTTCAATATTTTTGGTTGAAAAATGATGAGAAGATACATGATAGCCATGGTTTGCAGAAAGAAAGAAGCACAAACATTTAAACAAATTTCACATATATAAAGATAATACATGCTGCAAATTAATAGGTGAAGAATTTGGATGATTTAGATGGTATGATCAGAGGTCAGTGGTGAGTATATGTGGAAGGCAATGATGTATACAGATTCTGACCTAAAGAAACATCAGCAGACCTAAGGGTCTCCAGGCAACCAGTTATAGTCAGTTGAAACAAGGAATATGATGCTTGGCACTTGAACTGAGTGGAAGATTGCCACAATGCAGAGGACTTTTTTCAATGCACACAAGAAGGCGAGTGTGGAGGTGAAGCATTAGGGCACAATGGCATATAAGTTTACCTTTAAGTATTCAACACACAGATTTAACTTAACGTAAGATCCAACTTACAAAAAGCAAGGACAAAGGGACAAGCTCACTACCAAGGGGTACAAATTAGTTGGAGGGGGTGAAATGAACAAAGAATACAGTGTGCAAGCTCTTTAAAAAACAGGGAGAGGGACCCTGTGGTAGCAGAAAAGAGACAATATATGTATGGAGAGCACTACTACTGTTTGTACGCAATTGTAAAAAACTCACATTTAAGAAGTCCTTGGAAACAATGGAGGTAGTCAGGTGGAGCCCCTGGGAAGATGCAGCCAGGTAGAGCCCAGTGGTGTGGACAAACAGTAGTAGCGCTCTCAATACATATGTTGTAAGATCCAACTTGTTACATATGTTGTAAGATCCAACTCAATACATATGTTGTAAGATCCAACTTAGATACCCTTCAGTATATTGACCATATTTTAGGAATATTTTAACAGCTCAGTAGCTATTGTGAATAAGGCTGATGACAAGGGCCAATCTTGGCTAGTGTCTTCTTAATTGAAAGTTAAATGTTTTTTTTATGTTAAGCTGCTAACAATATTTACTTTACATGTTTGTAAAACATTAAGGTCATGGCGCCCGCATTTATGTAAAAATACATGCATGGATTGCTAGGCTAGGTGCCATTTTTGGTTACGATAAGCTTAAAAGGTGAAGGCTGTTATTATTTTTCAGCTCTAAAATGTTTGAGTATGTACTGTCATTTATGTTAAATGGCCCTTTATAGTGTACTTATAAGTGGTGTATCTTCAAAACCACAACGATTTCTGTATGATTTAGCGGTATTGATTTACTAAAGGTGAATAAGCTGTTCACTTTGCAAGGGAATCTTTCCTTAGCTTAGTGAATGTGATGAAGCTCTGTTGACTTCCACCCTCGAATTATGTGCAAGCAAAAATACTTTTTTTTTCTCCTTGCAAGTGATTGGGTATTCTTTGCAAAGTGAATTTTCATCAGATTCACTAAGCTAAAAGAAACTTTCCTTGCAAAGTGTAATTTCCCTTGCAAAGTGAACAGACAATTTGCTTTTTTTCAATCAACCCCACAGTATCCAGCTAATGTCAAGATTGTGTACTTCATGCAAAGATCTTATATGATCTTCATACCTGGAAGGTCAGAAGATCCTGTAACCTCTCTTTCATTTGATTACATCTGTGGTTTACAACAGATTCTAAAGAGTTTAGTCTTCCCAGAAGACAATACAACGTGTCCTCTACGATCTCCTGGTGGTCTCCTGTGCTTGTAAAGGCTTGTAAAAAGAGATTTTTGTTCTTGTCCATCTCTTCACTCATTTCTTTAATGTCTTTTGCCAAAGTCTGTTTTGAAAAGGGTAAAGTGATTTACAAAATGATAGCTATTGCTACTACATAAGTAAACACAAAAACAATTACAGAAAGAAAATCAGAGAAGTGTTTTAACATTAGAAGGAAGGAATTTTTGTAAATCCTGTGAACAACTTAATGGCATGAACTTTAATACTCTACACTGTAGAGTATTAGAGTTCATGCCACTTAAGTTGTTCACAGGATTTACAAAAATGTTATTCACTAATTTTATTCACTTTGCTGTAGAGTCTATGCCATGCTCTAGAGTCTAGAGCTGTGGAAATACAATCTGTTATAATAAAATAAATCATAAGATATATATTCCTGCTGAAAGTGTACGTTGTTACACAAGGAAGCGTATTAAATAGATTTAAAGTGGGGCTCTAGGCAACTTTAATTAATGCTGTTTTGTATTCATTAATACATTAAATGTATTTTTTTTTTTTATACAAGCAGTGAACGCACCCTGATTTTACCTGGTACAGCAGAACTCACAAAAACAGCAGGAAGAAGCAGCACAAGATGCCAGTCAATTGTGCTACAGTGCTTATGTGCTAACAAGGAGCATTCTGATAGCTGAGGAGCAGAGTGACCGGGAGATATCCTGTAACTATCACTTCCCTGTACTACAGAAAAAGCAGACAGGGTCATGCTGTGGGGCAAAGCTGTATAAATCTTAGGACTTGATGGACAAAAATCAAAATCCTTTGGAAGGTAAAACAGCTACCATAAATGTATTCCATCTGTGTATTTAGCTGTTTGCCTGGAGTTTAGCTTTAACAATAACAAAAGCTCAGTAATGTACCTTGGCCCTTGATGCCCCAGAGCAAGACCAAAGACACAATGCTGACTTTGTACATTACCCAAAACCTAAAACCCAAAGCTATCTCCTTAGAGATCTAATAATCCCTCATCAAAGTAAAATATGTAAACATTGACAAAAGATGGTAAGTGGTATGGTAAGAGGCTACAGTTGTACAGAAATCTGTGATGACCACCTGATCATCCTTAGTTTAAAGCTGGAAATAATACCGCATTTGAGAAGGATGAAGGATGTAGACGATAGCAGCAGCAGAGTGACTACAAAGTTAAACCCCTGTTCCTTTTTGTTAGACCCCTACTAAAGATAGAAAGATTACTGGATTACCACAGGGTGAATGGGGTAATCCCCCTTTGCCGGTTGTTGTATCCACATAGCCACCATTTGCAGCTGTTTATCCAAACAGTGACTTCATCTGATTGCATACAGTCACTGTTTGGCTGCCAATTTTCCAGTTGGCTTCTTTTTCAATCCAGTGTTTGTTTAGTAGGGTGGTGCCAATAGGGATGCATACCTATCCTAAGGCTTCTATTAAGGCTGATTTCATGTCAAAACAGTGAATAAAACCTACCTCTTGGTGGTAAAGACAGGCTTCTGCCTCTTCTGGCTGAAGAGCAGTTTGTACAAAAAGGCGTTCCTCCACATCATCCAACCAGGTAGAAGTAGCTGAGACGGCATCATAAAGTTTTTTCTCTAATGGAAGGATCTTTTTTTCTCCAACCAAAGTCTAAGAAAATACATTGTGTAGCATATGGTCATAGAATAATAGGAGCTATTATAGATAATCTTTGAAAAGTATAGCTTGATACATGATATATGTATAAACCTTAGTAGGACTATTACGGGAACAAGCTTATTAAGGGACAAGCTTAAACAAAAAATAATTAAAATGAAGGCTAATATATGTGACATACTGTTTAAATATTTTTACACACTATGGGGTTGATTTACTAAAGGCAAAAAGGTTTTTTGCTTGGCAAGGGAATTTGCACCTTGCAGGGGAAGTTTCCCTCGGCTTAGTGAATGAGGTGAAGTTCTGTTGACTTCCATCATCCAATCATGTGCAAGCAAACATACATTTGTTTTATTTTCCTAGCACATGATTGGGTATTCTTTGCAAAGTGAAATATCACTACATTCAACAAGCTAGAGGAAACTTCCCCTGCAAAGCGCAAATTCCCTTGCACAGTGAACTGCCTATTTGCCATTATTAAATCAACCCCACATGTGGTAACTGAAATTAAGATGTATGAGATAATAACATGTTTTAAATGTATTTCTTTACAGTACCAAGTAAATTATTAAACTACAAATATATAACATTTGAATAACTTTTTTAGTGTAAATGTAGTAAACGATACTAATAGGCAGTGGGGAGTTAAAAAATAATTAAAATAATTGATGGCAATAAAACTAATGCTAACTGATTTTTTCCTAAAGTGTAATGGGGAAACTTTTTTCCTTAGATATAATGGGAACATACAGAGAAAAAATATTTCAAAGCCACACTCCAGCTTAAGCTTTTATATTTGTTTTGGATGGAGCGGGGAAGGCTTATATATCCTCTGTCAGGTTTTTGGGTTTTTTTTTGCATTCATGTCCCCTTTTAAACTTTGCTTGTTACTTTCTGGCAGGACAGGAAGTGATGAAAAACAGATGAAAACAAAAGCATATGTTTTAGTACAGGGGGAAGAAATAGAACCCGTGACAATGTTTTTACTGCTGTTTGTGTTTTCCTTTCCCAGTGATAACCCCAGTGGGGGTAACACACAGAAATAGGAACCTATCTAACGGTAAGAAATGAGTAACAGCCCTCAGTCTTTCTATTCACCTGATACAAATGTAAATAGCACTATTTCATTTTTTTTGCTAAAATAAGAACATGAACAAATGTTTAACACTTCTGAACTCTATCCAAAACAATTGACTGAAGTATGGATTTCATTTATGGGGTCTAAAAAAACTGAAAGATAAAAGACGAAAATAAATTATCCTAGAAGACTGAATAAAGGTGATCTTGTTTGGATGTAAACACTAAGGGCCCATTCACATCACCATGCTGCTCTAAATGCACAACTGACAACTGTGTGTTGACAGGCACAGCGCTGATGCACTGATCTTGGCATATCACAGTGTTTACTTTTTTGTTAGAACTTTATTGAAATGTCACCAATGACAACACAACGTGGTAGGATGTGGCTGTACCGCAGCATAACATTGAAAAAAGTAAAACATTTTGTGTGTTTTTTTCATAGCACAGCCACCGCAACACAGTGTTGTGAGCTTTGCCAATTTAAAACAAGGCACATTGCCTTGTCAATGCATTGGGCCTGTGCTGGAAAAAGAGGCCAGAACAGCCTCAAAACTGCTGGTGTGAATGGGCCCTAAAAGGCCATCCAGTGGGGTTCAACCCCAGACATAGGCAACCTTGGTACTCCACCAGTCGTGGAACTACAAATAACATAACATGTGGCATTGAAATATTTTGACAGTCACAGGCATGACTCCCAAAGGCAGCGGCAGGAGGGGATATGCAGTTTTGCCACAGCTGGAGTGCCTGTACTTTGCCAACCCTTTTCACTACAGTATGTTAACATAAGTCAAAGCAATGTGTTGGAAAGGGTGGGTAATATTTGTTCAAGGAAGTCAGGTCCTAGACTACATGTTAGATACCCTTCCATTATGTGGAAGTAATAATCAGTAAGTACCTGAGATGATACATCTTCCAGCGCTTGGTTTAGTCCATCCAAAATATTTACCACAGATGATTTGTCTTGTACTTGCTTGTCTCCTTTGTAAAAAGGCACCCCAGATATAATTCTGTTTGTTTTGCTGAAGATCTAGTTAAAGAGACACATACAAATAATAATTCAAATCAGACAGCAGAAAGGTTTATACTGCATTTATCATGGCCAATACACTGCTCTGTGCGACACAATTACCGGCTGTTCTTGCTCCTGCTGTAAAGCACTGTGGATAAGCTTCTCTTTGGTGCTGAGCTCTTGGTGCAGACTCTCCCATTTCATTCTCATCTGATCTTGAGATGTCGGTTTTACTCCTTCCAAGCCTAACTCTCTAGACAGGGAATCTGGTCCATCACTGTGTAAAACAGTCATTAACAATTCAGTAAACAAGTGTGTCATTGAAATATAGGATTTATAACCCGCACATATATGGACCTTGTATAAATACTTGCCAAAATGAAAAGTATCATTCTTAGAGATTCATTAGAGATCAAACAAGTATTAGTTTGTAACCTCCATTATACCATGTTAGCTAGAATGAATATTGTTTCTTCTGCACAACAAAGATGCTAAAATATTTTTACGTAAGGCCCCATGAAACACGTAGGGGTCTATTCACAAAGCTGCCGAAGGATCTGGCCCTAGCTTCGGCCGATCCTTCGGCCAGCTTCGGCCCCAGGACCCCTTGGGTTCAGTAGAACCCAATGGGTGCTGTACGTGCTTTTCACTATAGCCCGTACAGCTCCCGAACGTGGCCGAGCGGCTCAGTCGAGCCGAACGCATATGCCTTGGCTCGGCTGAGCCGCGCTAAAA